TATATTATGGGAATCAAAGATTTTTCTTTTTCAATCATAAATTTAGTTATATATAAGGATAGTTTTTTAAATTTAATAACAAAATCACCATATTTGTTAAGATCTTAGTAGTTAAATATATCTAGATTAGTCGGCTAAACCTAAATTATGTACAAGCTATCTCTCTATAAATGAAGTTATTTCAAGCTAACTCGGTTTGATTTAAGGTTTTGTGTGCCAAAATAAAGTTAATAATATTATTTTTTCTTTTGTCACTGCAGATAAAAACTCCACTTATCTACACTTATGACATTGATGTGAAGCGTAAAACATCTAAGAGGGAGATTGTGGTGGTTCATGAAGACGCAAGGGCTGATATATAACACAGAGGAACATGGGAAGCTGTTTGGAGAACGATTGAAAACTGTTTTATGATCCGTTTAAAGGTAAAACCAAAGGCATGTATTTTTTATGAGAGAATTTGATACCAAAAATCTATGAAACGTAATTGTGAATGATTCAATGCGTTTCTTTTACAGTAAAACAAATGCAATATGGTCTATGTGTGATGTATTGTATACACGTACGTAATAGTATTGTTCTAACCCTCTTAATTAAATGTTTCATTTAATTATTGTTTATTTACCAATTCTTTCTACATAATTGTAGGAACCATAACTATTACGGGTCATTGGACATTGCCGGAGACTCCATGGTGAAACGGCGGCGGTTGGCCTAAGTCAAGAGAAAATGTTTTTGGTACCTTTTCTGATTTTTTTCCTAAATGCCAACAACTAATTTTTAGTCAATTATTTATTTAAATTTTTCACCCCTTATATTTTGATTGTCTTTTTTTCTAAATGACAAAGTTGAAATCTATTTTTTCAGAGTATTTTTAAAATAGATAGATATTCTGTTTAACTTATTTAAATTTATTTATACAAAAAAAATAGAATATCAGTAACCCCTTATTTAACTTTTTCACCCCTTATTGAATGGTATGAAAATAGATATTCTGTTTTTTTTTTTTAAATTCTTCTTTTTCAACTTCCAAGTCATAAAATAAAATTGTTGAATCCAAAAACCTTTCATATATTAATCGAGATTTTGTTAATAAATATAACCATTTTTTCATTTCAAGATATTTAGTTTCGTCTTGTAAATAATAGGGTTTTGGGGATTGTTCTTTCTGTTATTGATCAATTGTACAAGATACAACATATATATAGGGATACAACATTAGGGTTTATGTTAAAGATTAGCACAAAATATAATTTTTTTTTTAAAAAAACCATAAAACTGGGCCAAACAAACCCAAATATAGCCCACTAAAAAACTTAAACCCAATACAACAATTTTATGTTTATTCTCTAATTATCAATACCTACTTAAACTAAATAAATTGTTAATCTCAAAAAAAACATACAAATCTAATGCAGCTAAATATATTAAATTCAAAAATACAATATTCTCTCCTTATTTATTACCAAGTCATGTTTTCAACCAAATTAAGATTTAACAACATTTAATTCCTATAATAAAATTAACCAAATATGATAAGGAAATTAGATCTAAAATTAATTATCCTATACTAATATTTGGGAAGTACATCCTAAGGATCATAACTTAAATTTTGTAAGAAATTACAATATATGCCATTATATAATTCTAATCATAAAATTTATTCCATGTCACTAATATATATTAACGGGTCAACGGGTCAACAGGTTTAAAGATATTAAAAGATTTTGTTTATATAATACATAATTAATATAATTTGAGAATATTATATACCAATCAATATTCGAGATTATATAATACATAAAAATGTTATATAATACATAAAAGATTTTGTTTATATAATATATAAAAATGTTATATACTAATATACTAATATATTATTCGAAAATGTTATTGAAAATTAAAAATGTTATTCAATTTGTTATATAGTAATCCATTATTCGAACATCTTATAAAAAATGTCATTGAAAATGTTAATGAAAATGATATATCATTGAAAACATTTTATATCAATCCAATTTATAAAAAATAAAAAATGCTATTTTGAATTATAATACTCATATAGTTCGAAAATGTTATATAAATTGAAAATGTTATATAATTCTTCATTTTTTAAAAATGTTACTAAAAATTGAAAATGTGTCTACGTTCTTATAACTAAACAAAATTTATTTTCAACTACAATTCGTAATCTTTGACAATATTTTCAGTTTCCTAAACATCTGTTATCATCTTTGACTATATTTTCAGTTTCCTAAACATCTGTTATCATCAATTTCATTGTTTTTGATTAAGCTAAACAATACAATATTTTCAGTTTCCTAAATCTTTGTTTCTGACTTCAGTTGATTATATTGTTTAGGTAGTATATTCATTTTTTAATTACGCGGGTCATTGGGTCATCAGACGGGTTTAATTATACTATCTAAACAATATAATCACATAATTTTGTAACTAATTAATTAGGGAGATTTCGTAAATAATAAAATCAATTCAAACTAATAAGGCAAATCCTATACTATTATTTGGGAAGTACATCCTATAAGTCGTAACGTTAATTTTGTAAGAAATTATAATATATGCCATTAGATATCTCTAATCATAATCATTTTAATTCCATGTCACTAACATTAACAAATTAATTAAAAAACGGGTCAAATAACGAAAAACGGGTTTAAAGATCTTAAAGATACAGTAAAACCTCTATAAATTAATAATGTTGGGACCATGATAATTTATTAATTTATAGTGATATTAATTTATCTATAAATTAATAATTATTAATTTATAGTGTAAATTAATATTTATTAATTTATAGAGAGTTTTTTTAAATTTTAAAAACTTGTTCAAAAAATATGAGAGAAAATAATTTGATCTAAATAAAAGTAATTTTTTGGATGTAATAACTTTGGTAGTTTTATACTTAAATATTTAATATTTAGAAGAAAGACAATTTTTTAAAAACAATAATAACCAAGATTATAGATACCAAAAAATATGTAACATAGTGACTTCAACTGTTGTATTTGAACGATTTATATGATTATTCAAATAAAAATTATACTTATTTAAATTTTGAAAACTTACATAAGGTAGCTATTTTGTGAATAGCAATTCATTTTTAAAAACTACTAAAAATATATTATCTTTTTATATATATATATATATATATATGTAAATTCACATGATTATTAATTTATGATATTATTGGGACCATATTTTTATATAGGGATTTGAAAAAAATTATTATCTTATTATCTTATCGAATTTGGTTAATTTTTACACTGGCCCGACTTGGGACCAGTGAAATTTATTATTTTATCGTATTTATTAATTTATCGAGTATTAATTTATAGAGGTTTAACTGTATTAGGTTGTTATATTTTGTTTAGATATAAATTCGTATTCAAGCAATTCGTAATCTTTGAGAATATATTCAGTTTTCCTAAAATCTTTGAGAATATATTCAGTTTCCTTAAAACCCTTTATAAAAAAAATAAGTTATAATAGTTGTTATATTCTAGATCGTTTTTTGTTTAGTTTTTACGTTTTTTGTTTAGTTTAATCACGCATCAATATAATCAGCTATTCAGTTTCCTTAAAATCTTTTCTAAAGATTGTCAAATCTCTCTGTTATATAATTTTGATCCTATATTCCAAATAATCTAGAATATACCTTTCTAAAATATTATCTAACTATTTTATGTTAATTAATATATTTCTGAATCTCCTAATTATCACAAACAATCTACAACTATAAATATCCATTTAGGCTTGACGTACCTTTCTCACAGAAATCATCTCAGCACCATTCTCATATCCTACAATTAAAAATACAGCAGAAATGGCTATGGTTAGTCCCTACACTCCTATTAACAATTTGAAGCATGTCAAGACTTTTTGCTGTATTCAAGTTAGTATATTTCATTCGTGGATTCATTTTACAAAAGGTTCTGGCATATCTTTGGAAATGATTTTGAAAGATGAGCCTGTAAGTACCATTGAAATTTTATAGAATTCTCTTTGTAATATATGTGCCGTAAGTTTTAAGTCATCTTATTTTAATTACAGGGTAACAAAATTCAAGCAGACATCAAATAGGAACAGATCAGCAAATTCCAAAGGTATGTTAAACCGTTTTTTTTCCTTTTTTTTTAAACCATGAAACTAGGCCCCACAAACCCAATATAATCCATTAAAAAACTTAGACCCAATACAACTATTTTTTTGTTTGTTCACAATCACACAATAAAATTATCAATTCCTAATTGAACCAAATAAATTATTAATCTCATATAAAAAAATACAAATCTAATGCTGCTAAATATATTAAATTCTAAAATACAATATTCTCTCCTTCTTTAGTCAAATAAAATATATAACATTATATCCAAATAGTAATAAATATAAAATATTATGATATATTCCCTTTTATAGTATACTATTATACTAAATTATTCCTTATTTCTTCGAACAAAATATACAATTTAATTCATGAAAAATATTAAATCCCGTGCTGTATAGCACGGGTCATGATCTAGTGGGCATTATATTTAGGATGTACTTAAAAAAAAAGTATTTATAGTTTTCTTTCTTTTTATCCCATATCCTCTTTGTTCATACTTCATATCTAATTGGAGTATTTAATTTTTTTTTTTTTTGTGATTTGTTATGAAAATTGCTAGATATGTTAAGATAACTTTTAGAACTTTTAAATAATTGGATCACAAATATGTTTTAAAACAATGATATATGATTTTTCTTTTGTTTTGAATATCAGTTATTACCATTGATGTCATCCAAATTTGTGAAAAAAATCTCAACAACTATATTTTACCAATTTACTTTATTTTTCTTTTCTTTTTATAATTTTTTTTAAAAAAAATTTCTAGTAAATAAAGTATTAAAAATAAATAATATGTTTTCTATTAATTAACTAAAAGGGCTTTGGGCCTAGTGATCGCTATATAAACAAGACCTTCATGCGAAAGTTCTTAACTTCTTATTATTCATCTCTTCGTTCTCTGATACTCAATATCTCCCAAAACCCTAAAACCGATCTCTGCAAATCTCTTACGATTCTCTCTTTCAAGGTACCATACGTTTCTTCTGATTCTTTTGTTTTGATTTTGCTTCTGATCTTTTGCTTTCGTTTCGTCTGATCGATTTCTATTCGTAGTTCGTCAGATTTGCATATTGTTCGAATTTTGTGGTTTTTATCTTTCGTTTTTAGCTGTTGTTGAGAACAAAATTACTGCTTAGATCTGTTTAATCTACTGCTTAATTGTGAGATTCTCGGAGAAAAAATTTGGGTTTTCGAAGACGATCTAATTCAATTTTAGGTTTTCTTTGTGCGATTCTCTTTTGTTTAGGGTTTATGTTAGCTTGATTAATTTTTAGGGTTTTGATTTCTTTAACGGCTTTGAATTTGGTTTATGTTAGCTGATAGATTACTTGTTGCTCTGTTTTTTGTTTGCAGATGCAAATTTTTGTGAAAACACTCACTGGCAAGACCATTACTCTCGAGGTTGAGAGCTCTGACACCATTGACAATGTTAAGGCAAAGATCCAGGACAAGGAAGGGATTCCTCCGGACCAGCAAAGATTAATCTTCGCCGGTAAACAGCTAGAAGATGGTCGTACTTTGGCCGATTACAACATCCAGAAAGAATCAACTCTCCACTTGGTTCTTCGTTTAAGAGGTGGTATGCAGATCTTTGTGAAGACGTTGACTGGCAAAACAATCACTCTCGAGGTTGAGAGTTCAGACACTATTGACAATGTTAAAGCTAAGATCCAGGATAAAGAGGGAATCCCACCAGACCAGCAGAGACTTATCTTCGCTGGGAAACAGCTTGAGGATGGTCGTACACTCGCTGACTACAATATCCAGAAAGAGTCTACCCTCCATTTGGTGCTTCGTCTCAGAGGTGGTATGCAGATTTTCGTGAAGACCCTGACTGGAAAGACTATTACTTTGGAGGTTGAGAGCTCAGACACGATTGATAACGTCAAGGCCAAGATTCAGGACAAGGAAGGGATCCCACCAGACCAGCAGAGACTTATATTCGCTGGGAAACAGCTTGAGGATGGTCGGACACTAGCGGATTACAACATCCAAAAAGAGTCTACACTCCATCTTGTGCTTCGTCTCCGTGGTGGTATGCAAATCTTTGTGAAGACCCTTACCGGAAAAACCATCACTTTGGAGGTTGAGAATTCAGACACAATCGATAATGTCAAGGCAAAGATTCAGGACAAGGAAGGGATCCCTCCGGACCAACAGAGACTCATCTTCGCTGGGAAGCAGCTTGAGGATGGTCGGACACTTGCGGATTACAACATCCAGAAGGAATCAACCCTTCACCTTGTGTTGCGTCTTCGTGGTGGTATGCAAATCTTTGTGAAGACTTTGACAGGAAAGACTATTACCCTGGAGGTTGAGAGCTCAGATACGATCGATAACGTCAAGGCTAAGATTCAGGACAAGGAAGGGATCCCTCCGGACCAACAGAGACTCATCTTCGCTGGAAAACAGCTTGAGGATGGTCGGACTCTTGCAGATTACAACATCCAGAAGGAATCGACTCTTCACTTGGTTCTTCGTCTTCGTGGTGGAAGCTTCTGAGCTTTATGAACTGTGGTTAAAAGTTGTGTTAATCGATTGAGCCTCATGCACTTGGGAGGTGATTTCTGCAGAAAAAAAGAGTTGCGTTTGTTAAGTTTCATTTTCTGTTTTCGTTATTTTCTTGTGGTAAACCTTTCGTTAGGCTCGTGATGAGCCTTTTATGTTTCAATATTTAATAATAATCCAAGTGCACCTTAGAAAATCTGTTTTGTGATTTCATGTTGAAATGTTAAAATATTGCCTACCTTTTTTCGTTAAAAAATGGCTCTCACTGACATTCTTTAAGGGAGAATTTCACATCAGTTTTGAGATTGCAAATGTATTTGACATGTTGAAAATTGAACTCCAAAATTGATAACAAATCCATGGATACATGATCACCAGACTCGTAATGAATGTCAATTCTGAGATAAAAGAGTAGTGAAGCTAAAGGCTTAACCTTATTGTGCTCTGCAATGAGCCAGGATTCGAATGCTGAAAACAAAAAAAGAAAACCTTCATTGCTGATGTTGCTTCTACCTCAGAGCCAGAGAGACGAGAACGAAGAAGACGATACAAAAGAAGAAAAAAATGTCTTCACTGTAGCAAATAAATTTGAGATTGTACCGAACCAATTATTGACTAAAATCGAAATCACCGGTTTAAACCGAGAATCAAAACAAAAAAAAACGTTAACCGGTCCGGTTATTGTTTGTTATTTATCCATATTCATCGAGCTTGAAGATGAAGAAATCTAGAGAGAGCCGTCGACATTTTATTTCCGACAGCAACTTTGCGAAGTCAAATCGCGTAATCTCTACTTCAGTTTTGTTCCGTTTCGGAATCTCAATTTCGTGTAGGAGATCTCCATAAACCCAAACCCCCTCAAGGTGCAGCCAAAATCCGATTGTGTTTTTCTCTATTCAAAGAAGAAATTTCATGGTTTTCTAAAGAGATGAGAGGATCTGCACTACTTGATTTGATTCTGTTCCTGCTCGTATCTCCATTAGCACACAGCTTCAAAGGATCTGAAATCTCCAAATTCTATGACAAATCCATTTCCAATCAAATCTCTCAGCCCGATCGGTTAGTGTTCTTCATCGATCCATTTCCTTTGCATTTGAATTTCTTCTATTGGAAGCTTTCTTGATAAAGGGTTTCATTTGATTGATTCTAATTTATTCGGAAATGTCAACATCTATTTGATTTGGTCTCAAAGTTGACATCTTTTTGTTCAAGTCAGAGTTTTAACAAGCTAATAATGATTGTGATTTCTACAGAGAATCTGCTTATGTATTGGTTTCTACGGTAGATGGATCTATATCTTTGGTGGATATGTCTTCTCAGAAGCTGGATTGGACTTTCCATACCAATGAGCCGATATATTCGTCTTACCAAGCTCCTCATTATCATTATACCACTGATGAGGAACGTGCCTCGGCGCTTGGTGATGACTTTTACATGGATTGTGATAAAGATTGGCGTCTTTTCAATTCCACTATGCGGAAAGGAAAACGCGTAAATGAGGTATATGCGCTAAGGCTGTTTCTCATATGAGTCTTTAAGATATTGAAGTGTGTATCTTTTTTCTGTTTTAGATAGTGGATGCTTCGGAGTTCATTGGAACATTGCCATATACATCGATGGATAGGATTGTTTTGGGTAAAAAAGATACATCTGTATTTCTCTTGGATTGGAAGACTGGGAAATTAGTTAAGAGGTATAGAATGGACGAGCTGTATTCTAATACAGTTGTTGAAAATGATAAAGAGAAGGCTATTGTTTTGTCTAAAGAAGCTCCGATACTATTTGGATCGGGGTTTAAGGAATCGGAAGATCTTCCTGAGCTGGTTTACATTGAGAGGAAAGATTTTAAAATCCAATGTATATCAAAGTTTGGAGATGTTTTGTGGAGTGTTTCTTATGCTAAGATGGAAGCTAAACTACAAAACCATGAGAGTGTACACCTCATGGGTGGGTTATCATCATCAGATGGTATTCCTATTAGAACTTCTTGGGGGAAAAACCATTTCCCGCTATCCTATACGACAAGTGTTCCTGTGGTCCAGTTACGTAATGTTAACTATGAAACACTGTTTCCGAGACTTGGTTTTCTAGACGATGCGTTGTATCTTCCATTTCAAGATAGAAAACCTAATCGGTTGGCTCCTGGAGATGGGAATCAGTTGGCACTTCCAAGCAATGAAGAGACTGAAGAATTCCTCTCCCTTCCTCTGCCTGAGACTGTAATATCTCAGATCACAGATATTATTGATGGAAGCACTACACAGACAGGCTTTGCTAGCAAATTTTCTGGTTTGATTGTTCTACTTTTTGGCTTTTGTGTTACTATGCTTTCTGTTTGCGGCCTTTTCTTTTGCCGATTAAGACAGAGCATGCGGATCAAGGAACCTTATGTATCGGAAGTGCCCATCGCGATACCAAAGAAGAAAAAGTCCAAGAAAAATGGGACTATAAAGGCTGCTCAAAAGAAAGAGAACGGGCTTATATCCGGAGGGAACAAAGATCCCTCTAATGAAGAGAATGATAAGAGATTACTTACTGCTTTCCCTGGCCTCAATAATAGTTCAGCAGAAGGATATAGGGTTGGTAAACTGTTTGTCTCCAACAAGGAGATTGCTAAAGGGAGCAATGGAACTGTCGTGCTTGAGGGATCCTATGAAGGTCGTCTTGTAGCGGTTAAGCGTCTAGTACAATCACATCATGATGTGGCTCAGAAGGAGATTTTGAATCTCATGGCCTCGGACAAGCATCCAAATATTGTCCGCTGGTACGGGGTTGACCAGGACGAACATTTTATCTATATTTCATTGGAACGGTGTGCTTGTAGCTTAAACGATCTCATCTGTGCATCCTCTGCACTGCTTGAGAGTTCAGTGGCTTCAAGTAGTATACAACCGATTCAGATAAACCCAATCTTTGAGAATGGCAAGGGAGTTGAGCTATGGAAGGAAAACGGACATCCGTCTCCTGTTTTGTTGAAGTTAATGAGGTTTGTTTAGTATCTCATCTTTCACACTTAGATCAACGGTTGCATACATCTTTCTGATCTTTGTATGTTTGTGTTACAGTGATATAGTTGCTGGTCTAGTTCATTTGCATGATATTGGAATCGTACATCGAGATCTAAAACCTCAAAATGTGTTGATTGTTAAGAACTCATCTGTATGTGCAAAGCTATCAGATATGGGTATTAGCAAGCGCTTGCCAGCCGACACAAGTGCCTTGACTAGAAACTCAACTGGTAAGAATCTTGAAAACTTACATGATACAATGTAATTATAAATTCTTCTCTTATTAAAATTGTTGTTTTTTTATGGTAGGTTCTGGAAGTTCTGGGTGGCAAGCACCTGAACAACTCCGCAATGAACGACAAACAAGAGCTGTTGATCTCTTCAGTTTAGGGTGTGTTCTATTTTTCTGTATGACTGCAGGTAAACATCCTTATGGAGACAATTATGAGAGGGACGTAAACGTTTTGAATGATCGAAAAGATCTTTTCTTGATCGAGAGTCTTCCAGAAGCTGTTCATCTTCTCTCTGGTCTCCTGAACCCGGATCCAAATTTGAGGTACGGATGGCACTTTTGGCTGTTATTATTGCTATCAAAACTAGCGAGATTTGATAATTTTATTTTCATGGTGCTAATTGCGATATTTCTTTACTCAGAAGTGCTGTTTTTTATTGTATCCCAAAGTAACATCGAGAATCTTTCTTTGAGCTCGTCAATTATGAAATTGTCCTTCCCGCTAACAGAACCTTTTTTCAATATTTGAAAATGCAGACCGAGAGCACAAGAAGTTCTGCATCATCCATTGTTCTGGAACTCTGACATGAGACTGTCTTTCCTCCGGGATGCAAGTGATAGAGTCGAATTGGAAAACCGAGAGGAAGGCTCACAGCTCTTGGCTGCACTTGAAAGCACAGCAGCGGTTACATTAAACGGGCGGTGGGATGAGAAACTGGATAGCATATTCCTAGACAATATCGGGCGTTACAGGCGGTACAAGTTTGATAGCATCCGCGATTTGTTACGGGTCATAAGGAACAAACTGAATCACTATAGAGAGCTTCCAAAAGAATTACAGGAACTACTTGGGAGTGTACCTGAAGGGTTTGAGAGGTACTTCTCAAGCAGGTTCCCAAAACTGTTGATTCAGGTTTATACAGTTTTATTTGATTACTGTAACAATGAAGAGTTCTTTTTCAAGTACTCTAAGACCACCGTATTCTAGGATTCTTTTCTTCTGTTTACTCTCTCTGTATAATAGGGATTTACTAATAAAGAGCTATATAATAATTGTTGTGATTCTCACATATTTAACCTCTGTTTCACTTTCAGAAGTTAGTTCTCTCTATCTCTTACACTCCTTTTACTCGTTTGTGTTCACTTGTTCTAGAGAGAAAACAAGAATACATTTTACTTTAATCTTCTACATTGATAACATATTCTTGATAGATTCTTACAACACATACATATACTACTTCTACTTGACACACTTGCACACTTGCACTTAGACCTAATAATAACTCGTACACACTAGACCATACTCCTAGGTTCCAGGCACTCTTACACAAGCCTCCTCTACAAGTTACAAGTTAGTCAAGTCTAAATATCCACTCTTGTAAGTAAATTAGGGCTCTCTATCAGATTAATGAATGAAAAAATTGGATGTTTCATTAAAAAAACAAACAAAATGGCCATTTAGTTATAAAATTTGCTCTTTTTATTTCCTTGGAAGATATATATACATAGTTATTGATTTCGATTTGGCTTACAAAATTTGCTCATTTTATTTATGAATAGATAATCGTTGACGTATTTTCAGTTTTTGGTATAATATCATCGACCGTAATGTATAGTTGCAAAAAGCTTATGCATTTTTGAAAAAAGGAAATGATAGATTATACCTAGATTATATAGTTTTAAAATGTATAGTAATCTGAGTATAAATTTATATGCTTTTGTACGTCTTCGTAAGCATATATCACACACCAAAATGGCTCACTATATGAATATGAATCTGATCATCACTAGTCTTGTGATGATCTTGATTTCACATTTGCCTTTTTCCTCAACTGTGAATCCAGACAAACCAACAAAGTCTATATAATCGACAGAATCTGCAACCAAACAGTGAACTTCAATGACTGCATAATGATTGTCACGTCACAGCTAAATTCGCCGCACGCAAACATCGCGACCATAACGAACGTGACGACAAAAAGAGCTCTGACGTTTGCTACGGAGACGGTTTCTCAAATCCAAGACTATCTTCTCCCAAATGCTACAGATCCTGATGACAAAGCCGTTTTCTCGGCTTGCGAGGTCGCTTACAAAGCCGTGGTTTCTAGTCTTCAAAGTGCTTATACGTCGATGAACAAACGTGATTACGTGGCGATGAAGGCACAGCAGAATCAAGCACTTAGGTATATTGATGTGTGTGAAAAGAGGACTAACTTCTTTCGCCGGACTCCGATTGTATCAGTCAACTATTATGTGAGGTTGATGGTGAAGATTGCTTCCATTGCAGGCCAGATCCTTGCTCCTCGTACGACCCCGCCACGTCCCGTGAACAAAATAATATTTTGTAAGAGAACCTCGTTTCGAATATTCAACAATAATTTTTTTAATTAATTTTCGATATATTTTCATAGAAACAAAACAAACCAAGAGATTTAGCATTGCAGATTTGCAGAAATTTGTAGAATTCAGTCCATTAGGTTTTATATGCATGATGTGGTTATTCAGATATGATTCGTTGTGTACTTGTGTGCAAGAAAGTGAGTAACAGAACAAACAGCCGTCACTTACACCATTAACGTCGACTACAAGTAAATTTTTTTTTTACAAAATAATAAAAATGGAGTATTGAAATCTTTAATGAAAAAATAAAGAGTATTGTGGATAATTTTGGAGCGTACGATCGTTTTTGCCATTTTTCAGTATATTATTGTAAACGTGGCTATTAACAAAAAGAAAACATTAGATAGAGTAACATTGTAATATTTTTAGGGAAAAATCTCTAAGAAACACCCATCTACTTTTTATTTGATCATTTAATATTCAAGGTTTTTTTAATTGGAATTAAAATACCTGATTTAAATATATTTAGTTTTAAAATACTTCATTTTTGAAAATTGGTGAAATCGAACCCGCGACTTAACAGTCGTTAACGGACGTTACAAAATTATTTAATGATGTTAAATTTGAACCCCACATGTTTGTCCTATATATACAATGTTCTTACATATTATAAATGTATTGTCGTGGTCTAGTGGTCACGTGTGGGTTTTATGTACGTGAGTTCGAATCCATCAACCTTTGATTTTTTTAAAATCCTTCATTTGACCACTAAACCTAGACAATTCATTGGTAATGTCTCGTAAAAACATAGTATATATCGATGTATTTTTATTCTAACAAAAAAATATTGGATATTAAATGGTCAAATTAAAAATAAATGAGATTTTTTTCAGAATTTTTTCCAATATTTTTAGTTTGAAAATCGTATGTTTTTGTATTTTTTTGGATATGTTGTAAATATTGTTTGTTTTTTTTTATTAGTATACTTTCATATTATACATTTATATAGCTTTAGCTCATAAATTTAGTTGGTCACATATTATTTTTGTTTGAAAATATGGGCCAAAAAATACAATATATATGGTGCCTTTGAACTTATTAACCATTTGTTATTCTTTTTCCTTTCCAATGTGTGATCTTTTTTTTTTTTAGTTTACTAGGTGATACTTTAGTCTATTTCCTCCAAATGAAATGTTATTAATTGGGCCCTTATCAATACCCGCCATTTTTGAGCTCGGACGTCCACGTCGGCCTAATCCAATTGCCTACTTTAGGCGGTTCTTTCTGAGTGAACCATGTCACTCTTTCTCTTTTATGAGTGTTCATTAGATAAACAAATATACTCTATTTCAAAGTAATATTTATCTAAAACTATGTATACAATTACTATGTATTGCAATACGATAAAAAGAGTACCACATCTGGAAAAGTGGAATGGTTTATACGTTTGTTGATGCTTAAAGTAAAATTTTAATTTATGACATTATTTGGTAGGATATATAATAATAGTAGTTAGTATTTAATTAACTTGAAGGTAAAGTGTGCAAGTCATAATTTTATGTTACCTCTGAACATATACTTCCCAAAATAAATTTCATTCGTAAAGTTTTCTATGTTACGTAATCGATACGAATTAGACAAAAAAAGAAACTCTATTGGGAAAAACATTATAAGAATAAAATTCTTATCTTATTTATTACACTACTAATTCAAACTGTAATTAAATTCAACATTTATTAAATTAAAAGAAATATTAAATACTGTTGTTGTACTATAACAATGTAATAAGTCACTTTGATATAAATACTGTTGTTGTACTATAACAATGTAAGTCACTTTGATATATATCTTCTTAAAGCAATAGTGTTTTTGTTTTACAAATGGATGGAATCTTTTTAACAGAATATGGTTCAAAATATTATGAGAATATATAGAAGCTGACAACACATCAAAAATTGGGACACATCAGGTAGTAACTGAAGTCAAACGTATACACCAAACTCAACAAAACCACTCTTTTTCAAAAGTCAGTGCTCTTTCTCTTTGTGGGGTTTGTTTACTATCGACACTTCCAAGGGACTCCATTTTTTTCCTATTTTTATAATTACACCAAAAATCAACTTTTTCAAAATTCGTACTACCATCTTCTTATTATTCTTTTTTAATTCTCTCATATATTAGAATAAAATAAAAAAAATTGCACGGTTAGTGAGTTTCAGACCAACAACCATATATCTCCTTGCTCTGTCTTTTAACTGTAAAACGCGTGTTCCTTCCATATTTGGTTGAATCTGAATCACAAAATATGTACTTTCCATAATATGCAAACCCTAATTTGTACTTCTGTGCAGTACACTTTCTCTCTCTCTCTTCATTCATTTCTCATCTTCTATAAAAAATTTTCTCAATTCAACATCACTTACTATGCGAATTCTCTCTGCTTCTTCTTCTTCTTCTTCCATCTTACGCCAAACCTCGAGTCTGCGAATCATTCGATTCTCAGATTCGCATCTTTTCCACGAATTGCCGGATCAAAACATTGTTTCCGTGTACAAGAAGCAACCTAACGATTTGGGGCAGGTGAGCTTATTTTATTTATACTAATTTATCACACCGATCAAGATTACAATTTCATTTTCTTGAATTCCAGAGATCTCTAGGTTATTGAGATTTGTTTCCACAAATGGAGAACGAGAGGGTTGAGAGAGAACAGAACCAATTTCAAGAAGACGAGTTTATCGATTCGAGAAAACCACCGCCATGGAGAAAACAGATCACGGTTCGAGCCATCGTCGCGAGTTTATTGATAGGGATTGTCTACAGTGTGATCTGTCTGAAGCTGAATCTAACGACAGGACTCGTACCGAATCTAAACATCTCATCAGCTCTCTTGGCTTTTGTCTTTCTCAAATCTTGGACCAAAGTTCTTCAAAAAGCCGGAATCACCACGACGCCTTTCACACGTCAAGAGAACACTATTGCTCAAACTTGTGCTGTTGCTTGCTACAGCATCTCTCTTGCAGGTAATTTCTATAAACAAACCATGTCTTTATTAGTTTCGCCAAACCCCGAGGCATCGACTAATCGGGCCAGAGCATGCCTTACTAAGTGACCTACATGCAGAGTTTGCACACAGAGGAATGGTTATTAAGGTTTTACTTATACAAGAATAAGAAAATCGATTTTAAACGATGAAGTTTCCATATTGCAGGTGGATTTGCATCGTATTTGTTGGGTTTAAATAGAAGAACTTACGAGATTACGGGAGTGAACACTGAAGGAAACAATCCTCGTGGTATAAAAGAGCCTGGTGTTGGATGGATGACATCATTCCTCTTTGTTACTAGCTTCATTGGACTAGTTGTTTTGGTACCTCTTCGAAAGGTAATGATTTTTAGCAACTATGAAACAGAGTAAATTTGATTTCAATGGTGTGAAGTCTGAGAATGAAACGATGTATAAACAGGTGATGATTATAGACTACAAGCTAACGTATCCGAGTGGAACAGCAACAGCTGTTCTTATAAATGGATTTCATACTAGCAAAGGAAATAAGACAGCCAAGTATGTTATATATATGTTCTTGATGAATCTTGTTTTTCTTTTCTTGTTCATGAATTGAATTGGGATATATATCGATATTTTTTCGTCGTTTTTGATACAGGAAACAGATCCGCGGGTTTATAAAATCGTTTGGTTTGAGTTTCTTTTGGGCATTCTTTGGATGGTTTTATTCAGGTGGTGAAAAATGCGGATTCTCTCAGTTCCCTACATTTGGGTTACAAGCTTTGGAAAAATCGTGAGTTTCCTCTGTTTTTCTTATAACCTTTCGAATTTTTTTTGCTGCTTGTGTTTAAACGTGTTTGATTGAAGAAGCTTTATCTCTTTGTGGGATGCAGATTCTACTTTGACTTCAGTATGACATATGTTGGAGCTGGGATGATTTGTTCGCATTTGGTGAATCTATCGTTGCTTTTCGGTGCCGTCCTCTCGTGGGGAATCATGTGGCCTCTCATAGCCCGGCTTAAAGGCGAATGGTTCCCTGCAACATTACGAGATAATAGCATGCAGGGCTTAAATGGCTACAAGGTTTGATTCATATTAGTTTTTTATATTTTATGAGTTGCGAGCTGTGGAAGCAAAATGATGCGATATGTTCCTTTTGTGTTGTTATTAGGTATTTATATGCATTGCATTGATCTTAGGAGATGGACTTTATAACTTCCTCAAGATACTCTTCTTCACTGGAAGAAGCTTCCACTCAAGACTCTCCAAAACCAACAGCATCAGCACATGTAAGTTATGAGGAATGATCTAGCTAACCGTGTCTTGCATTTGTTTCGATGTCAAAGTAATAACCAATTGACTGATTGATTGCAGTGGTAGAAGCTCCAGAAGATAGCACAAAAGAATCCGATAACCTGAAACGAGAGAATGAAGTTTTTGTTCGAGAGAGTATCCCGCTATGGATGGCTTGTGTAGGATACTTATTCTTCTCCCTTGTCTCCATCATTGCCATCCCTCTGATGTTCCCTCAACTAAAATGGTACTTCGTCCTCGTAGCTTACCTCCTTGCCCCGTCTCTCAGCTTCTGTAACGCTTATGGAGCCGGCTTAACGGATATGAACATGGCTTACAACTACGGTAAAGCAGCGCTCTTTGTGATGGCGGCACTGGCAGGAAAAAACGATGGAGTGGTGGCTGGCATGGTTGCTTGTGGTCTCATCAAATCAATTGTATCTGTCTCGGCTGACCTGATGCATGATTTCAAGACGGGACATCTAACGCAAACCTCGCCCCGCTCAATGCTTGTTGCACAAGCCATCGGGACAGCTATAGGCTGCGTGGTCGCACCACTCACCTTCTTCCTCTTCTACAAGGCGTTTGATGTTGGAAACCAAAATGGTGAATACAAGGCTCCTTATGCTATGATTTACAGAAACATGGCCATTATCGGTGTTCAAGGTCTCTCGGCTCTTCCCCAGCATTGCCTGGAGCTTTGCTACGGATTCTTTGCCTTTGCGGTTGTTGCCAACCTGGCAAGAGACCTCTTACCAGAGAGGCCGGGGAAGTGGATCCCACTCCCGATGGCAATGGCTGTACCGTTCCTGGTGGGTGGGTCGTTCGCAATCGATATGTGTATTGGGAGCTTAGTGGTATACGTTTGGAAGAAGGTGAACCGTAAGAAGGCAGATGTGATGGTTCCGGCTGTTGCATCAGGTTTGATATGTGGAGATGGTCTCTGGATTCTGCCTTCTTCTTTGCTGGCTCTGGCTAAGGTTAGACCTCCTATCTGTATGAACTTCACTGCGGCTCATTAAGGCGGAGAGATTTTTCAGACAAAACCCGAACTCATTGCCGGAGAAATGAATGTATACTAGATGTGGTTAGGTTAGGAGTAGACAGTTAAAGTGGGATTAAACCACATATACATGTCTTATATGATATGATATTAATAATTTTGGAATAAGAATGAACAGAAAGAGTTGGTTTATTCTTTTACCGGCGGAAGATTCTCTTTCCCGGCACAAAAAAAATTGTTTCATATACAAAATTGAAAATGGAGGCAGAGAAACTCACCTCTGAAAGTTTCACAACACACCACACAAATCATGCCTATCTTGATTCTGGCCTTGAGATATGTTAAACCGGGATTTAGATAGTGGTAAATCAAATCATCGGTTCGATTCTGTTCCAACACCAGCTACTATCCCCTGATAGCTTGCCAGGAAGCCACATTTCATAGTTGTTCAAACACAAGCACCAGCAGTTCTTATAAATAACCATAACACATTAAACGATTTTGGGATTCGAATGTTCGATCTTGGCATGGAGAGTGACAATAAGGTCGTGTGCATCGTCTAAGAGCTTCCACACGTCTAGTTTCCCTACCATATTGTGGCACTCCCGGAGAATCTCCTCCATGCTATAGTACTTCTCTATTATGACTTTCCTCCTTTGCAACACGGAGGCAGCTACTGCGTACAGCAACAAATCCTCTGTGGGAGGAGCCCGCTGCTTTATTCGACGGCTCCAGGAAGATTTCCCCATTCCAGCTCTTATTGCAGCTTGGTCTGCCCAAATCACTTCCCAGAGATACAGTGTTTGTTCCAGAGTCAGCTCTCTTCTAAACATCACAAGCACCATTCTGTAAACAAAGAAACAGTCTTCTGCCTTCACTTTCTCTAGATGCTTGTAGAGCTGTGAGTCTTTGGATTTAATAATCTTTGATACTATGTTCAGTTGTCTAGTGATCCCAACCTCGTCGAGTCTGAAATTCTGACGAGCTTTCTTCATGAACCCAACGAAACACCAAAATGCCTCGTAGTCATCAGGTATGACAGAGAGTATAGGGGAGAGAAGATCACTCATTCCTTGGCAATAGCCAATTTCAGGATCATATAAGGCATAGGCTTCAAGAACAGAAACAAGCCGTGCAGCGTGAAAGATTTTCGAAGGTTCCAAATGACTGTAATCCTTTAAAACAACCGCGTCAGCAGCACGGCGTGCCCTATTCTCGGATACCATAGCTTGGGATGAGGAATATGGAGTCCACTCTGTATCCGCACGAAGAGCGTCAAGACGGATAATACGCTGCCAGGTCACAAAATCCTCTTTGGTACGAGAAATATATATGCTGGATGGAGAAGTACTATGTTCATCCCTCCCTTCATCAGAAGGAGCGACCTGAACAGAATCATTCTCATCAGATGAATCTGAGTCTGAGGACTCAGAATTCAGGTGTCTTGAACCAGTGTAGTCTCTGTCAAGCGTACATGAGACATCACTCATGTAGCCAATATCTTCCGTGTTGTCTTTGAGGCTAGTAAGAGACTTGTGGGCGCTGCAAGCATCATCAGAACATGAACTGTCAGAGTCTTGCGCAAGAGACCAACTATCATGCTCATCTTGAGTAGTTTTATTGATCTTGTTTAACTTAAAAGTCCCACTGTCTTGTCTTTGTAGCCTTTTGCACTGCCGGCGTAGTCTCTCATACACTTTTCTGCAATTTTAAGGTTAAGTAAAATCAAGTCACAGATGAACAAAAGATATAAAAAGATCCTCGAGCGGTGATTCATCAGTTTCTCACCTTCTCCACGTTCTTGTAGCACCTCTCTCTTCTTCAGAACTATTCAAATCGCACCTGTTTTGCAGAGAAGAAAATAAACAAAGGTGAGGAAAACGAAGCAAGAACACTATGGTTCTGTGAGTATATAAGTCTGTTGCGACATATTAGTAACCATGAGCTCTATAACAAGACAATGGCCTCGATTTCAACACACCACAAGCAACTCGATAGAGATTTCATTATAACATATGAATTGCCATAAGTGCATTGTTGCAACTAATAAGAGTTTAGATGTATACTTACACTCCAAGAAGAAATGGCCAAACCTCCGACCGAATGCTAGGATCAATGCCCTACAAAAAAATACAAAACAAAAGATGAATATTCCCAAACATTTGTAGAACACACTAACAACTTCATAAAGCTGTGAAGCTTTAACTCACTCTACTCCGGACTTTCTTCAATAAATCTACTCCTCCATTCCGAAGTCTACCCTCGGGAGTGAAATACCTTCTCCACCGGCGAAGTGTGAGGGGTTTCTTTCGTTTTCTTCGGGACCAGGGCGATTTTAGCCGATGCCTGAACATAAAACAGAAATTGAGATTGTTTCAAAATAAGCCATGCTTGTTCTGATTTTGAGCACAAACCATAAAGTACAAACAACACTACACTTCAATACCTCAAAGACATCTAATACAAACAAACTTAACACTAGCAAATTACATACGAATTGATTCAACTTGAGCTAAAATGATACTAAAAGCATTTTAATTTATTTCTAGTAAAAGGAGATATCCAAAGATATGTTGATCCTATTTATGGAAACTAAGTAAAGGGCCAATTATGACAAAAGCAAAAACAAATCCAATCATTGATCCTGTAATAAAGATCAAACCTTTGAAGCATTTACCAATAACACATGCCAAATCAAATAATCTAGAAACTGAGAATCAAAAAGAGACTCACGGATCAGAAGAAGAACAAGAAGCAGGAGAAGAAGAAGTAACAATGACGAAAGCAGAACGCAAATGAGTCCACGGAGATGACGGAGAAGCAGGATTAGGAAACGAAGACTTCGTTTGAATTCGTCGTAGAGCTTTCATCGAAACCCAGACTCCTTTCTCTCTCTATCTTCCTCTTCCACAATTTAAAGGTCCAGACTTGTGAAACCTCAAAAAATCTGAAAATGTCCGTACAAATCGGTAACAGATTTGATCCAAAACTCCGGCGAAAACCATACGACCTCCTCCTTCTCCGTCTTAGCCGCGTCGTTGAAGAAACTAGCTTCCGCTTCTTTGTAGAAAGTTGGGATTTTTCCTTCTCTCTCTCTCTAGAATCTGAAAGAGAAGTCAAAATCAGAGTAAAGAGATGGTCATTGGAGCCATTAAAGCCTTTTTCTTTGGCTTTTTATAAAAGTTCGTTACAGTACCCCACCACCACCACGTAGCCAAATACTCAATATTTACACTTTTAGTCCTTTTTACTTTTCTTATTTATTTATCTGGCCTTATCTTTCTCACATAATTTTTATTATTTTCCTTTTGATTCTTTTAAATACGAATTTTCACATATTTAGATGAAATCTCATAAAAAGTCTTTAAATTTAATATAGTATCTAAAGATATTTGGTTTATTTATTACTAGATATAAAAACTAGACATGTAAAATAAAGTGAAACCAAACAAATAATGGAAAATTAAGGTCGATCTATTACCATATATGTTTCCAATATTACCATATATGTTTCCAACTATAAGTCTTTTCATCAACAAATCTAATAATATGAATCAGATACCATTTATTCCTCATTCAGATGAATCAGATCTCACTTCAACAACCATTCTATTTATTTCTAGTTCTGTAATAATTGATATATGTTTAACTTTAGGAAAAATATCTCCCCTCACTCACTACAACTACATGTACTATCTTTTTGTAACTCTTAAATCTCGGCTACACAAACTAAACCAATGGTTGGTTCATACATTGTGGTTCGGACTTATAGTATGGAACCTTTTGGTGAGTGGAATGAAAAAAGCAGACTATCTGTGAATTTATGATGGTATGGAGTTTTATGCTACATTGAGTACTACTGTACTAGTATGGAGAATTTTAATCCGTAATAGTGCATATTGGTCTGCAATGGTGAATGATGAATTAAGTGCGGACCGGTCCGACTTTAGCCTAGTCTAGAGCATACTACAAAAATATTTAAAGCCGATAGTCAAAACAACCATTGGAGAGAATGTTGGTTCCCATAGATTTGAACCAAAATACAAAAACAAATAAGAGAAACCATTGATTTGATTCATTATGTCCATGTCAAGTACGCTTTTATTACAACAGTCTCTTCCCAAAACATAAATGGAAAGAACCGGCGAGTAAAAATCCAAAAACCAAACTGGACTAGTCACATTGGTGAGTTCACTGGAATGCAAGCATATCACTGCTTTAGAGCTTGGAAGAGGCTGGTTTATCCAGGAACCAAACCAGCTCGTCTTCAGCAGAAACGGAACCCGCAGGTGGTACATTCCCAGTCTTCTTTAAAGCTGCCTGCACAGCTTCCGCCTTCCCTGAACCGCAAACGACTAGAGCTACATGTGCAGACGAGTTGATGACCGGGAATGTGAATGTGATTCTTTCAGACGGCGGTTTTGGAGAGTCGGAGATTGAAACCACCCATTTCTTGCTCTCGTTGCAGAGACCATGTCCTGGGAATAAGGATGCCACATGGCCATCAGGACCCATACCAAGAAGCATGAGATCAAATTTGGGGAAGCCGGTTGATTCAGATACGCGGAGGATGTTGGTCTTCACCAAATGTTTGAGGCAGGTCTCGTAATCATCCGCTGCAGCCTCAGCGGAGAGGGATTCGTTGATTGCATATACGTTTCCAGGCGGAATTGGAACCTGAAGAGAAATGATTAGACTGTGAAAAGGAATTGAAGGAAACAAAGATGACTATAACGAGTTACGAAGATGTTTCAAAAAACCTGCATTGATTGATCATGTGAGAACAACAAACAATGGTGAGACAGAATGTGTTTATTCAATACCTTGGACAGAAAACTATCATAAGCAAGTTTGTAGTTGCTATCGTCGTGATTCTTGGGAACAACCCGCTCGTCGACCCAGAAAAAATGCCATCTTGCCCAATCTATAGAGTCAACATAAGGAGATTCTACTAATTTCCTGAAAATTAGAGAAAGTATTTGCATTAGAAGAAAACATTATCAAGAAAATGTGTCAAAAATGTGAAAAGCTATGTTCTTGATCAGCCATAACTACCAAAGATTACACAAGCCAAATCCAAATCTCGAATTCGCAGATGCTAAACCCTAAATCAAGACTTTGCAACAACCCCTAAATCCAAATTATATATCTAGTAAATCTTCACAAAGCCAAATCTGAAATCTAAAAATCTCACCGGAGAGATTTGATGAGAGAGCCACCGGAGACAACGACAGTGAAAGCACCTCTCTCTTTACAAAACTTGTCGGAGAGATTAGCAGTGAATTTAGCCAAATCAATCGCTAAATTCTCCTCGAGATCGTAAATCTCAACTCTTTTCTTCTCCTCCTTACCTATATCCGTCGTAGCCATGCTCTTCACGTTTATCCGAGTATCGGGTACTCTCTTGCTAGATCCAGTTCCGATCGATGAAACCGAGAACGATTGGAAACGAGAAGAAGTGGAAGAAGAGCAAGTGAGACGATTCTTGGGGAAGAAAGTGGGTGGAGAATAATTTGAACGGAGGTTAGTGGGAGAAGAGAAGAGAATCGAGCGAAGGAAACAAGAAGAAGAAGCCATTGAAAGAAAGTGAGAGAGCGTTTTTATAGGTGAAAGTGAACAACTTTGACTTTGTAGAGTATGAGAGGAGGACAAGTGGATTCATAAAGCCTTCTCCGACCAAACCTGTTTTATTGGTTGTGTAACTCTCTGGTCTAGCTTATTAACTAAACTAATCCTAGAATTGGGCGTTCGTGTTTTCGGCTTGGTTCTGGTTCGGATTTTTCAGGTTTCGGGTGATTTGGATAGGAGGTTTAGGATACTTTGGTTCGAATATCCTTCGGTTAGGTTATAAATTATCCGAAATATTTGAACTAATCGAACAAAAATAAGAATTTGAATAGTTCGATTATCTGATCGGTTCTCAGATAATATCTGAACCGAACCGATATCTATGATTCTGTAAGAAAAGATCTCTTCGGTTAATTTGCAATATCTGGAACTGAATCACCTAATTCGGTTTGGTTCTGTTTGGTCCGGGTATTTTGTCCGGGACTAGCTAATTAGTAACTGATTTGCAAGAATAAACCGAACCAACTAGATCTTACATTCCAAACACACAGCATTTATTGAAAATCATAAAAGAAAAACCAGAAACCATACAAATAGAAGAGAACCGAACATCAATGTCCTTTCGGGATCTTGGATGCAGCGGCTTGGTCAAGAAACCAGACGGCTTCTACGTCAGCTGTGAGCCAAGCAGCAGGCAAGTCGAAGTTATCGTTGAAAACCTTAGCTACCGCATCAGCTTGAGCCTCATCACATACGGCCATGAGGTTATAGGAAGCACAGTTAATGACCGGTAAAGTGAAGGTGATTCTCTTTGGTGGCGGTTTTGGGGAATCGGTGATATAAGTTACCAAATCTGCCTTCTCCTTGATCTGATAATGTCCCGGGAACAAAGATGCCATGTGACCATCTGGACCCATCCCTAGGAGTTGGAGATCGAATTGAGGGAAGCCCGAGGATTTGTATGTGCGGATGATGTCTCGGTTCACCAGTCTTTTGAGGCATTCCTCGTAGAGTAATGCGGCACCTTTGGCATCACCAAGGGCTGCACAGTCTTTGTCGATTGCATATATGTTCGCAATTGGAATTGGAACCTACATATAGAGTTACTTATATGTATATCAAAATCATCTAACAAGACACTTTACTAACAATTTCATATTGAAATTGAGAAGAGACCTACACAAGTATAAATGACATCATCATTTAAACTAATGTCAAATGACTTTGTGTTGCAAACTCATTAACTTAGTGTTTGCATAGAATTTCTATTTCTATTTTTTCTTGATTTTAATATATATTTACAACATAAATATTTGTTTGATACAAAGTTTGTTTCAAGGCATCATCTATATATGAATAGTTTGATAAGTTGTTATGAGGTGAGAAGAAACAATACCTTGGAGAGAAAACCATCAAAAGCGAGTTTGTAATTGCTGTCCTTATGGTCTAATGGAACAACTCTCTCGTCCACCCAAAAAATGTGCCACTTTGACCATTCGATGCTTTCTTGATACATTGGTTCCAACAATTCACTGCAAAGGTTAATTAAATTTTAATCTTTTTACAAAATCAGACTAAATAAATGAACAAGATTCGAATATTGTTGATCAAGAAAGAAGAATAAGGTTTAAAGATTTTCTTATATAGTATACCTGAGCCAAGAGATGAGGTCGCCACCGGAAAGAACTACGGTGAAGTAACCTCTCGCCTTGCAGAACTTGGCGGAGAGATTGGCCGTGTACTCGGCCATAGCCTCCGACAATTCTTTCTTTGTGGGAAATACAATCTTCTTCCTTTTCGTTTTCGCCATAATGGTTCTCTGTAAGAGAATTTGATCAAGGAGATGTAATAGTTAGAAAAGAAGAAGAAGTGGTTTTGAATGTTGATGATGAAGTGATGAACGTACAATTAGGATAAACACGCATTATTTGTAATTATTTTAATTATGTATTTTATAATGCTTATCGTATTTTAATTATATGGTTTTTTTTTTTTGACGTCAAGATTTATTATTTATTGCAAATTATGAGAACTGTTACATAGACGATTCTACAACGGACAATTCCTTCCGACCCTTATTAGATCCACGACAGACGATACTTCCTTCTCCATGCTCTTGACGGACACCTTCAATGATCCACGACCTGACGACACTTCTCTCTCTGCGTAGAATCCTGGCGAACGGCTATAATTGTACTTCGCTGGAGATCTCCTGCACACTTGCCTCCTTTAATCTGCAAATTTATTAATAAATCGCAATATCTGGGACTCGAACCCCAGACCTCTTGGTGTAGAAGCATTAATTAACCCTTGGTCAACCAATGGGCCAAGGGGGCTTCCACTAATTATATGGTTAGTTTTAGGGTTTTCACTTTTCATTTTACAAGAGTTTTCAACCTTTTTCCATAAATAGCTTATTAAGTTTTGTTAAGTTTCATAGATTTCTTTATTCAATTATGCTCGTAAGGTTCGCTTTTATTTAATTATGCACAAAACTGCAAGTTATAAGAAACCCATGAAAACATATGTATATATATATCTCACAGCACTCATCGAGTATAGGATGGAAATTAAAGGATCATGTTGATCTTAGTTATGAAACGATTACATGGTAATTGGAGATAAATTAGTCTTAAAAACACCCACTTGACTGATGATATATAGATCTCTTAAATTAATATGTACCTAAACTATAGTTACAACGTATAAAGCAGAAAAGAAAAGAGATCATACCAAAAAATATAACACAAAATGCATTGTCACTTTTCGCATATTCCGTTGTTTAGTCGAGCAGCCGTTGATAATACCACGTTTAGATGTAAATCACTAATTCTCCCAAATAAAGTTGAACTGATGACTTTGAGCCCTCACTCTCTAAACACTTTTCTATTTGGTGACCAAATTTTTATTGTCCACTAATTTTAGTACCACCGGAAGACGTATTTCGTTTGCTAATATCAGTACCTATATTATAAAATAGCAATTATTTGGTAAAAATTTTTGAGTTTGATTTCTGTTTACTTCATCTGGTTCGTATTTGGGGCTGGTTAAATTCAAATGTTGATCCCTATTAAGATCCCTCAGGGTGACTTGATGCATGATTTTAAAGGCCTTAGATATGTAACTTATATTAAGTCACAACCATAATTTTAAAACCAAATTTTCTGCAAAGAAAAATTCAAAAAAAAAAACCTAACTACCAATCACATAATGTGTGAGCTGTCCAGAGTTGTCGTTGGAACGTCGACTTTATTTAATTACTTTAAGAAAATAAAATAGTACACTCTCTTCAAATGATAAACCACTTCAATATTAGTTTGGTTCACTCTACCCTAAATAAAGTTTACAACTAGAATATTGTTTGGGTTGGCTGATTCCTGCTCGACGGCGTTTTGCTTCCGTAGCGTGCTTTTGCCCGAGATTCCTGCTCCGCCGCTGTTCATCCGATGCGACGGAGACATCGTGGGTGAAGAAGAAGCCGAGGTTCCTGGTCTCCGCGCCGCCATCGACGGAGTCAACAAGGTAGGAAGGATTATTCGATTGAGCTGAGGAAGAAGGGAGAAGATGTAAACGAGGTACGCGTGGACCAAATGGTGGTGGAGGAAGAAAAAAAATTTTGGTCAAAATCGGGTGAAGAGGAAGAAGAAAATTTTGGTCAAAATTAGGTTTAAATTTGGTTAAATTTGAATTAAATCAAACCGGGTTATGTGGTACCGGTTTATTGGCCGGTTCAATTGGAGGCGTAGTTTTAAGGATGAATCCGAAAGTACATGTTGCAATTGTGAGAATTATCTAAGTTTATGGTGGAATTTTAAGGGGCAAAAAGGTTGGGGGGAAAAGCTGAGAACGCAACTAGTTAATGGCTATAAAATCAGCCAACCCATATTCTTTTGTCTCCAACTCCACGCTTAGCTTGCTTGCACATGATTCGACACTATCGACAGAAACGAGATTCAATAGAATACTAGATCATGACCCGTGCTATACAGCACGGGATTTAATATTTTGTGTAAATTCAATTGTATATTTTGTTTGAAAAATTAAATAATAATATAATATAATAGTATAGTATAAAAGGGAATATATCATAATGTTTTATTTTTATTATTATTTGGATATAATGTTGTATATTTCATTTGACGATGGTTGTATATTTTGTTTGTAGAACTAAATAATAATATAGATAATAAATTTTAAATCTATATTCCATATCATATTGGACTATTTTATTATAGGAATTAAATGTTGTTTTAATCTAACTTGGTTGAAAAACATGACTTGGTAATAAAGAAAGAGAGAATATTGTATTGTATATAAAATATATTTAGCTGCATTAAAATTCTATTTTTATTTATATGAGATGAACAATTTATTTAGTTAAATTAGGTATTCATAATTGAATTGTGTCATTGAGAACGAAAAAAATATATTTGTATTGTGTTGAAGTTTTTACGTGGGCTCTATTGGGATTTGTTTGCTCAGTTCTAACTGTATTTGGCCCAGTATCACCAGATTTTACCTTGCGGTATCCCTCGGGTTGATTTATTTAACTTAAAAATTAATTTTTTATTTGTATTTTATAATATTGTTTATTTTGTTAAGTATTTAAGATTATTTTGATTATTAATTTTAGGATTTCACCCGTCATATATATACCGTCCCGTATTAATATCGACACAAACCCGTCCCATCATATAACTCCGTTCCGTGAAATTAAACATCATTTTGTTATTTTTCTTTTTAATAATACTTTTATTTAAAATACATATAATTTGAGTCAATTTAAAAGTTTTCTTTTAAATTGTTTCCATAATATATATATATTTTTAAATTTTATAAAGTTCAAATATTATTAATATTATACTTTTATAGAATTTAAATACCATAAATACTTTAACCGTTTGACCCATTGACCCGTTTTTTTAATGAATTGATTAATATTAGTGACATGGAATTAAAATGATTATGATTAGAGATCTATAATGGCAAATATTATAATTTCTTACAAAATCGTAATGGATGTACTTTTCAAATAATAGTATAGGATGTAAATAATTAGATTATATAATGAGATTAAATATTGAATAAGAATTTGTAAGTTATAAACTCAATCTCTCAAAAAAAAAAAAAAATCTCATTATTTGTTTAAAAGTATGATAATAAAAAAAACTCACTGTTCAGCTTATCAGATCATTTGCATGCTCTCCTAGTTCAGTAGTATATGACTTCTAGAATGAATAAGTGTTGAATCGGATGCAACAGCCGGTTTTGAAAATCTTCACATCTATAAGGTAAGTGAAATCAAATTGTCAACAATTTTAATGAGATGTTTTTCTGAATTTTTTAAAAAGTAATATGATTTATTAACATAATTAGAGTATGATTTTCTGAATTTAAAAAAGTAAACTGATTTATTACAAAAAAGTATACTACAAAATATTCACGTTTAAGGATAAAGTATATACAACAAAAATATTTAACTCTTGCTTAAGCAACTGATGCCCACTGCAGATTTTATCCTTTTCATATAAAAGAAATGATTGAAAAATTCTTTCCAACTAAGTTTTTGATAGCAGATGTCGATGCCTCTTCAATCTGTAATAAAAAAAAACACTTGTAAATCAGAAACATAATTTTTCTTGATTTTCAAATTTGCTTTTATCACAAACCTCTGTTAGTGTTCGACATATTCTTTCTTCACTCCATTCTGAATTTTGAAATCCTACAATCACAAGGTAGACTATTATCGAAAACAATTTCTAAGATAAAGAACATTAGAAAAAAAAAGCGTGAAAGATTTCAAAAATGGCTGCTAGAATAAATTTTGTGATTTGTGAATGATTTAACCGGATCATATATTATCTATTTATAAGCAAAGAAGAGAGTCGGCTAATCATTATCACAATTTAGGTTTGATATGATCATATCTTTTTTAAATTTAAAATTTAATGCAAATTGAATATATATGAGATCCGTTTTGAAGATTGTATTAACTGTTTTGAAAATTATGTTCAAAAATAAATTTTTGTTCCTTAACTACAAAATCTCTACGTGGTTAACAATTTTTGAAAGATTTTAGATTTTATAACTATATTTTAGGAAAATTCGAATATTTTGTTGACTTTTTTATTGGTGTTTGTTGTAGTTGCTTAATACAGGGGATTTGTATTTTCGTTTTGAATCTATTCGAATAAATATACAATTGTTATGGCAAGTACTAAGATTTAGGATGCTATATTTATTTCTGATTTAGTAAATTAAAAATATCATTTCTATATGTATTTATCTTTGCCAATCTGCGAAATACACATAGACAAAATTTTTGAGACAATCCCGATTTAAGGATTTTGGAAATATCTATTAATATATTATCAAATTTAATTAGTTTACATATATACAATTTCGTTTTTTCTTCCATATATATTAATCATAATTAATTAGTATAGTTTAGTTAAGGAAATATTTTAAAATCTAAACTAAATTTCGTTGTATGATTAAAAATTATTTGTATCTAAACAAAATCCATGTTTGTTATATTCGTGATTGACCTCCTATATATTAGGTAATCTCAATAATACTTTTAAATCCGTTTGACCCATCGACCTGTTTTTAATGAATTGATGAATATTAGTGACATAGAATTAAAATAATTATGATTAGAGATCTCTAATGGCAAATATTGTCATTTCTTATAAAATCAACGTTACGACTTATAGGATGTACTTCCCAAATAATAGTATAGGATACAATGTACATATATATACTCTTAGGCAGGAAAATTGAGTATACTTTTTTTTTCTTTTTTTTTCTTTTTTTTTCTTTTTTTTTTTAAATTGAGTATACTTTATTGCAAAAGAAGTCTATTTATTTTGTTTATAATAAATTTCTTTGAAAATTTGTAATACCATTGTGTGAGTTTTTTTTTTATCATTCATATATTTACGAGGTTTGATTCCAAAAGAAATTGGTAATAAAATAGCTATCTATAAGTTATAAACTATTATAGAAGTAACGTGATAAATTATCTACAATAAACAACTAATATTTACCAATTGAACTCTGCATGCTTTAAATAGCTACATCATATTTGCGTACAACTCTAATTTTAAGCCACTAAAATCTACACTAACATTCCAACCAGTCACCCATTTAAAGATAAAGAAAACACTTTATCTATAGCTGAAAGTGTAAATTTTGTCAATATTGTTTATAATGTTTAAGGTGAAACATGTAAAATAACACTTTCATGCACCAAATACATTAATTAATTCTTATTCCTAAGTTAAAGTTAGTCATCCATGACCATTAGTCCATTAGTAACAACGTTTCCTTATTAAATCGATATTTTAAATTTAGTCTTCTTCACTTTTGGGTTTAGAAACTCTATCATTTTTGTCTGCTAGAGCCTTATAATAGTAAAGATAAATTCATAAATAAAAATCAACTGAATGAAGATAAATGAGATATAACCGAATGGGACTATAAGAAGATAGATGAAAGAATGAAAATATCACATACATTCTTCTTTAGAACAGTTGAATTAATGATATTTTCCTTTGAATTTTTGTTCGTCTTTTAATTTTTCTGATTTATCTTTTAATGGATACTTTTTTTATTTCTTTTCAATATAAAAGGTTCCATTAGTTTAACAAATAATGTAGACCAATACTTTAGCTTACTATATTATATCATTACTATTACATTCACTGAACATCTTACAGATAAACAATATATTGTTCCACCAGACGGTACTAATTAGCTCAACGCCAAATTCATCCCCAACACGTAAGACCACCTCAGTGAACAACCCAATTTGCATCTTTCTACAAAAACCATTGAAAATTTTACATCCACAAGCGGTAATAATAAATTTGAATATTATATCCTATTGTAAAATTAAAGCAATAGTTTATAGATTAACAAATCGACAGAAAACTACCATTCTCTTGAATAATAATAGGGTTCCCTTTTCTTAATGGTTCAACAACCATATTAAAATCTCAATCTACTTTTTTCCCTTTTGTTCATTCTTGATAAATACTGAGCAAATCTATCTCACTTGAAAACAGAAAAAAAAAAAAGCAAAAGTAAAGGCCAAGCTACCTATTTCTCTTCTGGTACATTTTTTCTATAATAAGCGAGAGTTTCAATTTAAAGATTTAGTGATTATTTAAGGTTAAATATTGGTTATTGGTACAAGAATTATTTGGGAGATTCTCTGAAAACAGGTTTATATATGGGTTTGTGGCCATCATATCATTTTATTTTATTGAGATTTAATTATGCTACGTTTAATATGAGTTTTGAGTCTACTATTACAAAGAGCTTGGTTATGGTTTTACTATCACGAAAGAGTTCTATTAAAATTATAAACACTCATGTTTTTAGATCATTTTTAGTTTGATACGAACTATCGGAAACAGAACATGATTGCTTGTGGAACTTTAGGATTTTGCATCTACAAAATAATTTTTTTATTATCATCAAGACCAAAAATAAGCTGAAATCATATCCATCTTCTTAAATCTATACGGAATTGTCAAAGAATGTGCCAATCTTAAATATTTGTTTGGTATTGTCTACTCATATTTGGAAGCGTCTATTGATTTGTTATGTTTGTCCTTGACACAATATCCACAAGTTCTCGCTTGACATATACAGTGTTTGCATTCTCTGTCCATGTTTTTTTTGTGTGTGGACATATTAAAACTAACATTATGTGTCTTGTGTACCAACTACTATTGGCGAACAAAACTACCATTTTTAAGTGAAATTTGAAACGAATAATATTCTTTTAGTCTCCTCTTTATTCGTATAAAATGCATTACATTATTACTATATCTTATTTATGTATTGGAGTACTTAATGATAAACAAAAGTAAAATTAAACACCATTATTCATGACTTGAAAGATTAAATAAAGGGAATTTGGTCTAATGTGCCATTCACTGTAGCAAAAGTTATTGAAATTGCCACAAATCATAAACCTTTCCAAATGTGCCAAAATTGGATTTTTAGAAGAACAGAATAAGACGAAAATACCCTTGATATGTGTTGTTTGGTTTGAGATGGATGGTACGCGTGATGTGACGTGAGCCGTTTGGCATTTAATGTTGACAATACCACGTTTCTTTTGACTATGTTACTTTAGTTGCTTTTTGTTCATTTTTGTTATATATAGTGCTAGGACCCACATATACTACTATTAAACAACAAACTAAATTAACTTTGCTTTTGTTATATTCATTATATATTCTACTATTAATTTTAAAGATGTTGAAACACAAAAGTGAAAAAATATATGGTGAATAATTTGTCTATAATTCCTAATTGTTGTCTACTGGTCCATAACTTGTCTACAAGTATAATTATATGAAACATGTCCACATATATTATTATATGAAACTTGTCCACAACTATGTTTTATGAACAATTAGTCTACAACTACATCTCCTAAACAACTTGTCCACAAATATTACTGTATGGAACTTGTCCACAAATATTATTATATAAAACTTGTCCACAACTATTACTCATGAACAATTAAGAGAAATCTAATTATTGTGCCACTTACCGTTCAAAAACTTAGCAAAAATGCCATAAAACATAAATCTTTCCAAATGTGCCATAATAGTGGACAACATTTCTTGTCTACCAAAATTTTTGTATGTCGTTTCGAATTCTTGTCCACCAAAAGTCTGTTGTTTCAAAGGTGGACAAGATTTTTTGTTCATCAAATATCTTTCCAATCTGTTGTTTCAAAGGTGGACAACATTTCTTGTCTACCAAAAATTTTCGTTTCAAAGTCTTGTCCACCATTGTAGCACATTTAAAAAGACAAATATTTTGTGACAATTCTTGTAAGTTTTGCTATAGTATATGACACATTAGACCAAAATTCCAACAATTAATCTACAACTACATTTCCTAAACAACTTGTCCACAACTACTACTTGTAGACAACTTGTTTATAATCACTCATACAAAATAATCTCAAAAGATAAATTTTTTATAACAAATATTTGTGGATAACTTGTCCCAGCTATTTCTTATTGACTACTAGTCCAACATTTATCCACCATCACTTATATATAACTCTTACCTAGTACAAAGTGGACAAGAAAATAATATCTGTAGACAAAACAATCAAACATGTCCACATAAAATTTTAGAAAACTATTTAAACCAAATGCCGAACTATTAAATGGAAATGTTAAAATATCAATTAAACATGAAACACTTGACATAATTAGATACATGTATATATATCTTCTAATGATTAATAATTTACTGGGTAATTATGGTAATAATGATAGAAAAACCAAAATGTAAATATAAATATATAATGAATTATGAGCAAAAAGAAAAAGGTAAGTGTGAGCTGGAGAACCTATCGCTAGGACCCACATCTTCAGAATATTATATACAGTCTTTGTTTTATATTTGTTATATATATACATATAATATAATAAATAATAATCATCAAAGCAAAAACAAGGTTATTTTAGTCTTTTTAAGTCATGGTTGTGGCACCCAAGAAAAGAAGAAAATGAATGTGGCAATTTCCAAAAGTTTTTGTACCGTACATGGCATTATTCTTAGATTTCTCTTAAATAAAACCCAGAGTCATTGCCAGGGACTCAGACACAACTACAAGAAACAGAAACTCGACGATTTAATACATTTGGTACGGAGTATCCGTACGCAAAATGTATTAACCGGTTATTTAACACAAAGCAACGTAGAGACTAAAAACAAAACACCAATATTAATGTGTTTAGGCTCTCTAGAGCTCGGAAGCAGCTGCTTGGTCTAGGTACCAAACATTTTCGACTTGGGCACTAAGATGAGCAGAAGGTAACGAAAGGTTGTTGTGCTTCATGATCTCAGCCACAGATTTTGCCGGTGCTTTGTCACAAATGGCCATAAGATTGTACAAAGAAGAGTTGATGACCGGTAAAGTGAATGTGATTCTCTTTAGTGGTAGTTTTGGAGAGTCGGTAATGTGAGTGACCCATTTCTGCTTCTCATTGATCTGTGGATGGTTTGGGAAGAGAGACGCCATGTGGCCATCAGGACCCATCCCTAGAAGTTGTAGATCAAACTCAGGATATCCTGTCTTTTTCGATATTGGGATTATCTTTTCCTTCACCAGGTTTTTAAGACACTCCTCGTAGAGTGCCGCGCAGTGCTCAGCGTTACCATCAGCCGCCCAGTGCTTGTCGATCGCGTAGATGTTCTTATCCGGAATCGGAACCTTTAGAAAAAAGATTTTCATTACAAAAAAAAAAAAAACACACAAAAGACATGCAATGAATATGAAAATTAACATTTTGATAAATTTTCTTCGAACATATAATAATGTTATGAAACCTTAGAGAGAAAACCCTCCATGGCGAGTTTGTAGTTACTGTCTGGATCTTCCCATGCACAAACCCTCTCGTCGACCCAAAAGACGTGCCACTTTGACCATTCGATTGAATCAATGTAAGGAGGTTGCACCAACTTGCTGCAACATTTGATTAACTCAACCATTAATAATTAGACTTTTTCTTTTTATATAAAAACAACATTAAATGAGAGAAGAGTGAGATTTTGGAGACCAGAGCCAATCGATGAGGTCACCGCCGGAGAGAACAACGGTGAAAAGACCTTTCTCCTTGATGAACTTGGTGGAGAGATTGGCAGTGTACTCAGCCATTGCTTGAGACAATTCATTCTTGGTGGGAAACACAATCATCTTCCTCTGCGCCATTGTTGCCTACGTGAGAGAAAGAGAGAGAGAATTTGATGTAAGTACTCAAAGGAAGAAGAATGTGGATATTGTTGATGTGGTGTTACAAGTGTTGATGTGGTGTTACAAGTGTTTTGGGGTTTCTTTGCTTTTTATAGTGAAGGAGACCGCGTGGATAAAGGAGGCTCGTGACTTAATACCAATTAGTTGAACCATACTTAGGTTTACCCCTGGGGTGAACCTTTAAATTCACCCAACGGATTATAGCCAATCGTTTTGCCATGTCATTATTAATACTAGAGAATTAAAAAAAAAAAAAACACAATTAAAAAAAAAGGAAATCACAAAATAGATTTAGGGTTTAAGGTTTAGGGTTTAGGGTTTAGGGTTTAGATTTTACAATTAAAACGAAATTAGATGTCGGTTTGGGTTGCCAAATGAGTGGTTAGGGTTTAGAATTTATAATTAAAACTAAATTAGATATCGGTTAGGGTTTAGGGTTTAGGGTTTAGGGTTTAGATTTTACAATTAAAACGAAATTAGATGTCGGTTTGGGTTGCCAAATGAGTGGTTAGGGTTTAGATTTTATAATTAAAACGAAATTAGATATCGGTTTGGGTTGACAAATGAGTGGTTAAGGTTTAAATTTTACAATTAAAACGAAATTATATATCTGTTCACCGCTGGGTTTAGGGTTTATGGTTTAGGATTTGGGTTTAGGGTTTAGGGTTTATATAACAAATATTTCACAAACCTAAACAGATATATAATTTCGTTTTAATTGTAAAATTTAAACCCTAACCACTCATTTGTCAACCCAAACCGATATCTAATTTCGTTTTAATTATAAAATCTAAACCTTAACCACTCATTTGGCAACCCAAACCGACATCTAATTTCGTTTTAATTGTAAAATCTAAACCCTAAACCCTAAACCATAAACCCTAAACCCTAAATCTATTTTGTGATTTCCTTTTTTTTTTAATTGTGTTTTTTTTTTAATTCTCTAGTATTAGTAATGACATGGCAAAACGATTGGCTATAATCTGTTGGGTGAATATAAAGGTTCACCCCAGGGGTAAACCTAAGTATGGTTCCAATTAGTTAGGACTTGGGAGAGACACGTGTTTTATGTTCATCTAATTGTTTTTTTTTTGTAATCACTAAAATAATTTATACAGTACAATTTAGATTTCATACTTAAGTTTTAATAGTGTTAATAACTTATATAATTATGTAATTTTAATGTGGTTAATTAATATTACTGTGTGGTTTGAAAACTTGAATTTATTTTTTCTTTACCAAATCCATGATGTGTTTATATTTATTTTGAAATTATACTTTTATATGAAAAGCTAATATATTCAATAAATGTTAGTTTTCAAAATGTGTCTCAATTAATGTAAAAAAGATTTATAACAAAAATCAAAACAATGTTTCTCACACATGTAAAACGAGTGTAACTAACTCTGCAGGAATTACCACTGCCAAATAACAAGTGGTTACAACATGTGTTTTCCTTTTTATCGATTTCAAACTACATTTGAATATTTTCTTGGAATGGTAAATTAGACTTACATAATATTCTCTACCATAATTTTTTTGTCCTGGTAAAGATTTTCTCTACCAAACTCCGCATTTTTTGTTACACTCACTTGACATGTGAGAGAAATACATGTTTTACACTATACATGCAAGAAAACATTCTCCTCAATGACATGATTTAGCAATGGATAAACTAAATGCGGCTCTAATCATAGCAACGATTCAGTTACCAAATGCGAAAATTATTGATGATGTATATAAATGATCAAATGTGCTTAGTATCACCGTAGTTAAAACAATCGATAAAACTTAACTTTTGTATTAATTTCATCGCAAGGCAGAATGACCGGATGGGAACTACACAAGTCAATCCCCATTCTTTGCGATGTAATCGGACCACTTGTGTCATGCCTCTCTTTTGACAATGCCCCTATGGATTAGTGTGATGTTCTCACTTGATTTTCCAATAGGGTTTGCCAAATCCACAAAGCCAGCTCCTCTCACTAGCATGGGGCACTCCACAGTATATGAAGTTTGGCGCGAACCAAAACCCGGAATCATTCACACCAAGGACTCGTACTCACAATTTTTAGAGAGACAGACTTTATCATAAGAAACAAAGCATCATCATTCTTAGACACTAAAATGACACTTGCTTCAACTATCGGTTACCGCTAAAAAACTTATATCGCCTTGTGTCCACAACATTTTATCAGACTAACGAAACTGAAAGCCGAGAATAAAACCAGAACAATACCAATCCAATTCCTTCTATAATATATATAATATGTTTTCCTTTTGAGTTTGTTTTGGGTTTGGTTCCTCTGAAAAACAAAATGCTCAAAGAATCATTTACAAAGGAAATACCTACCTGACTTAACTTCAATTTCATGTTTTTATCTTTGAATCCAAGGTCTCTGATGACGACATTGTTTAGGATGTTTCTTGAAACTCAATTCACATGTTAGAAGACTTTACATCATGATGTGTCACCTAGGTCTCGAGCTTGAGCTCCGTACAGTCACACCATGCAAGAACTTAGCGTAGCCCAAGAAACTCAGCTTTCCATCTGAACTCCGGATCCAATCCTTGAGCAGAGGATATGCACTCGGTCCCAGGCTCATCTCCTGCTTTAAATCACGCCCCAATATAAGAAAATTGTTTTTAATCTTAAGAAAGAGATTGTGATTACAAGATCTCATAGAAGCTTAAATTAGGACCATACCCCCGCGAGTTCTTGGACCGATATGAGTCGGTTTCCTTCATGTTCAAAGTGCTCAAATGCTGAGGTTGCAATCTGTTCCCATTCTTCAAGAGCCTCCAGTTGGTAAACGCTGACCGCAGCCGCACAGAACTCATCAAAGTCGAGTTTCTTTTGCGCAAGCGGTTGCATCTTCATAGAAAAAAGGTAAAAAAAATAGTGGATTCAATGCACAGTTCTACATTCATAAGAGTATGAAAGTCAGCAAAGAAAGATCAATCTCAAAATTGGGAGAAAACTCTAGCGATAATTTGATGACTCCATCATGCTAAATCTAAAAAATCAATGATAATGGTCTGTTCTTGCAAGCACAATGGCAAAAAGGTGAAACTGGAATTTAAATTGAGGTATTTGAAAACAGTGACCACTAACGCTCAGAGTCACAATCTTTTCTCAATGTTTTCCACCCTAGTGAACATCTATAATCATTTTCAACTAGCACCACCATGAAACCATATCTTACATTCATAATTGATCCACCCATAAACTTGAAAAGAAAAGATATATAGATGTGTTACCGACTTACCGTGTTTAAAATGTCAGGAAGCCTTGATTCCATCATAGCATCAGTAGCATATCTTGTTAAGGCCTGCAGTTACACTCAACGATTTAAATTTGATACGTATCATATTTTGAATCAAAAAAAAAAAAATCTTGCGTTAGGAAACTATTTCTATTTCTAGTTCTTCATTTTCTTTTCCCAGACGGCTTTGCTTTTAGATTTTAATATATTAAGGGATGCAGTCTTGGTTGTAACATGCATCCAAGCAAGAGAGACTCTTTTTCGGTGTTTTAGTTCTGAATTTTTTTTTTTGTGATTCTTAGCTCTAAACATTCAGAAAATGAAATCTAGAGATCAATAAGGGATACATATACTGGATATAGATTCACAAATCAAAGACCGAGTCAAAATGCTATAGCTAAATCAGGAAAGACACACTGACCGTGGTGAAACAGTTAAGGGATAGGCCTCCGTCTTTAGGGTCCAGGAGCATGAACTGTGCCTTAAGGAACACAAGTTCTTCATCGGGTATAGCTTTCGAGAGAGCCTATTGAGAAGATTAACAAATGAAAAACCGATCAAGATAATAAACAGACAACCATAAGAAAAGATGTTCTGAAATGAATGTGTATCAGGAAATTATTCACTGAGTGCCAAAAAGACGAGTAACATTCTGTTTGTAGCATAAATAGTCCGACTATCATCATGAGTAAATCAGCTATGTTTGAGTAGAAAGAGAAAAGATCAATGCACTTGATAGTAATATGAGGGTATCAAAAAACTACCTTAAGTGCTGACCGTCTGAAAGGTGAGGCACGGATATAGGACTTGACCAACTTGTAGACCGAGAAATCAAGAAGTAAACCGGGGTTTTCGTCACGTAACCACGGATGAGCTGCAAACACATAATACAATATTACCGCTTATGGAAAGCAAAGCAACCCCCGTTAACTTGAAGCCATATTCTTATTTCCATTTCAAGATCAGTGTCCATTTTTGAACGACGGAAAAAGAACTTACCTAGAGCTTGAGCAGCTGTCATTCGTTTCCTATGGTCCTTATTCAGAAGCCTTTTCACGAAGTCCTTGGCAGTAGGAGATATTGAAGGCCAGGGCATATCCTCAAAATTAGGGTTTGCTCTAAGCACACAGCGGAATATTGCAGATTCAGTTCTTCCATAGAAAGGTCTGCTTCCACAAAGAAGTATGTAACTTATGACACCGATGCTCCACATATCTGCTTCAGTGCTGTAAGACCTATGGAGTACTTCAGGTGCAACATAGTACGCACTCCCTACAACATCATTGAGACGCTGATCTGCAAATATAAAAGGCAATAAGGAAGATACAAGTAAAATAATTAAATGTGAGCGGAAACTTATATATATGAGGTTTGGGAGCACTAATAATGCCAAAGGGACACAGAATAAGAGTAACGGTTACAATATCATATATGACCATTACACATTGCAGCTAAACTCATCAGATAACTTTAATTTCAAAGCTAGACTTATAATATGCAGAATCATGTAATAAGAAAGGGGAACAAAGAAATAGATCATTACCGTATCTAATGAAATCAGACAAGCCAAAATCTATGACCTTGAGTATCGCATCCTCATTTCTGCTGGTAAAGAGAAAATTCTGGACACACAATTGTACCATAAGTTTAAGCAACCATAAATAGCAAAGAAGAGGGAATATGTAGCATTAATTGAAATATCAGCAACTTATAGAAGCAGACTGTGTACCTCCGGCTTCAGATCACGGTGCACAACACCTTGAAGGTGGAAAAATGCTGTTGCAGACAAAATCTGCACAAGAATACGTTTGGCATCGACTTCAGGGTATCGTCCACCTCTGCAGTAAAATATAATACAAGGTTGGAACCATATCTAATGCAAATAACTAGCCTTAAGCCAAAAGTAAGACTTAGAAAGGTAAGTTTGGATTTACCTCGCCAAAATTCTATCCAACAGCTCTCCACCTTCGCATAACCTGAAAGCATATCGGAGAAGAAGATTGAATATCTAACGGTCGACTCATTTAATAAACTAGTACAACTTTTAGTTTAGTTGTTATATATCAAATCCTTGATGAATCTTCCAAATCCAAACACAATAACACAATTAAGAACAAACCATATAGAGTTAAAACAACTTACTCCATAACAACAAAGACATTATCAGCATCCTCATATACATCATAGAACTTAACCATATGCCTATGCCCTGATAAAGCTTTCAGCAATTTCACTTCTCGACGAACATCTTCAATCGATAGCGTCGACGTCATCTGAAAACAAAAAACACCAGTTCATAATCTAAACTATTGATCACAGAACCTAGCTATATAATTCTACATTCCTGAATCTTTAGAGAATCTCAAATAGTAACAACAAGAGTCCCTACATTCTGAAACCAAACAAAAGAGAAGAACACACCTTAGCTTTAGAGATGATTTTGACAGCCACGGTTTGGTTCTTCATCTTCCCTTTCTTTGCCTTTGCCCAACAAGTATGACCAAAATGCCCTCGCCCTACTTCTTTCCCTAGCTCATACTTCCCTTCAAAGTTCTTCCCAAACCCGAAATTCTTATCTAACCTCTCTCCGCCGCCTCCGCCGTTATCACAACCGTGATCTGCCACATCTTCACTATCCTCCGGGATCGGTTCATCTCGAGGCTGCGGCGGAGCGCCACGTCGCCGTCTCAAAGCCGCCATAATCGGTTTGGCAGGTGACGGTGGAGGAAACGGCCATTTGAACTTTCTTCCCGGAGTTCTCGCCGGTGATGGAGCTACTCCCGCCGGTAACGGACTTTGGAAAGGGCTAATGTTATAGGAGTTGACTTCAGAAGCACCAGAAGCAACCGGAGACTGAGGAATCGAAGCATGCCGGTGATTTTCCGTTGATTGAGATGGTTGATTCGAAACCTCGCCGTTTCCGGTGGGGATCTCGTCGTCCTCGACGGCGGAGATGTTCCGGCTGTAACAATGACCCATGACCGTTGATTGTGAAGCTCAAATTGACTGATCGGTCAGAGTCAAAGCATCGGACGGTGAAGAACCGAAGTTGAATAGGGAAAATAAATTTGTTTTAAATCAAAAGAAAAAATGAAGATTTTCAATTTTTTTTTTATAGAAAAAAATAAAGAAAAAAGAGCTCAGAGATTTAAAGGAAAAAAAAGAGAGAAGGCGTTTGTTAAATGAAGACTACTAAGAACGAGGCAAGAGCGCGTAGTGGCATTAATCACTTTTAATTGTATGTTAATTTCATTTAATGACTTTCACATCTACTGATGTTAATTGTTGAATTGAAAGTAACGAAGAAAGAAATAAAAAGAAAATTTCTGACCAAAAAATATACTGAAATTAGCTAGAATTTTTGTAAATTATATGTTTACTTAAATAAGGTGAAAAATAACTTCTACATTGATTATTTTTCTATAAAACTTGGTGAGTTTTTTTTTTTTTTTTGCATTGTGAGTATATAGAAGAATAAAAAGAAAAACTATGAGGGTTTGGTATTTTTTGTGTATTTTGTAAACACTAAGAGGTTGATCTTAACTATCACTTTTTTTAATTTAATATCGAAATCGTTATCTTGTGAGGTAAGAAACTATATATGTTAATTTTAAATGATATAAGGCGGCGATGCATCGTAAAAATATTTTACTTTTTTTTTAAGAATAACTAGAAGAATTCCCGCGTCATTTGAATTATAAAAAAAAAATTAAAGTTAAGATCAAATGATTTATTTTTTAGTTTGATATTTCTTATATAATTTAATTCTAATTCAAATTTTTAGTTCAAATGACACATGTCATAAACATAAGTGACATGTGCTTATCTTATATTTGTTGATTTTAATTATTTTTAACTATGGATTATATAAACTTTTTAAATAGTATAGAACTTGAAATAACATTGTGTTTACAATATATTTTCGAATGGTAGACAATATATTTGATAGAAAATTAAACAGAAAATTACCAAGATATACACAATCTCTACCTAATAAATTGTCAACAATTTTTTATGTTTCTTTCTTACAATAATTAAAGACCTAAGATTTCAAAAAAAAAAAATAATAATAATAATTAAAGACCTCATAATAATAATAAAAAAAAATTAAAAAGATGGAACAAAGGTGATTTTGATCTGTCACAGCCATATGCATGAAAAACGCTTAAACGAGTTAATACGGTCACCTACTACTACTTCTCCACCGTCAAGTTCTGAAAAAGACAACAAAAGGCCACTTTTTTACATCTTTTAATATTAACCGGTTTAAACCGCTTTGGTACAGATTGGTAAGCAAGTCTCTCATTTAACATCTCACCGGTCTGGTCCGGTCCTGTCCGGTCCGGTCCAAACCTTTGATAGCAAATAGTCGTGGGTCAAATTGTTTTAGGACGAAAACTAAAGTCGATAACCCCACCGGTTCAATTGGTTAAACGTAACCAAATTGGCTAAGACATGAGTTTGCTGTCTTCAGTAGTACGAGAATCAATCGTCCCTTAACCAAACGATCTGGTTCGATAGTTGACTTGTGTCTCAAGAAATATCCCACGTTGTGTTTGCTCGTAACTTCTCGTATACGTAACCTATCTTGACCGGTTAGTTAGCCGACAATGGTCTTATCAGTTGACATTTTAGTTCCCCATTTGTATAATTTGTTTCTCCGTTTTTTCAACCTTTGTATATATTTTTTATTCAATATATAAAACAGGTTAGTGTCCCAAATTTGAAAAAGTTAATAAGTCTTACACAGGAGGACTTGGTCAAATAGATAGATAATATATTCTTTTTTAAACATGGTTTATATTTTAATTACAAACACAAAGTCAACTAAAACTTCCATATTTACTGTGCCTAATTTTTGTTGTGGGTTCACATTTGAGTGTAGTTTTGTCAATCATATCAAACAAACCAAACCGAGTCAGTCAAATTCAATTTAGAAAGTTGTTCTATATAAAAGAAATTTCAGGGTTTAATGAATATACTATCAAAATATGGGGCCTTTGGTTAGTAGACTAGTTTTGCTTTACAAGGTATTCTCGTGAGCAACCATACTAATTTTTATTAATACAATGTTTTGTTGAAAATAAGTTCATCCGTGATATCGCAGGGGCTCATAACCTAGTGTCTAGAGTACCGAACTAAATCTCCTATATTAGACAAATATGCAACTACAATTCAAGGAAATGGATGAGCATAACTAAAAAGAGAGATATTAGATATTTTTTATCAAAGCAAAGACTCTCCTAAAAACTAATAAAAACAACACCCAAAAAAAGAGATCAGTGAAACTATTTGTAAAGAAATCCAACAACTTTTTTTCTTTCTAAGTCCAACAACTTTCACTGTCATCAAATCAAACACTGAATAATCATACCAAACAGAAATGCATGGAGATTCAGACAGAGAGTAGGAGAGGATTTGTCCAAAAGGGTCTTAAAATGATCCATAAAGATGACCAAAATGATGTTTCCAAATTATTATATGAAAAAAATCAATTTGGTTCCAAAGAACAAAGTTTTAGCTAGCCTAAGTTACTGAGGGTTCAAAGATACCGGCCGGGCAGCCTGCGAAGCGAAGAAACAAAATGATGTTTCTATGAAAAGAAAACGCCTCAAGTATCTCGAAATGACTTTTGATCTCTCTGTATTTATTTGAATAGATAGATCTCTTTCATCGGATTGCGATTAGCTTTAGTTTAAATCAGAGCGGTGTGGCCTCACTGGCGTCTTTGACGGGCTTATCCTTCACACACATAGACAAAGCAAATATTAATCTCACAAGAGAGTTTTATCAATCCTTAAGAACACCAAAGTTGTTACATTTTCTTCATAAATAGCTCAAAACCCGAAACACAGACAGGTAATTAGATTTCTAATAAACTAAGAGACTAAACACAAAAAAGGACAAAAGAAGACCACAATAACGAATTTTTTTTCTTTTTCATGAGCTTACCTTATTGGGAGCTCTCCCAAGACAACACCACTGTAATTAAGAGCAGAAATTGCACTTTCTGCCTGAAACACAAGCAAAAATAATCATTTCCCACTTTATTGTTTGTATATAAAGTTGATTGGGGCCAAATTTGCCTCTTCAGGCCAAACAAATTCAATATATAGTGGACCATGCTCATTATTTCAGTGTGTATATCACATTTATGATCAAACCTATATTTTGCCCAAGAATATTGGAAATCAAAATCTTTTGTCACATGATGTAACTTATCAAGATAGAATAGCTAGTCCTTGCTTATCAAGAATCAATACTATAATGAAAATTCATGTATATATGGAAACAGGCAATAGAAAATCACCAGCTTAAATTCGACAAAAGCGATGCGGGTTTGGTGGTAAAAGTCTCCAAGCAACCTCAGATGGTGAACCTAAAAGGACACAATAGTGATGTCAAATGGGAAAACACAACATCTTCATAAGTATAAACAATCGACCACAGTCAAAACCAAATCTATACCTCCCCACAAACAGTTTTAAAGAAATTTTCCAACTCCATCTTAGTGACCTGCAATTAAAAACCAGAAAAATAAGATGGATAAAAGTTAAATATTCACCAATGTCTGAAACATGACATAATAAGTTACCTGCTTGTCAATGTTGGTACAATAAACAGTCTTTCCACACTTCTCTAGCTCGTCCTCAGACTGAAGGAAGAAAATGTCGTTATGCATACCGCATTATAGATAAGAACAAGATTGATTCATAATTATCTAGTCAAGCCTAAGATTGGTTTAGACATGATTATCACAACTTACCCGTGGAAGGAAAGACGGGTTAACAGGCGCAATAGCTGTTTTGGAAATAAGAACTCTAATAGGATGAGAACCAAACACAGTACCCGATTTTCGTAAAGCAGACCTAGCTCCCTCTGAGACATTACTTCACTTATTAATAAAAACAACAAGAACATTTAAACTCATAAGAAAATTGGAGCATAATAAGGTACCTGCATCGGTGAACTCAATGAAGGCGAAACGAAGAATAGACTTATGGTCACCGCATATACGACAATCAACAACCTTTAGAACCAACAATTGTCAAGAAAACGTATGAGAATTGAGTTTGCATGATATCAAAATAAACTGGTTAAAGATCATTAAGTAAGTACCTGGCCACAAGAAAGAAAGAGACTTGCAAGTTGCTCCTCAGTAACCTAAAAAAAGAACAAGAGGGAGTTAGTTATATATATGATTAGATTCTTTATGGAAAAGTGCTTTCTTGAGACAAGATTTCTCTGTTTTATACTTGTTGATCGATGTCTGAGACATATACAGTTCTCTTGATTACATCTTCATTCTGAACCAAGTTTTTTTTTTTGTTAATCCATCGCCTCCCTTGGCCAAAGTTCCATCTCTGTGTTAATTTGTACAAGACTTAGAGAGCAAGCATTACGATCACATTTTTCAAATTGAAAAGCTGATCCTAACAGGCCATTTCGACCAAACATTGAGTAGATATTTCATGAACACATAACAAATCCAACAAAAATAGATCATAATTCAAGAAAATATAAAAGATGAAACATACCATTGTAGAAATAGCTTGCACTGGAAAATTGTTAGTGAACCATAATCTATTTCTCAAAAACTCAGAGTGGGTTTGAGCAAAAAAAGAAGGGACAAATTCCTTAGCCATCGGATTCAAACGACTTATCTCACTCTTGAGATCCACTTCACTGGTTCTTTGGATCAATTCGTTTGTGAGAACAGAGGAATTGGATTTAGGTATCTGATCATCAGGACATGACGGTTTTGTCTCTGTTAATGAAGTAGTATTGTTGTCTAAATTTTGATCATCAGAAGAATCCACCTTCACACCAACATTTTCTGCGACAGCCATGATCAAACCGAAAGATCGATGAATCTTTCGGATGGTAATAAGATTATCAGAAACAATTCTTGAACTGAAGAAACGTTTGAAGATTTAAGGAGTTGATTAAAATAGAGGAAACATTATTATGCTCTTTATAGCTAAACAATATTTTCTAGTCAAGATTTTTATTTAATTTTTTTGACATTAGTCAAGAAAATAGGCAAATACAATAAATTATAATTATTTTATTTTTCTTTGTGTCAACACAATTTCTTCATTTTTTCTTACTACATTTAAAGTTATTACATTAATAGGATTCTGTTTTTTTTTTTTAATAGAAGATTTTTATTAATAAACTTCCCATAAACGGGTTTGGGCTAAGGCCCATTACACGTATGAAAACCAATTACAAAATAGGTTAATCGGAAAAACCACCGGAAAAGTGAAAAAGTTCGATTGGAAGTAAAGTGGCGGACTCAAGAGTCACAACTTTGCGGACGTATACGAAGGCTCGAGAAACGCAGCCGAAAGATTTCGATTTCCGTCTGCAAACTCTTTCTGCCGCCGCACCAATCCACCACAACTCTCCCAGAAAACTAGCCACTCCGACTCACCGGTTCCACTGTATCTGTTCCATGCCTAGCAACCCATACACTAGGGTTTAACCCCTTCTTCTCTGTCCGTGACTTCTTCGATCTCCATGAACCGCTACCTTTCAACCGGACAGATGGAAGCCAAACACGGCGGATCCATAAGATGGTGTTCACAGTCTGAACCCTTGCCCCCGCATCAGCCATCTAAGATCTGACTGGATCTACGGTTAACCATCTCGTCTAACAAATGAAACCCGCCGAATCATCACCAACTTCCGTCGTAGCCGCAACCACCAGATCGACGGGTGAGCAAGAGGAACTCCAGAGCATTCCTCGGCGTCCTCATCCGTGGAACCAAGGCTGCAGAACTCTTCCACCATCAAACCGGAGCAACGACCACATCGATGGGGATTATCCTCTTCACCGCTGACGGCAAAGAATAGCGAGCTCTTTCTTGGACTACTGTGAAAAAACTTTGGCATGCGATGAAAATCTGCTACCCGAGAAAACTATATCGAGATATGGAAAATCTTCTACAAGAGAGAAAAAGCTCCTTTCTCGAGGCAACGATTGTGCCTTTTCTGTTTTTTCTCCTTCTCTCTTATTTATGTAGTTTTACTTTTCATAATTCTTTTTTATCAATATACTTTACATCTTTTTTTTCATTTTTATAAAATAATAAGGTCAATTTTCTTATTTTATTTTTCTTTTGACAACATATTTTAACCATTTTCATAAATGGACAAAGGTAAATATATGAATACGAAAATAAATAATCATTATAAGTGCACGCATTTTATTTTTTAACAGAAAAAAATAAATAAGGACAGTTAACAAATATGGTAATTTTTATTATTTTATACAAAATGGTATCTGGTGTAGTATTTAATTTAAACTATTTATATTTAGTTTCTAGTTAAATATTGGATTTTTAGTCAAACTATTTATATATTTTTCATTCGACTCAAAATAATGAATTTAAAGTGTTAATTACCGAGCATTTTTTTCCTTTTTTCGGTATTAGTTTTTTTAGAAAAAAATTAAAACGTTGACTAAAACATGTAATTTACGAACTCTTGTATCGATTTAATATCAACGAAAAAATTAGATATTAAAAAAACTAAAACATGTAATTTAATGATTTGTACTAATGTAAAAATAAATAATTAAATATCGAACCGGTTAATCCAGTTGATACCGGTCGGTCAAGTGTATCTCAGGACTCAGGATCAGATATCCTAAAAACGGCCGCGTTTAGCATTTCGTCATTAAGGGCAGGAAACAGATTCCGTGCAAAAGCTCCGGTGGTTCTTCTCCCACCGCCGTATGTTTTTCAGGCGCTCCGGACGGCCGTCTGATCCGACTCTAATTTGAGATCAATTCCGATCTACTTCTCGTATACCATCGTTCTATCTCTCTCTCTAACCTCTGCGTATTTGGATCGTATCGACTAGAGTAGAGTCTTCCCTTATACTTGCATCGTTCTCTCTTCCATGGTTTTTGAACTAGTTTCAGCTCTATTATTCAATCCCCTTTTAACTATCTCATAAGTTTCGTGTTTCAATTTGCTCAGTGTTTTCCTTCTCTACCAGAATCTGCTCTAACAAATTATTTGCTTTGTTATTGTATTCTCTGGGAATTTGGATAGTCTTGGTGAAATCTTTCAATCTTAGTTCGTGTTACGTTTGCTGATTTATGAAAGGAATAAACTTCTATCACTTTAGGTAATAATATAACTCATCTCATGTATCTCTTTTTTGTTTCTTGTATCACAGCAAATTTCAACTTGGAAAGAAACAATGGGAATCATTGAAAACGGAACAATATCGGGTAACTTGCCGAGCAAGGAGGCGTTTGTGGTTCACTATCCTGGCTACCCATCATCTATTTCCCGAGCACTGGAGACTCTTGGGGGAATCCAAGGGATCACAACCGTAAAGCCTTTGCCCGAGACTTTCTTTTCACTGAGTTGTTTCTTTGCATGCTAGTTATTACTAGGAATCCCTACTTTGTATGCTGATATCATCGTGGGGCAGTTATCCATATAGCTAGTTTGTAGCATTGTTTGGTGCATTCCAAGATTTAGCAAATTGGTCACATTTCAAAAATGTTAGACAAGAAAAAGATAAAGTTGATTAGTAGCAAACTTGTACACAAGTGTTGGAACGGTTTAATCATTTTGAAAGATTTTTTTTGTAGGCAAGAGAGTCAACGTCAAACAAGCTTGAGCTGAATTTCCGCCCTGAAGACCCTTATGCACATCCTGTCTTGGGAGAACAACGTCCTTGTCATGGTTTTCTGTTAAAAATTTCGAAGGAGGTCGTTAAGAAAGATTCTCTGCCTGAAAGTCAACCTGTTCTTGCCACTAGCAATGCATGCTTACCAGAAGATTGCCCAACCCTGTGTGCTGATATTGTAGCTCGTGTGTCTGAATCGTATTGCTTTGATGGTAAGAACTTAGCTCTCCAATTACTGGGGACTTGTGCATCTTAATTTGTCTTATACAATGAGCCTTGGCTTATGATTTCCTGTTATATTGAGGTTTGTTTCACTCTTATTCATGTGGGTATTGTGAAGGCATGGCCGACTACCAGCATGTAATTCCTATTCACGCTGATATTGCACAGCAGAAGAAGAGAAAATGGATGGAGGTGAAGTCTCTTGCAGGTGATTTGTCTCCATTCATTTTGTGTTTTCATTATATTGCATATCTTTAGGTGTGAACATAAATTAAAATGAATCCTCTCTAATATCATGCAGGAAAAAATGATCTAATGGACATGGCTGACGAAGATGTAATGATGTTATTGCCACAGTTCTTTTCACCCAAAGATATGCCAGACAACTTGGTGTAAGATTACACTGTCTTAATTTTTCCCTACAATTTTAACATTCTTACCTGTTATCTGTTTTCATCTGAATCTTAGTTAGGAGGACCCGATGTTTAATCTGGAGTACTTTTAGTTATAGTATGTTTTGTAGTATTTTAGTTATAGGCAAACTATGAAGGAGAACATATTTGATTTTAATTTTTGAAGTTCCATCTGAACACATTGTTAATTCTACTGACGTTGTTTGATTCACAGGCTGAGACTTCCAGTAACATCAAGCCCAAAAAAGAAAGATGATGAACTAACTCAGAATCTTTATGAGGTAAAAGAAGAAATGAAGCCATTTGACGTTTCTAGATAAATTGAAAATAGACTGTTGGAAAAAAATTGACTCAAAACATATAATCTACTGATATGGCAAGCTATATCGTCTTTCTGTAACTAATATACTGGAGTTCTTAATTACTGAACGGTAAGGTTTGAGACTTTCTTGACGGATTGGCCTTTCTGAGGCAGACCTGATTTTGGATTTTGGGTGCTCGGGAGAGATGGATTCTGCTTAAGTTTTTTTTTAGAGGAAAGTCGTTAATTTGCAAATGTTTTATCTAGAGCCTGCAATTGCAGAGTCAACGATTCTGAAACCTGATAAAGCTCGCAGTTCACACTTTTGAAACGGCTGTTCTGTTTATATTGATTATTAGAGATTCCATGACCGTTTACTTGTAGTTGTTACTTCTCCATTTGCTAATTGATTTACGATGATGCAGATAGATATTGGCCCAGTATTTGCAATTGATTTCAGTGTCAAAGATATCCTTTTCTCCGTTTTACTAATCTTTCAAATCTTATTATTGCCGAGTATAAAGCCATGTTTGTTTGATGATTTTTTTTCATTTTGGATATCTTTGATCAGTCCTTAGCATTCATACAGATCCCGAAGATATTAAAATGGGAAGACTTTATTGTTCCCAGCTCCAACCAATGGAAATGGCAGGTAGCAGTGTCTGCATTGTTTGAAGAGCGACCTGTGTGGACAAGAGATTCCATAGTCCAACGACTACTTGATAAAGGTCTTAAATGCACACATCATATGCTAAACAGGTAAACAGATTTTATGCGTTTCTTATGTGTATTAGTTTTCTTAGTACTGCAAAAACTAACTTTTTGGAGTTTCGTCTGCAGGTTTCTTCTTAGGGCTGCATATTATTTTTCGGGTGGTCCATTTCTTAGGTTCTGGATTAAAAGAGGCTATGATCCACGGAAAGATCCTGAATCTCGCGTGTGAGTTCTATCTCTATAAGTTTTTTCATATTACAAATGCATGAGCTGTGACACGGTAATGTAGAATTCTTGTTTTGTTCACCTCAAAATAGAACAGAAATAGGTCGGTAGGTCGGTTTTACACCTCTGAACTTCCTCGTCAAAGTGTTTCGAGAATGATACATATTCTACTTGGCTTATTTGAGAGCATGTATTTATCTTCAATGCAGAGAGTGTTGGTGGTGACATACTCCGGGTTTTGGAAACTTACTTGACATGCAATTTTCTTTTGTAGTTCATATTTTCTTGTATCCAGTCTGCAGATGGATGTCAAAGCTCTTCATATCTATCCCCTTTTTGTATATTTTTTCAGATTCCAGAGAATGGAATTCAGGGTTCCACCTGAGTTAAAGGGTTATTGTGATTCCAATGCAACTAACAAGTAAGAGTTTCCCTTTTCCTTGTAAACTCAAAATATTTTTCTACTTAAGATTCTCAATTTGTAATATATATGGACAGGAAAACATATATCATGCATTTCTTTGCAAGTATTGATCTATTGTCAATTGCATGAGAACATGATAATTTTGAAAACGATGAGAAGGTGTGTCTGTATTCTCTAGAAAATAATGTGTCATTTTACTATTTTCAGTCATTTTCCGAGGATAGCAACCTAAATGTTCTCTTTTCACACTTTCTAGATAGTTTCTCAGGGAACATATCATGATATTACATGGGAAAATTGCAAATGAATCATTGGGTTTATTTTTGGAGAAACGGTACAATTATAAGATGATTTTTTTTTTCTTATTTGTGACAGGTCAAAGCCAAGCTGGGATGACATTTGTTCGTTTAAAGTATTTCCTTTCAAGTGCCAAACATTTCTACAGTTATTTGAACTTGACGATGAGTACATTCAACAAGAGATAAGAAAGCCTCCCAAGCAGACTACTTGTAATGTGAGTTCTCAGCTTAGCTTTTGTTAATAAAGTAGATACCAAAATATTTAGCCTCTTGCTTATTGTGTTAACAATGACAGGTAGATATGACTTGTTGCTTCATTACAAATAAGTTACAGATCAAACCTATATATACACTTGCAAAAAATACCACTACCAAAACACGCCTCACCAATCACACAATATATATTGAGTAATTACAGTAATTTTGACTAGCTCTTAAACTTTATGAACTGGGAGATTGTTTTATACTTTTATGTGATGCCTTGGTTATCTGATTTAATGTGTTTTGTTGCTAGTATAAAACAGGATGGTTTTCTGAAGCGCTGCTTGACAATTTGAGACTTCGTGTAGCTGTGAGGTTTGTATCTGTGTTTCCTGAGCCAGGTTTCGAAGACGTTTTCAAATCTATTCAAGAAGAGTTTGAGAGGTCAGAAAAGACACGAATTCAGAAAGATGCACTGAAACCATATGAACGGAATCACCAGAAAACAACTAAAGGTAAGATAGACAAAGCAATTTCTGTTCTTTTCATCTTTACATGTTAGGCAGTCTAGTTAGTGATTGTTGACATGCGTGGAGCCAAGTGCTTCTTTCTCAAATCTCAATGGTCTAAAAAAAATCTGATAAAGCATGGCATTATATATTTACTTACGGCGAATTTGTAAGTAAATATATAAGGGGGCACAAGTGATTGTGCCAGCCAAAATCGAATGCTGCAGGCATTATATATTGTCATACATCTCATGCTATGCTTATTATCATTTGTCATCAAACACATTCTCCTTACAAGAAGTATTGATGTAAAATAATCCGCAGATATGAAGAAGCGTAAAAACACAAACAAAGAGAAAGATAGTGATGTTAATGCTGATGACGATACTGAAGACGTAGATGATGAAGACGAGGAACTCAATGTGGTAATCATGATTACGGACTTTTTTACTTTCACCCGTTAGTTTTCCCAAAAGGCCATTTCATCGTTTCTCTGTTACTCTAATGTGCTCATTTGCAGGCTGCAAATGATGATGAGATATCGATTAGTTCTCATGAATGTATCCTTTAAAAGCATAAACTTTCATAACATAAGCACCGAATAACTAGTACATGCAGATTATAGGGGATTAGGAGACAATTTAGAGCTTGATCTGCTTTGGTTTTAAGTTTTTCTTAAACAATGATAAGATGGTGACATGGAGAACAACTCCAGAACATATCTGCAAGGTTTGTTCAATAGTTTTCCAAGCAGCGCACCAGCTTTGTATGGTAATGCCAATGATGGTAGCGATGGAGAGTATCCGATTTACGAGCAAGAATCCAACGAAGACGACAATGACGAAGACGACGATGATGAGTGAAGAAGTTTGAATATAATGTGTATATTTGCAATGTAATTACGAAACTGGGTTTGTGTAACTAATGTAAAGTGATAACATAAGGATGAATTGTAATTTCATTGTGCAATTAAAGAGAATCTAGTAAAAAATTAAAATTAAAGGGTTAAAAAGTTAAATTAGAAAAACATAAGATCCATTATGCAATTAAAGAGAATCTATATTAAAAGATTAGATATGCGAATAATCGTCACAATCTCTTCCTCATATTTATTTATCTGGTCTCCTATAAAATTGTTATTATACCCTCTCTGAATCTTGAGAATGAGTATGAGCCACGATTTTGATAACTAGTTCGTTAGGGGTATTTTGGTCAATTGACATGTTCGTTGGCCCATCTCCGCCGCACACACCACTCGTTAACCGCCGTAACAACAACCACCGGCCTCGTAACGCAACCGTCACCTCCGCTTTACCTGATCTATTTCTCGCTGCGGTCTCTCTTCTCTTCCTCTGGTCATCTCCTAAACCTCTACTCTCTCTTCCTCCTAACAGATTCTCTTTCCCTCTAAATCCTCGCCGTCGAATCACCGCCATGTCTCGCCGATCTCCTCCTCCTCCCTCTCAACGCTTCGCGAATCCTCAATCTCTCTCCGATTGGCTCGAATCGCGGTTACCTTCCGATTCATTCGCCGCTTGGGGAGTCAAACCGGGAACTAAAAACGTTCATAACCTCTGGCTTGAACTCTCCGACGGCGAAACTTCTCTCGCCGATTCAACTCCTCCGGTTCGCACCGTTAACGTCGTCACCGTTCGAGTAATCGGAAAAACCGGACGAATCCTAGTGGAAGCTCATCAGGAATTATCCGATGGGAGTATTAGGGAGAGATTTCGTCCGTTATCGGAGAAGATGAAGCCTGAAGAATCTCCCGATGAAGCAGTTTTTCGCGCCATAAAAGAAGAGCTCGGATCTATCTTCAATGGCGATGGTGATGACGTTGGACAGAGAATTAAGATTCTTCCTGGAACTTACAGCAGAAGAGTTGAGGAAAGGAACTCGCTGTCGTATCCAGGATTACCGGCGCGTTACGCTCTACACTCGGTGGATGCGACGGTGGAGGGACTACCGGAGGAAGATTTCTGCACGGAAGAGAAAGAGTACGACGGTGGAGACTTGACCACGGAAGATTCGGTGGAAACACGCGCCGCCGGAAAAGCTGTAACTGTGAAACGGCATTACTGGAAATGGGTTAGTCCTGATTCGATTCGATCTTAAAACTCAACAAGCTTTTTCACAGTTTTATCAATCTTGATACATGAATAATCAGAGCCATGTAGAGATACATATACACATTTATATATGTTCATAATCATCTTCTTCGTTTGGCTATGTTTGTATTGTGCTAATGGTTACTATTTTCAGAAGTTTTGATCTCACTATAGCTTATGTGAGAAAGTTGATTTATGATCACTGATTTTAGAAAAGTTGATAGTGATCACTGAATTGGAAAGTTCATGAATACACACACATAGGAGGGAAATTGTTTGTTAGACATTGAGACTGTTGTGTTCTTCCGATTTTTCGAAAGCTTATCGGTGACTCCATTGTTTTCCCGCTTCGTATGGATTACTTGGACCTCTGCAAACTCGCTTGTCTGGTGATGGATATCATCGCATCAAGTTATGACACCGATTAAATCAACTAGTTGGTGGTGTGAATCACTCCGTAGGTTTCATACATTTTGGTAAGGCGTTATTGGGAATATTTGAAAGTTTCCAAGCAGCTTGTGCAGGTAGCATATCGAGAGAGCCCTCCATAAATGTTTGGAGAAATTTCTGTTTTCCAGACCGCAGAACCTCCATACTAAGTATCTCATCCCTTGTACAATGATAAATCAATTTATCTGGTCCTTTGGACTTTGAAAAGTAAGATACATCAAACTTCTTTTCTGATCGTCACTGTAAGCTTCAAAGCTGTATGTACACACAAAAGTGTCACCAAATCTAACACCCACTACTACGTATGTGGAATTAGTAGTACAAGAACAGCTCCTGCATCGGAGAAAACAAAATACCCTAGTTGATGATACAAAATTGAACTGTATTAAATTATTAATATATCAATTTGTTGGATCACTGTTGAGCTTGTGTGGATTGGACTTGACGAACGAATTGGCCTTTGATTCGCGGTCGTTGCTCTGCCAGTTTCTTACGGCTCTCATAACGAACCTGTAAAGTCATTCAAAGGTTCCTTTAGTATCATTCCGTTATGAGTTCATGTCATCTATGTGTTGGAAACATCAAAGTTAGTGTTTACCTTTTTCTCAAAACATCTGTCCTTACGCTTCATCCGGAATTTGGTTAAAGCAGCTTCCCGTTGAAGAGATTGCTGAAATTTCCCGACAGACGATGAATATCCATCTTCGTTCTTCTTCTCAATAGGCTGATCAATGTGATTGCCTATTGCACTATGTTCGGTTGCAGAAGAGACGTATCTCCTCTCCTCTACATCCATGGAACCATCCCGCTCTTGCAAACCCTCGGGTTTACCGTTGAATGGGTGAAACATCGAACTGTACTCATGCGGGCTAACGGAACTAGGGCTTGGGGAGACTGAAGCAGGAGCCATTGCAGATGCATAAGCTGTGTTGGGACCCCTGAACTGTATATTATTGATGGGGGTTGGCGTTGGGTAAGAACCCTGTCCTGGCCAAGAATTCATCTGATTACTAAACGGTGGACCCGGTGAGTCAGCTCCAGTGTAAAAGCTGGTGTCGTTTCTTCTTGGAGCACTTGGAGGTGGTTCAGATGTATTGTATTGGTTGATTAGCACAATGTTATCATCTTGACTTGCCGCAAAATTCTTTCTTTGATCAGGAACCACCGGGGAGGCTGAACATTGTGTCTGCAATGGCCTGTGAACGTACCTGAAACAAGAACATGGCACACACAATCAGCAGAAAGAACGACAACTATTAAAAGATTAATAGAAAGAGGAATTCAGAAATCAGACAACTCACCGTGTGAAAGCTGAGGCACTAGAAGGATGAAGAGAAGGCCGGTCTCCAGAAGATTGGTTCTCGGAAGCGTTAGGTCTTCTCAGAGAGAGATCAAGCTCTATACGAGATTCGTATAGGGCAACACTTTCTTCTCTGTTACGTTGTCCAGTTCTTCTAAACGATGCTCCCATGAAGTCAATGGCTTCTTTCGATGAATCTATAGAATTTACAAAAACATGTAGGTCAATCAATGATTCTGATGAACTTTTTAAGAGTCAGATTAGCTTGCCAAAAAAAAGCTTGCTTACTATGCATCTCATTTGCTAGAAGCCGTGTCTCATTGAACTGAGACTTTGCGCACTCCATCTGTACTGCGTCTCTCGCGCTGACCTCCACGTCTGCGCTCTCGCCTTCCATCTCTGGTCTTGTACACGAGCTCTACAAGCGCAAAAATAACTAAAAGTTTAGGAATAAACACCAAGAAACAGAACCAAATTCACATGTGGAGAATCCATCGTTGAAAATAAGAATAGTCCATAGTCAGAAACTAACCTGAGCATCACCACCATTCCCAATTACAACATGCTCATCTCTCTTTCCGTTCGAATTGTTTGCAGACGCACCCTCGGCTTTCTGCTGTCCAACACTCTCATCCAATGGAAAGCTATCAGGAGCGAGTGACTGTAAAGATAATCAAAACAAAAACAAATCTGAGAACTCAATCATCTTTTCAAGACAACGAAATTTCCCAGAACTTATATAAGAACGGGTTCAAGTTGTCGATTGCTCACGACACATAAAGCTTAAAAAAAGATGGATATGAAACATACAGTTTGTCTTCTCCAGACATGTTGCCAAAGATTTCTCAGCTCATTCCTCCTCAACGGCTTAACAAGATAATCAGCCGCACCTTTCAACATACACTTATACACAGTATTCACCGAGTCCTGTGTCGACATCACTGAAAAAAAAAACAATACAAGAACGCGATAATGAGCCAAAAATCATTTCAAAACGATGGAAAAAAAAAGATGTAAATATCAGCGTACTTATAACAGGAATGTTCTTGCAGATATCATGCTCCATGATAAGTGTTAGAAGAGCATATCCAGAGATCGAAGGCAGATCAACCTCTGTTAGTATCAAATCAACACTTTCAGGCTTTCCTTTTAGCATCTCCCAAGCCTTTAAGCCATCAGGAACAGCAGCAACTGATAATACACACAAAAACCAACCACATTAATAAAACCTCTAAGCTTGTTGTAGAAACTAAGTGTTGATGAAGACTCAAAGATTTATATATGAACACAAAACTCAGATTGACCCCAAAAAAACATGGTTCTTGATCTATTCTAGGAAAAATCTTTTACATGCTAAAAATAGCAACAATTTCGTTACTTAGACAACAATCTTTGTTCGTGTCCGAATAACATCAGATGCAAAACCGACAAAAATACGTTGACTTTGAATTGTAATATTCCAAACTCCAAAGCATAATTTAGCCCCACGCAAAATCAGATTCACGCCATTAGCAACTTAATCAAATTCATAGTTCTCAAAATTCCAGGAAAATTTTCCGATGTTCGAACAAAACATCAATCTCAGGCAATGAAAACCAGAAACTGACCTCTGTAACTACATTTCCTGAGAAGAGCAGAGATAATCTGTCTAGTCGAATCATCAGCTTCAACGAGCAAAACTCTTAGCGCGATTTTCGGGAGAAACCTCTCCCACTTCACCAAACCATCGCCGCCGCCATCAACGGCGTCTTTCTTCCGCATCTTCCGCCGTGATAACTTTCCTCCGCTAGCCTCAGCTGCTTTCACCACCGTAACTTCAACTACTTCCTCGCTACTCATTATCACAACACAAACACTTGAAAAACCTAAATCGATTGAAGAAGGAGAAAGCTTCCAGAGAAAGAGAAAATAAAAAATTTGTGAGTGGAGAGATAAAAGAGAGAAAATAAAAATCTTTATTCTTCTATAAAAATTATTGTGAGGGAAAACAAAATATCTAGAAAAAATCTAGCGAATGTTTTAACGGTTGAGATTGGATTTGGGCGGTGAACCGACCTTGATCTAACGGTTGTGAAAAGGGTAAAGGGGTTTGAAAAATATCTAGTAGAATTGGCTGACGTGGCCACGTTTGCCACATCAGCAAAATACTGTATACGAGACAAAGAGATCCAATACGCCAAATAACCTTTTTTATTTTTAATTGGTGTGGTGGCTAGCCTTTGGTTCTGCTCTGTGGTTCATATTTAAAGTTGGAATTTAAATTTTTTTAAATTTATATCAAAGTATTTATTGCTTATTGATGCGTGTGTATTTGTGATGTAGAAATATTTAGTGAATTGGTTGTTTTATTTTATGAGAGATTGAAAATTGAAGCTAATTACTTATTTGATTCTTATAAACTACATTTTTTTAAATGGGTTTTATTGTATTCAACATTTTAGTTTTTTAGTGAACTAGTAGACCTAAAAAATCCCAACTTGTGACTTTTGGGATAATATCAAAGCCAAAAAATATCTAATGCTAGTGGCAAAAAAGTATCTATACAATTTATCCAAAAAACTATTGTATTATCTGTTTGTAATTGGTACATAGGTTTGCAATTTATTTATTTTGAAAATAAGAAGATTATTTCAATTTATTCTTTCACAAAAGAAATCAAAGGCAGATGGGTTTTAACAAATAAGAATCTTTTTGTTAATGAAGTACATATATATTTCAATTTCTTTCTTTTTTCACAAAAATCACTTTATTACACCAAATTATTATAAGAGTAAAAAAAACCGATGATCACTGGTGCTAATTGCTAATGTCGTTATTGTTTTTTTCGGTCATCCATATAAAATCAATATTTTTAGTCACAAAATAACAACACGTAATATTGATTTCATTAGAAAAGAAATGGAAGAATCAAACAAATGATTATCGATCATACATTCTTAGTTCACCAAATTTTATCAGCATTTTGGTTTTTTTTTCTGTTGCTACTATTTTGGTTGCGTGGTGGATTAAAATAAAATCAAATGGAACATGCACGAGTCAAGAGTAGGGACAAGAGTGAATGAGTTTTAAAGTAATTTTCCGGGACTTAGATATTTTGTTTGGTGGGATAAGGGACACTTGTTTAAAACCTCGTGGTCTCTGGTGGATAGGAATATGACACGTGTTTGGTTCTTATCTGACACAGTCTTTCATCTTTAAATGGTAGTTGTCAGAGACTAAATATCTTCTTTTTTTCCCTGTCTCTTCACGCGCCCGCGAGTTGGACAGATAGATCATACTCGCTCTATTTCCCTATGACTTTTCTTTTTTATTGACCTACTATGGTTTATTCTTCTCCTAATCAAACTTAGTAAATTACTAGTAGGTATTATATAAACAAGGACAATTAGTGTGATGACCATTAATCAACAAATAATGAAATTGCCGAGAACTTCATAGCCAGGTGGTTTAGTTCCTTATGCTAGCACTTTATGCGTTAAAAGTTTGAAAAAAATTGTAACTAGGTTTTGGCTGGTTTGTTGTTGGACGAGTTTAACATTTTTTTACTATATATATTGTTGCTGGTCACATAATTGTCAATTAATATAAAATAGAAATGATATAATATATGATATCGTTTTTTGTATTATTATTTTAACAGTAGATAAAATTTCTACTAGCGAATTAATCAATAAGGTTTTTTTTTTACGTATAGTATATGCTTTTTTTGATAAAAAAAACGTGGAGTATATGTTTCAATATGTTTTAAATATGCATAGTGAATTGAAAAATAAAAGAACATTATATTCATTAAGAAAACATTATATGCATATGATATAACCCATATATAATAATGTCAAATAATTCTAGCGGAAGTTCCATTTTTGTGTAATTTATAACTATGATAAGCTTATTTTTGTGTAATGAAAAATAATAAGCTTATTTTTTTGTAATATATAACAATGAAAATCAGCAAGAAGTTCCATTTTTTAAACATAATTGCAAGTACAGTCTGCAAAGTAATCATTATATTTGCAAGCCCTTAAATAACAAACAAAAAAAGTAATCACTACTCTATAATGCTTATTTGATAAATTACAACTATTTGAAAGTGTTTGCATTTTATTAATCATAAAGAAAATATATGGGGGCAAAATTAAAATGAAAATTATATTAAAAATTAAAATTACAACTAAATACTAATGGGTTTGAATGGTAACTTTGTATCGTTTTAATATAATGTGTATTGCTTTGACAGTTATCAATTACAAAAGCGATATCAAATTTTTTAAAAAAAAACATTATTCTCAACTTTTTTTTTTACAGCTTTCATCTATCACTGTTTTATACAATTTTGCATTATTCCGTAAAAATTTACCGCTCCAATTTACAGCTAAAAAATTTGTACATCTTTGTGTTACCAACCAGAACCAATATTTTGAGACAAACTTTTTACTGCTGTCGATCAAACTTAAAACTACTTTAACTCGAACCTATGATACTCATCAGACAGGTAGATAACCACAATTGACTAATAACTCAACGACATTTATAACTAAATACAAAAAAATAAAAAAATGTTTGATTTGGTTGGATGATACTCCACGCACTAGTGTTGAAGTGTAGTGGATCCACGACTTTTGGTTTAAGGAATAAAGTCTAAAGATATTTTGGCCTAACTTTCACTGAACATGCTCCATCTTTTTTCAAACAGATATTTTTTGTCTGCATGATATTTCCATGGCCTCTCTTTTTTGTGTGGCCAACTTTGATATTTCATTTCTTTTTTGTTCTTTACAGTCTGTGTATGATATTTTTCTTCATTTTTTATGCAACTTCAGATATTTCAATGTTAAAATACCATATATGGCTAATGGCTTTGTCCATTTTATTCCAAAAAAGTTAAGCTAGTTGGTATTAATGGGCTTCGAAACATCCACAAGATACAATCAGACATATCTAAAGTTAGATATTATTAACCAATAGGTTAATTGAGCGAGACCAAAGAATATACAGTATGTAGATGAATGAATAGTGATATCATGGTAGATAAAAAAAACTGCAAATTAATTTTGTTGAGTTGCCCCGATGTTTTAGGTTATGAACTTAATTTTTAGTCAATTCCATCTTTGCTCTTTGATTGGTAACATGAATTGTCATTGCGTTAAGTTGAGTTATTGAGTTAACTATTTTCTTACGATGATTAAGATCACTAATTGTTATCTCAAATTGATGATGTCATTCTCACGATAAAATTCATCTAAGTACATTGTATCATTAATCTCGAATTCTGTATAGTCAAGTTCAATTTGTTATTATTTATTCTGAATATAATTCGTCTAAACCGATATTGCAAGATTGATAATACCCAAAACATTAATATTACATGATTTGTATTGTCTATTTTAAAGTTTTCATAGTGAAATGTCTTACAATGAATTTTTTTTTAAAATTCACTTTAAACTGATAACATATTGAACTCCCAATTTGATTAATTTAGAGAGGTTTTAGTTTTACTGTAATTAGTATATTTGACACATAAAATGTGTTTCTTCCTTTTAATTTTGATTAAAAGATTAATGACAACATAGTAGACAAATGTGTTCCAAATTGAATTAGTAAGCATGATCAGTTATTTTGTTAGGTAATTAATGACTAAATTACATGCATATACAACATAAAGTAAAGTGTAAGATAGTAAGAAAAAGTTTTTCCACACATGTTATCTCTATTATTAACGGGAAATTCAATCTTAATATGTATTCGAACACAAATAGGAAATTAATCTCTACACTACTTATGTCAATAAGTTGTATTCATACTAATCTTTCTTGAATTTCCTAAATGTTGTTATTTTGTGAAATTGGGCACAATCTCTTTAAATTTCTTTGATTTTTCTTCTTTTTTTTCTTGATTTGACTCTTTCATTTCTTTTTATCGACCTTCACTAGCGGTTGAATCTTTGTTTCTTTACCAACATGGTCACAATATTCTTTCATTTTTCTCAATATACTTCTATAGGAGAAATGGGATTGAACACTTATATTTAGTTTTAGAATCTCTACGAATCATTTTTTAGTTTCATCAAAACTTCATTTAGTTTTGGAACACCTCATTTATGCTTAACATCATTTGGGTGCGTATAACATTTAATGAAGATATCTTGGTCGATATATTGTTGCAATATCACTTATAAATTTTCTATTAATCTTGCTGTCAAAAAAAAAAAAAAACTAAAATTAATCTTATAAGTAAATCTCATACCTTCATGTAACAGTAATGAATGCCAATAGAATGGACCGCTAATGCACATCTGAAAATAAAAGGGACTAATTTGTAGGAAATGTAAAGAAAGGGGTTCATTTCATAAATAGAAATCTTCTCATTTTGCATCTGTCATCATCCTTATCCATTTTTCCTCCTTATCCAAATTTTTCCACTTCCTCACTACTTCAGTCTTCACTTCACAAACGAAAGAAGGATCTGTGAATCACTCTCACTCTCACTCTCAAATGGCGACGCTTTTAGGCTTCTCTCAAACGAAGTTTCACCATTGCGGCGTCTCGATTCCTACGCCGCCGTGCTCATCTTCTTCCACGGTGGTCTCAATGGTTGGCTCGAGCCGGACTGATTCGAAAAAGCTCCGGACAGATTTTCTCGGCCATATTGGTTACGATGATCGGAGACAAGTAAGACCCAGTTCCTGTAAAAGCTCATTAGCTGTGAAAATGTCGTGGGACGGTCCTCTTGCTTCCGTCAAGTTGATCATCCAAGGAAAAAACCTCGAGGTTTGTGATTCTGTTACTACACGCTTGAATTTGATTGGATTCTGAACAAAAATGTTGATTTTTTTTTCTGGGTTCGATTATTTAGAAGTTGCAATTAGGAAAGTTTTAAACTTTCGGGAGATTTTTCCTGTTAGGTTAATGTACATTGGAAGAGAAAACTCGAGTGTTGTTGAAATTATGGTTTAGTGATCAGCTATATAATGGATACTGATACTGTTAGGTTTAACTTAAACCGTTTAAGAGAGTGACTCTTGACTCTTAGTCAGTGGAATTTATGTGTTCAACATTTTGGTTTTGATAGTAGAAGTTTGTTGTCTTCAATCATTTGGTTAATTGTGACGTTGTTGTGACAGTTATCAGAGCCAATCAAGCAGCATGTTGAGGAGAAAGTAGGGAAATCTGTTCAGAAACACAGTCATCTTGTGAGAGAAGTTGATGTAAGACTCTCTGTTCGTGGTGGAGAGTTTGGTAAAGGCCCTAGGATTCGTAGATGCGAGGTAAACATGTCTTTCTTATCGATATTGAAACCCTTTCTTTCAAGTCCATATCCACAAACTGTTATTTTAGAAGCTAACATGTAGTTCCTATGGTGCTTAAGGTGACATTGTTTACAAAGAAGCATGGTGTTGTGCGTGCTGAGGAAGATGCTGAGACGGTATACGCTTGTATCGACTTGGTATCAACGATAATACAGAGGAAGCTGAGGAAGATCAAGGAGAAGGACTCAGATCATGGAAGGCACATGAAAGGTTTCAACAGATTGAAGGTAAGAGAACCAGTGATTGAGCCGGTTGTGGAGGATGTTGAGGATAGTACTGACTCGAGCCTAGGAGAAGAAGAAGAAGAGGATGATTTGATCAAGGAGGTTAGTCCAGACTTACCTAATACCTTATCATTGGTGTTTGCTGATCTTATTATGATATTTTTTTTTTAATTGCGGTTATCTACAGATTGTCCGTACCAAGACTTTTGAGATGCCACCATTGACTGTCTCTGAGGCAGTTGAACAGCTGGAATTAGTCGCCCATGACTTCTATGGCTTCCAAAACGAAGAAACTGGTATGCATGTGGCATATTTTATTTTCTTCCATAAATGCTCGATTGCTTAAACCGCAGAATAGTCAGATGAAGATCGACAGGAATACTTACATTTTGATATCGTTTTTGGTTGGCAGGTGAGATTAACATAGTGTACAAGAGAAAAGAAGGAGGTTACGGTCTGATTATCCCAAAGAAAGACGGGAAAGCCGAGAAGGTTGAGCCGCTTCCAACCGAGCAACTGAATGAACACTCTTTTGCCGAGTAGACTCTCTGCCCACATCAAAACAGATCAGTTCATCTCTCCTTACAGTTGCTTGTGTAGGAGTTAGGGTTCTTGAGAAAACAATGAAACAAAGATTGTAGAAGTCAGTGTACATAAGAAAAGGCCGACCACTCTTTGTATACTTTTGCGGTAAAAAGAAACTGAATCTGAAGATCTTCTCTCTTTAAATCAGATAATAGCAATACACTTTTCATAAACAAGAATGTTACATAATAATCATACAACAATCATCATCATATACATAAATGCGAAACTTGGTATGGTTTAGTGACACTGTTATGCCATGGACCGATAACCTCGAGCCTCTGCTTCGCTGTTCTTCTTGCTTATATGTATACCGAAAGAACCTTCTTTTCTAGGTTTAGAGGGCAACCTGGTTAAGAGAAGAAGAGATGACATTAATATACATTAGGACTAGGAGCCATTGATTAACACAGCTAATGAACTTGCCTTCGGCTGACATTGCTGCTTTCTGGTTCATCATGAATCTCTTCGACGTCATATTGTGGGTTCTGCAATGAAGATGAGACATAACACATGTTATTAGCAACACAGTTCGATTCGCATCGCATCGCATCGATGAACACTGCAGAGACCTTATTAAGAGAATTAAACAAGAAGAGCAAAATTCATGATCAAATGAGCAAAATGATACGCACATTGTTTGAAACTGATGTTGAAATCTTCATCTTCTTGCTTTTCCGAGCAATTTCACCATCATCATCACCGACGTCACATTTCCTCTTTTTCTTCTTCTTCTTCTTCATCATCTTCTTCGTCTTCGAAACAACTCTTGATTTACCTTTCTTCTCCCTCACTTTCCAAACATTTCTCCTCCTGAAAACAAGTTTCTCAGATTTCCAAATCTTGAAGCTAGTATCAATCACCGTCACTTCACTCCTCGAAAATCCAACTAAATCCTTCTCTCCTTTCTCTTCTTCCTCATCCACATCCTCACCTTCCGCTACACTTCTTCTCCTTTCCCTAATCTCCGTCGCCGGCGCCGGTTTCTTATTGTACGAACTACGCGATGATGAAGTAGCGAATTCACGAACACGAGGGAGACAATTCGCGTCGTTGCTTTTCTGATTTACCAATGGAACAACGTCGTTAGGAGTGTCTAATGAGCAATGCCTAGGGTTTGATTGTTTCCTAGGCAACTTCTTCTTCCCTGGAATTGTGGAAGATTTAGATGTGCCGCCGAAATTGAATAGCTCGGAGAGAACATCGCTCATCACGCCGTACCATTCTCCGGGAACTGGTTCTTCCGATGGACTTTCAGCTAATTCTGGATCTGATGGAATTGGAGCAGATGGAGGTGAATCGGAGGCGGAACTAATGGCGGTGATTTCGGTGTGGTGGTTGCGGCGGAGAAAGTCGTCGAGAGTAAGTGGATTGCCAGAAGCATCGTCATCTTCAGTGGTGGAGAGTCCTCTGTTTAAACGGAGGCGGTTGAGCCAAGTGGAGGGGGCAGGTTTGTCGTCGATGATGGAGCTGAGCATCGGAGACGACGACGATACAAATCTTGGCTCGTCTTTTTTTTTTTTTCCTCTGCTGTGAATTTATCCCTTTTTTTCTGTTATAAATGCGTCTTCTTATTAACATTAATTTATACATTTAAATATTTAAATTATATTTAAAAAACAAAGACCGAATTGAATTTGAAACATAACAATTTCTGTCAACGAATTACGAATGGTCTTGATATGGTTTTTTTTTTTTGGTTTTGTTTTTATAAATCCAAAAATACCAAAACCAAATATTTTTGTAAATATTTTCGTTGTATATATATTTAAACAATAGCCAATAGTAAATCTGATTTATTTTTGTTGTCTCTCATCAACAATCAAATAAATTATAAATAATCAAAATGTAATCAAAGTCTTCATAAGCAACTTCACCAAAAAAAAGTCTTCATAAGCAATATTCATGTTGAACAAAAAAAAAGAAGCAATATTCATAAAATTTGGAAGCAAATAAAAGCTTCTCAAAAGCAGACAAGACAAAGGTTTCGCTTAGAACGTACAAAAGAAAAAGAATTCAATAGAAAGAAAGAAGAAGAAGCTCTTCTAGTCAAACAATCCGATTATCATGTCATCTTCACTCTCTTCTTTGATCTCCTCCTAAGATTACAAAACAATTTAGTATGGATTATTAGTTTGTTCTAAATAGATGTAATTCATTATGTGCTAACAAATACCTTCTCATTCTTCTTCTCCTTAGGAGAAGAGGCTGATTGAGAAGCGGCAGAAGCAGCAGCGGTAACTGGACCAGCCAAACCACAACCACCGGCTCCTACATTCATGATGAGATCATCGATGTTCTTCTTCTCGCAAAGCTTAGCAAAGAGGCTAGGCCAGTATGACTCAACATTCACATTGGCTGTTTTCACCAGTTTTGATATGTTCTCAGCCTAGTAATATTACACAATTACAGCACTTCAGTGAGACGATTCGAGAGACTAAAACATGAGCTAAAGAGATCTCTCAATAGCTACAAAACAAACTTGAAGAAAGAGAGAAGAGAAGAAAACTCACGGTGATCTCGATTCCATCATCGTGGAGGATTAGAGCCGCGTAAGTGCAGGCGAGCTCACTGGTCGACATTATCTACCTTCAACCTCTTTGCACTATAGCTTGTACTATTATCGCTTGCATTTTAATGTTTTGAGGTTTTAGCTATTTATACTTGGGGTTAGGATTTTGTATAATTAAACCCATCTCATAAAAATCTGACAAGTAGCTTAATCTTAACTGTAACTAGATCAGAACAAATTTAAAAATCACATCATAATCACACATGTCAAAAAAAATACAATTCAGATTATACATATTTTCTTAAATCTAAAAGATTTCATAAGCTAAATTTTATATATTACTCATTTTATAAATTGAAAATATGAGTATTATATTTTCCAAATCTATGCTCAAACCATAACTAGAAAAAAAAATATAAACCATAACTAGAAAAATAAAATAAACAAACACATTGTGATTATTAGAATAAATAAATAAAATCTTTAAGTATGGTAATGATATCATGGAGACAAAAGTTAAAAAGTAAGTTTTGCTCTTATTGGTAGATAGATTTTTAACATTTTGGGATTCTACCATTATTGGTTTAGAGATTCTTATATTTCTAGAGGAGATTATTAGATCAATGATTTAAAGTTAATTCCCACTTTTATATATTGCAAGTTTGAAAATCTTGCTAAGATATATTTATAAGACCTCATGTGTGAAAATTCTAAAATATTTGTGTCATACCTTGGATTTTGTTTATAATAATTTATTCATCCAATTTCATTAGAATTCATTAAATCTTTATGTCAAATATATGAAGAAGTCGATTAAAATCTTTGGGGCGAATATACAAATAAGTCTCCACTGAAACTAACTTCAAATCTTTGTATCAAATAAACAAATAAATCTCCATTGGAATTTATTCACTTCAAATCTTTGTGTCAAATAACTGAATAAGTTAATTTCAGCTCCATTGGCAAAAAAAAGCCAACGAAACGCTTTAGCCGCTGAAAAGTAGAAGCTGATTTATCTTAAAGACGTCCAATAAAGTAAGACAGGGTGCATTGTACTAAGCTTACCGATTCTAAACACCAGAAACCGCAATATATTCTGGTTGGGTTTATACACAACATGAGATCATAGTAGCATTCATTTGGTGAACCAAATGAATTCAGTTTTTGTTACAATCAGAATAGATACATAGATGCATTGCGGACCAAGAAGCAAGAGTGTGCATGCACCAAACCTACTATCTTACGCACATTATGATTATACGGGTCTATGCTAAAATCCGTTGATCACTTCACATCTGCACCTGACATCAAGTGAAACGGATAGTAATTATAAGGAATTGTTATTTGATTTTCTAGGTTGCATGTGTGAATACATATGCAATGTTGTTGTCTAAATTCTCTAAATTCGTTACAAAAACCTGAAGCACACATACAAAGATGTTCGAACCAGCATTTCATTGGTTGTAGTTTCCAATTCCAATTATATGACTATGAGGACATACAGCAGAGTTTGCCGGAAACAATTCTCAGATCCTTGGTTATCCTAACCGATATTTGTATTTGTTATGTAGCTCGTGGCTCATCTAAAGTACTGAAGAACTATGGTTAGAAGTTAGAACCCAATTAAATCCAAGATATGACTACTAATCTATCAGCCGTTACATCAAGTGTGAGACCTAATGCTAATAAGAGTCACAATATGACTACTAAAATGTGATTTATATATGCATCAGAAAGTAACTGATTTCAACAAAGATACTGAATAAGGTTAATCAGAAATGGATTATAGTCCACCTAAAACCCAAGTAGTGTCAAATCTCTGGCAGCTTTGCAATCAAGAATCGAATGTTTAGCTACAAGCCTACACGACTATCTGTTATGACTATGCAAGCAAATGCAGCAGGATCTAAACCAATAATCAATGCTTCCTCATCAGAATTTAGACCTAGCAATTGAGATCATCGATTTCACAGTTACATAGCGAAACAGAAACTCTCACCTCAAACTCTAAGGAGCTGCATTTTGTTAGCGAAAGCAATTCCAATCCAATCAGGCTGCGAAGAAGACCACTGCAACTGATTTATCTCCGAGCCAGCCGAATAAACCGACATCGGATCAATCCCATTCGGTCCAGCTACAGTCGGAAGCTCCCAAATAAGAGCCTGCGTATCATCACCACCAGAGCAAATATGTTTACAGCTCTGTGGCGCCCAAGCTATAGCATTAACACTAGCCTGGTGCCTTTCAAGCTCCGCAACAGGCATAGTCGGAGAACGAATATCGAGAATCACAACCTTATTAGAATCCATCAAAATCGTCGCCATATACCTAAGATCTTGCTTGTTCCAAGCTAGTCTTAACAAAGGCGTATCAGGCTGAGGACTCTCGTAGATGATTGTAGAATGTTCCTTATCGCGTAAATCGAAGATCCTAACGGATCCATCAGCCGAGACCGATGCGAAAACCCTAGCTTCTCCCCAAGCAATATCATGAACCTCTTTATCATGAGCTATGAGCTGAGTCTCAACAACAGACTTCTCAATATCCCAAATCGTACAAGTCGTATCAATACTACAAGTTCCAAGCCGTTTCGGCTCAACATCGTTCCAATCAAAAGAGGTCAACGGAGCACAAAACTCACTAGTCTTACTATTGTTGAGAACCGAGATCGGCTCAACGGTGGAAGAATCTTCGTTAATTTCCCAAAGACGGAGGAAATCGCCGGAGGAAGCGAGTAGATCTCCGGCGGAAGGACGACGGAGAGAAGGAGGACTAAACATTAGCTTTGTTGGAGGATAAGGATGTTCGAAGGAGAGATTCGGGAGAGGCTTAACGGTCATCGAATCGGAATCGAAAGAGAGAATATCGATGCGGTTGTTGTAATCTTCGAGGAAGCTTCCGACGGCGATTCTGTGACCGGAGGATGAACGGAGAGAAGAGAAAGCCATGGCGTAGAGTGGATAAGGTGAGTCGTATGTGACGGCGGTTTCCGATCTGGATAACGAATCTGGAGCTGAGTTATCCATGGAAATGAGTGATTCTGATTCGATTTGAGATTTGGCTTCTTCACGACGAAAGTGAGAGGAGAGTTTTGAGGTCAGTGTTAGTCGGATATTTTTTGAAGAGACGGAGAAAGAATCAATGGAGACGGCGTAGATAAACCTCTGGATTAATCAGTATCTTTAATGTATGTATAGATAATGGGCTTTTTAGTGTGTTTGGGCTTTGAGTCTTAAGATAGTGGGCCTTTCCTTTTAACTCTTAGAGCGAACGCAGTGGAGCATGTGTAATTGTGGGTGTAAGTAATTGTTTATTATTATAATTAAAAGAGAAAGAGAGAAAAGAGAGAGAGAGAGATAGAGAGAGATAGAGAGAATACATTTTTTTCTATTTTTATAATGTCTCACACTTGAGTGTAAGTCTACACCCGGTTTTTGTTGAAAAGGTAACTTTTGCAATATTTCTCAATTGTTTATAACTTACACCCATGTCTCAATTACGCCATTGCGTTTGCTCTTATAGAGCGAAGAACGGCGTAAATATTGGACCACTTAGAGCATCCGCAGTGGTGTATCCTTGCGTGGGGTGTATCTATTTTAAAATACAGAAATAATGCAAAAGTTGTCTCTCTCTTCACACCCGGGTATAAGTTTACACTCGGGTGTAAGACACTCTATCTCTCTCTTTCTTTCTCTCTCTCTTTTCTCTCTCACTTTAAATTATAATAATAAAAAAAATCTTACACCCCTCCCTCACACTTACACCACTGCGGATGGTCTTATCGCTAGGATGACATGAAACACTCAGACGAGCAGGCAAATGTCTTGTTATACCCGCCTGCTGCCCGCACCTCATTCATGAAAATGTCATAAGTTAAAGGTGTTAGTAACATAAAGTTGTTTGAATTGCCAGCCTTGGCCTAGAGCAATGAAGAGGACTGTTCGTACAGTAGTTGGGACAACCGGTTCATAAATATGCCACTAAACGCTAAGAAAAAAAGTTTCTCGTAAAAAAATTTCAGTGGATTAATTTTTGTGATTTTACTGATGAAACCCAGATTTCTGTTCAGAAAGAAAAGACTAAGTCAAGGCAGACAACGAGGCGAATATAGCAGACTCGCCTCTTTCCTTTTGCTTGTGTACTAGACGGAGGGTTAGATGGAGAATCACCGCCCGCTTAGTGTCTAGCTCATTTTTGAACATTGTCTATATATCTTATTCTATTTTAAATATAAACATCAAAATTTAAGATCGCATTACATTTATGTAAAATGCTATAATGTGTCCAAATAATTTATTTATTTCAACGATTTGGAAATTATATTACAATGGGTAGTTACTTTTTCTGTAAACAGTGACAGTGACAGAGGTCATAATTTAGAGGAAAGGGACATAACTTTAAATGCCCTACCTTCTTCAACCCGAAACCCACGTTTACTCCCATTTCATATTTGGTATATACATCAACCAATACAAATAGATACTTCCAATAATTCGTACATACTCATGACCCGTGATATTCCGATAATAGTCAATAGTTCATACTTTTTTTTTTTTTTTTCGCATCCATATTATTGAGATTACTGTAATTAATAATGAGCTCATTGATTCATTATTGATAGTATATTATTTTGATCCAATGTTGGTAATTCAACTAGTGTACTAAGTGACCACCCAAAATTAAAAAGTTTAAGAAATCACAAGTTTTGGATATCCATATGATCATTTACGCATGAATTGTTTATTATTTTTCTCGTTTTCAGTAGCGTGTTTACATTTTTATATTTGATAATTGAAATTTTATTAATACTTGTGCTTTTTTAAAAAATAATTCACTTATAAGAAATATTGTTATTTAGCATCTAAAATTATATTTTATATATTTCAAAATATAAGATGTTTTGGCTAAAATAACAAAGTTTAAAAACTTAATTATTATTTTTTTTATTTTTGTACATTAAAAATATAATTTAATATTTTGTGAAAGAGAGTTTGGCCAGCAAATTTTTTTTACTGCATAATATAAATAATTACAAATTGTATAAATTTGACTTTTGTAGGAAAATTTGAATTTTTTGTCAAAATATCTTATATTGTTAAACAAAATAGATCATGCTTAAAGTCTTTTATAATATGAAACATAAGGAATAAAATAAAACTAAAGTTGTTCTCGATCGTTCGTGAGTTGCCCTCATCATACGCATGTTCATATACATTGTCCTCATCCATTTTTTTTAAAAGTTAACAAGAAATAACTTTATTATATATGAAAAAATTAGATAATCGAACCGAAATGAACAAATTAATCCACCTTATAGTTGAAAACATAATTTTGGTTAACCATCCGAAAGAAAATATATTATTTGATTACATGTAGTTTCTATAGTAGAGCACAATTTGTGATTTTTGGGTTGTGCAATGTAATTATAATTAAGCCTATTCCAAAATCTAATGTATTAAAATCGAGAAGATTAAATTTAACAACACACCAAAAAAGACAAAAAAAAAAAAAAAAAAAAAAGAAGAGAAAGTTTAACACATGAATCACGTACGATTAAGAAAAAAGGAAAAAAAACAATATATTAATATCCAGATGTCTCGTTTAATCACCAAACATTCATGCATCTTGATAGATAGATATCAGTTTTGGTTAATTAATTAATGATTATGAAAACACGGTTTTCGCTTTCGACCGACGCGAGGTGATAAACCGATCATTTGGATAACAGCAGTTTGTGATTTTTGGTTTATCAATTTGTGATAAAATGATCATTTGGATAATTAGTAAACTAGTATTTGCTAGGCGCTAGCTACATAGAGCATTTTCAACGGAAAGAAACTATTGTGATGTCTGAAATATAATAATTTAATGTTTATATAATAAATGAGTTATTTGTTTAAATTTTAATTAATAAAAAAAGAGTCTAACCAGTTAAATGATGTCATGTATCAGACACAGTTTCTCAAAATTTCTCAAACGAAATACTTGTCTCATTCTCTCTCTTATTTTTAATTATTTTTTACTTTTTTTTATTTCTTTGACATCCTATGAGATATCTCCGTTGGGACGGTAAAAGCTCCGATCCATAACTATTAACTACAATAAAAAAAAAGTTTAGAAGTGTTTTACACGACACAAGTCACATGAGTGTACGTACTTATCAAGATTGACTCTGAGGTCTGAAGTCCCAAGTCCCAACGATGATGACACCACTTCCATATACGGTCTTGCCCGTATTTTGGATAGAATACAGACAGTGGTTTTCATTTGGACACGTGTTCTGCTTTATCTCTTTGTATCAAAAATACACGAATACCTTTATCTCAACCACACGTGTTCTGCTTTATCCCCAACCTCATTATTTGTACCAAAATACAGACTCTGCATGGAAGATTTTCTAATTATACGACTCACAATTATTCAAATAAATTAATATATATTTTATAAAAATATATTGTACTCGAAATAACAAAAATACATGAATGTCTTTAATTATATTTAGGGTTGCGACTAATAACGGAAAAGGTTTTTCCAAATCGAACCGAGATTTGAAGGTTGGAATCGGTTAACCAGAGTGAACCGATCAACAACATTTTAAAATGGGGTTGGTCATTGGTCTGGTTCTATTTGGTTCATTGAACCAATTAATTAACTGTTTTTTGGGTTTTTTTTTTATTTTTCAAAAAAAATTAGAACCTATATAAACCATATTAATTAAATCAAAATTATACCTAAAATCCTATAAAATTGCTAATTGAACCAAACCGTTCCAAATAAATGGATGGTTTTATGTCTCTTACCAATTCCTCCTCACTATTTTTGTGCATATATTAATCAAATAACCTAACCAAACTAAGAGATAACCGAACCAACCCTAAACTGTATTAATATTCACAACCGAGTTATTTGAACAGAAATGAAACTATCAGTTCAATTTTTTTTTTTTTTTTTTTTTTTTTTAACTATCAGTTCAAATTCGTATGCCTAAGTTATATTTAATTCGTTTACTGTACATATAACGTCTCATTTCTTAATTCGTTTTAGGTTTTAGAAACATTGACACAACCCTGCTTATATTTTATATTACATACTTAAAAGGTCAATATCGAACTATTGGGGTTCGTTAGTTGTCACATATCATAATGTTTATTCGTAAATAAAATTTGAAAAGGTCAAAAGAAGAGGAAAGATGGTTAAAACCCTTATTGTCAAAAAGAATATTATTTTACTTTTTTGTAATGTTTATCAGTAATCAATGCCGGTGTGTTTTTAAATCTCATATTTTTCTCTACCGAAGTCGACGAACATAAAAGAAAAACAATCTCAATCGACGTACAAATTACTGCTGAGATGACATAGTCGTACGCCTTGGGCAACAATCATCCATGACGTCATTGCTGTGACGCTGGGATGATGACATTATATCAATTGCACTTTTTTCTAAATATGAATATAGACTTAGAGAATTTTGTTATGACAATATATATATATTTCAGCTTCTAATATAATACATACCACACATTCTAAGTACAAAAATTTATAGCCAACCATACGAATTAAATGCATAGCATACCAACATATACTAGATATTCAACATCAAAATGATTTTAATTCAATACATCGTTTGTCGGAATCGGGTATTGACCAATTTTGGCCAAAACATATTCAAAAATATTTTCAATATTCTTCTTTATCTAATTAATATTAGAAATTTATTTTTTCTTTTATAATAATAACATTTTGTTGTTTAAATCGGACTAAACTGTGTTTAAAATCACAATCTATGGATTATTTATTTTTGTTTTTTTTAATATAAAAAATTATTTTTTGAATATTATTTACTCAATGCGGATCAACGCCATATTTCGACAAAAATTATATCGAATTAAGATAATTATGATGTTGACCAAATATCATTGGTATATGTGGATATATAATACATTTAGTTCATATAATCGGTTATATATTTTTATTATTAAGATATATGGTCATGTATTATGATCCGTGTTCAAAAAATCGCTAGGCGCTAGTCGGGCGGTGAGGGTGCGCCTAGCGCCTAGCAAGAAAATCGGAGATTACACGGGGATTAATCGGGGATTAGTTTTAGGGCTATTTAATGTTTTAAAAATATATTAATCCATTATAAATAAGAAATTTATATAATCTTGTTTTTAAAATTGCATTAAACACATGAAAACAAGAATTTAAGGTCAAATTTATGATTTTTATAAAAAATTATGAATATAAGTGAGACGTTTTGAATTTTAGATCCAAAAAAAGAAAAAAAAAATGTAAAAAAAAAAAAAAAAAATTGGGCTAGGCGCCGTCTAGGCGGGCTAGGCGGACGCCTAGGCGGTCTAGGCGGCCAAAAATCGGATCACCGATTTTTTTTACCGATTTGGACAAAATCGCCGCGGTCCCCACCCGATCAGCGCCTAGGCGGCTAGGCGGCCGATTTTTAGAACAAGGATTATGATATATGTCGTATGCATGACTAACTACTACTCAACAAATTATTAAAATTATAGATTTCTTATTTGAATTTATTTTTAATGTAAACTGCATCCGAATTCCGAGCCATGAATTAATATCTTAATTTATTAACTCTAAATTGAGTTTTTAATATAACATTTTTGTTAAGTTATACCGTAAATATATTTTAACTCTGGTAGAGGTAAGAGTATTTTTTTGATAAATGAGATGTTTAGAGTATTTTAAGGTTAGTTTATAAGAAAATTGAAAAGAGTAAACTTTTGATGGGTTAATTATTTTTATTTGAAGTAAAGTGTAGAATTTTTTTTATGTATCAGGATGAGAGATTAACTATTTTCTTTAGGGATTAAAATTTAGAAGTCGCTGATTAGAATAGCACTCGGTAAAAACCATATCAAATACTGTTATGGTTTCGGCCTGAAAAGATATACTTCCTACATCTGTAACTTTTCAGTAATTATTAAAAAACTATTAAAAAGGTATTCAAGCATATAATTTTCTGATCATAAATCTTATAAAAACCCACAGTTGTCCTTTTTGAAACTCTTTTAAACCCCACTATATTCGGTGGATTAAAAATTAATTAAAATATCATTCGAATAATATACATACTGATATAACAAAATTTTCCACTTTAAAAACATAATTAATTGAGTAGGACCGAGTTTACTGAATTGTTTTATATATACGATCGATGCACATCGCATTACTCAAAGTCAAGCCTTCATTTTATCTCTTATACCTTTTCGATTCTTCTTCAATCTTCTGACATCAAATGGCGGGAAAGCTGATATCCACCGGTCTCCGTCACACTACTTTGCCGGGAAACTATGTCCGGCCAATCTCCGACCGTCCACGTCTCTCTGAAGTCTCTCAACTCGAAGATTTCCCTCTTATCGATCTTTCTTCCACTGATCGATCTGTTCTCGTCCAACAAATCCACCAAGCTTGTGCTCGATTCGGGTTTTTTCAGGTACCTAATTATAATTATAATCAAATAGATTATATGTGACAAAACAAAATTCAAGAAAAAATGTTTCTTGATATTTGACTAGTTCCATGCTGACTTTTATCATTTGGAACTTATACACAAAAACTTTATAGTTAATTTTTTTTCCTTTCGCGGTTAATCTTTCGAGGTCATAAATCACGGAGTAAGTAAACAAATAATAGATGAGATGGTAAGTGTTGCGCATGAGTTCTTTAGCATGTCTATGGAAGAAAAAATGAAGCTATATTCAGACGATCCAACGAAGACGACAAGATTATCAACGAGCTTCAATGTAAAGAAAGAAGAAGTCAACAATTGGAGAGACTATCTTAGACTCCATTGTCATCCTATCCACAAGTATGTCCATGAGTGGCCTTCAAATCCTCCTTCTTTCAAGTAAGTCACTCAAACTTATAATTCTAGTCTTCTTTTTGATAAATTCTACTTTGCATTTTCTTTTTATACTATTTACTAGTAACTATTCTATTGATTTATATTGTTCCATAGTGAATACAACATAAATTTGCATGTGCTTAAATAGGTAAAACGATCTATCAGGTTTTATGAAATATCTCATGTCTCTGTTTAATATAATTGTTGATTTTTGATGTGTCAGAATTTCCAAAAATAGGCTTATTATTAGCTATTTTTAGACTATCTTTACCTGAATAGCTTTAACAAAAAATCTTTACCTGAATAGATTTAGATTCCATCATAACCCTGTGTATATAATCATATTCAATATCTGATTGTTAATGAATTAAATTATTATCTTATTAGTTTAAGATTTTATATACTTTTTTTTTTTTACAAAATAAAATCATGCAAAATATCATCAAATAGAAATTTTTTTTTAGAAAACTTTACAAAGATTATAGAAAAACTAATCAACAAGATTATAGAATACTCTATCAATCGTTTAAATTCTTAGTTTATTTATATACTTTCTATATTAAATTCATCAAAACACTATTTAAATCTCAAATCAATAACATCATCTAAATGCTTTTAAAGCCTCTAGACTACCTATCAAAAAAGAACATACCGGTGAGGTATGTCTTCTTAACATTTTCTGTTTGTCATGAATTCAAAAAACATAACAAAACAAAACTAGAGCAAGCATTGCCTTTCTCTTTAGATATATGTGAAGAAGGAAAAAAATTTAACGTGATGCATTTTTCTCATATCTGTTGTCTATCATGTATAACTATATAACATTATAAGACATAGAAACATGTGATCTTAGCACAAGGAAATTTTTATTTCTATTTTTTATCAACATGTCTATGAAAATTTACGTTTCGATAGATAGTAACACAAATCATCACCAAACTATTTACTGTGTTCTATTTTTTAATAACTAGAATATTGGAATATTCATATGAATATGTTCGATTCGGATATCTTTAAAAGAAAATTCGACTTTTCATTTGAGTCAAACTGTTTTTTTTTTTTTTTTTTGGAACCGACTCTTTAAAAAAGGAAAAAAAAAATAGTAAAAGATAAGTTCACTTGTGGTCCCATTTGGTTTATGTTTTTCTGATTTGGTTCGCCATGTGATCACATGGTTGCTAAGATTTATAAGATCTTTACATGCATATATATTCACTACTAGTATATATGTACTTACTTGTAGCTGTTGGACATATAAATAATATGGGTATTGGGAATAAAGTGTTCACGATATTTTTATCTTTTACACAACCGTGTGAACTACTTCAACCGACTTGTTCGGTGGACAATAGAACTGATTATGAAGGGCAACGTGTTTGTGTTATATAGTGCATGTATTTTATTACACAATTACATTTCGACAAAGAAAGATTCGATAAAGATGTGTTGGTGAAAAAGATAAGCAGAAATTTAAAGCAGAACCACACGATCAAAAAAGTATCATGAAAACTTCCAAACTCTTTAAACTCTGTCATTCCGACAAATCTCCATCTGAACTATTACAAAATAAGGAGTCAACACCGGCCAAAACCCGGCATCATTCTTGTAATATTTTAATTCAAGGGTTAGTTAGCTAGACGACAATTAACATAAATTAGTACAATAATAATGACGTGACAACAATTTATCATAAATAATTTTTGTTTTTCTTAATTATTACACATCTAATTATATTTATTTTGTCGTTTAATTGTTGCAGTAATTTTCTTCATGTGTCATTAGTATTTTTCAATGAGGACATCTATATTACCTATAAATTATTTGCATTATTTAAAATAAGTACTCTTTTTTATTCTTAATAAATTGATGTTTTAGATTTTTTTTTGTTGTATAACGATTAATGTTTTGTATAAACATCATTATTACTTTTATTTGTTATTAATAAAGAAAACAGAAAAATAAATTAATATTATTAAAGTAACATAAAATAATGAAAAATGTAAAAATTACTTTTCTTAGTTTTTGTAAAAACTAAAACATCATTAATTTATGAAAAGAAAGAATACTATTTTACTAAACATCCATATAAAATAATAATATACATTAGAGAGATAAACCACGTTTATGATAACTTAAATGAGGGATACAACTTATGAAATTGTTCAAAAATTATTTTGTTGTCTCATCATTGGTACTATTTTCTAATTTATGTTAAAGATGTTGCTTTTTTTTAACAAACTAGTACTTAACTATTCTTTCTATTTCAAAATGCAAGATGTTTTAGATAAAACATATTGTTTATTTTTCTTTTAAAATCTATCATTAATATATAATTAAAGAAAATGAATAATGTAAAATAATGAAGAATACAAATAGTCATAAATATCATAAAATTACACAGAAATTTATAAAATATTTATAAAAAAACAAAAAAATATTTATAACGTCCTATATAATGAAATAGAAAGAATATTAAATTGTCTTCACTCGCAACGTAATTTATATTTTATATCACTGCAAGTGAATACGTATACGAGGGTAGTTTCGATATTTGCTTTCAGCTTAAAGACATATTTGAATGGAATGACTAATTCTTGAATATTTTAAGAACGTGGACATGGTTAAATATCACTACGCGTTAAAATAATTTTATATGTAAAATGGTTAAATCATAACACCTACAAAATATAAATATTTGTGTGGTTACGGGAACAGACGTCACTGTTAACCGCGTTGGCGTCAGCGTCGTGATATCATACCAATCAGGCAATCTCTTTTAATAGTTTTTAAATTATTTTTTTAATTTTCATTTTCATTGACTTGGTCTTCGATTTTATCGATGCTCTTTTTTATTACTATTTCTGTATACTTTTATAATTTTTTGCCACAATTTCTTTGGGTAAGTTCGAAGATGACAACGTGAGTTACGTGCTCCACTGTTCATTTAAAACATATATAAGTATAATAATGCAGATCTGTCCAGACAGGGCCAGTTCTTGGGGTGTTCTAGAGAAGCATACGTACAGGGTCCAAAATAGTTTTGCAATATTTTTTAAATAATTTAGGGCTTTTTAAAATTATTTTAGGACCCTTTTAAAAATAATCTTTAATATAGGTTTTAAAATATGTTTTAGTACAGGGCCTAATATTTTAGTGAACCAGTGTCCACATATGTGTTACATTTTTTAATCTTAAGTATATGATATAATAATATTCAAAATATTTAAGTTCATAAAACGACAATATATCATAAACGCTTAGAAAATAAGTAATGGGTAACGCAGTCATACTGAATATATCGTTTTCATTGTAACAAATCACAAAAAACGATATCAAAATAGATAAAAAAATATTATTTTTAGCTTTTTCGTATTATTTTTTTATATTCGATATTTTATATCGTTTATAAATATTTATATATTATTAACAATTTTTCTATCCGCTAAAAATCTTGTATCGTTTTGTGTTACAAATTGTATCTTATATTAGTTATTGACTTTGACAAACAAAAAAAAAAAAAGAAAAAAAAAAATTAGTTATTGACCAATTCAAACGATTTGAGTAGGTAAGAGCATCTCCATTAAAATATCTAGCGTAGATACCTTGTATTAAAATAACATTTGAGAAACTCCCATCTCTAATCAAGATACCCACTTGACACATGTATTTATCTGATTGTTTTTTTTTTTAATAACTAAATTCTGTTTAAATAATAGATTGAAGAGACTGTCGCCGTTTCTAAACAATGGTGATGTTCTAATAACTCTATATAATGTTGATTTGTTATTGCAGGGAAATTGTAAGTAAATACAGTAGAGAAGTACGAGAAGTGGGATTTAAAATAGAGGAATTAATATCAGAGAGCTTAGGCTTAGAAAAAGATTACATGAAGAAAGTGCTTGGTGAACAAGGTCAACACATGGCAGTCAATTATTATCCTCCATGTCCTGAACCTGAGCTCACTTATGGTTTACCTGCTCACACCGACCCAAACGCCCTAACCATTCTTCTCCAAGACACTACCGTTTGTGGTCTCCAGATTTTGATCGACGGCCAATGGTTCGCCGTTAATCCACATCCTGATGCTTTTGTCATCAACATTGGTGACCAGTTACAGGTACTTATATATCGATTCCCTTTAATCCTCCATGTGACTTGTGATATTAAAATTTATAGAGTTTGCACGAAAAAGATACCAATCATTTATAGTTGGTTCTATTGTATGTTTCAAAAAAACCACAAAAGAATTTAGGAAGGAAGACTGTTTAAACTTTTCGTCTGAATATTTCCTTTAAAAAGTGTTTTATCGAAAGTTTTAACAATGATTTAAAATACAAATTTTTATTCTTATAAGATAGAAATAATCTAAGAAAAAATATTATTTAAATTTTAGTACAATTAACATATTGGTGAAAGGATTAGAGAATCATCAGAGAATAAGATCTTAATTAATTGTGTGTTTTCAGGCATTAAGCAATGGAGTATACAAAAGTGTTTGGCATCGAGCTGTAACAAACACCGAAAATCCGAGACTATCAGTTGCGTCGTTTCTATGTCCAGCTGACTGTGCTGTCATGAGCCCGGCCAAGCCCTTGTGGAAAGCCGAGGACAACGAAACAAAACCAATTTACAGAGACTTCACTTATGCTGAGTACTACAAGAAGTTTTGGAGTAGGAATCTGGACCAAGAACATTGCCTCGAGAATTTTCGTAACAACTAAGATACTTATATGTCTCTGGCCTTTATGTTTGTCTATATACAAATCTATGTAGCAGCATTGATGTTCGATTGTATACTCCTTTGTTTGCATACTTCTACCAACATTTTGTTCTAGACGTATAATAATAATATTAATAATTTATTAGTTATAAACTTTAACCTTCTAGTCTTAGCTAGACTGATAAATGTCTTAATCATAACTACCATGGGGATTTTTTTTTTTTTTTTTTGTCAACTATTTTTATTAATGAAATTCGATGAAGAACACATCAAAACATACAAGCACATAAAACCCAAACAAGAGAAACTACGCCGACGGACGAATTGATGTTCTCGAAATCAAAGCCGTAGGAAGACAATGATTTCTCTGGAAACTAAGCCCCAAAACAAGGGAAGCGATAAAAATAAAAAATACAAATAAGAACTTTTGAGGTTAAACTCGAAAGAGATCGCACCCTTACACAAAGAACAAAAGCAATTAGTCTTAAAATCGAAAAGAAACAATAGCCCGAGAAAGCAAAGCAAACTCTTCAAAAGAAGAACCTATGAATGTGATTTACCAAATATGCCTGCGGCCAACCTAATGATAACAACCACCTCCTCCTATCACAATGAGAGACAATCTCTCCTAAACCAAGAACCAAGACTTCATAATCCGACAAGCAAAACACCAAATTGAACCACAGAAACGCTTTCGGATGCGACGACGACGAACTCAACGCCAATAATTTTTTGTGTTAATAGTTTTGTTTGTGTTAATAATTTTTTAGAGCCAATCTATCCGAAACAATGGGAAAATTTGTTTGTGTTAATAATTTTTTAACTTTAATATATGCTTCGTGGTCCATAACCTGAACTTTAGAAAATGCTTCGTTCTTCTTCGATGGCGAGAATATATAACAACCTCGGTTCCAAAACAGGCCGGTTATGGTTAGAGTACTCTAAGGCCCAAAAAAATATCATAGTCCAAAATGAGACTCATCATCTATATATAATTGATGGATTTCGTACGTGAAAGTTTACTACTAATGAGATTTATATACAAATAGCTTTCCACTAATAAATCAGAGGAAAATTGCAAATTGAATACACTCAAACAGGCTCCGATTCTGACGATTACACTCAACAAATTTTGAAGTCATTATGTAATTACTGGAGGAGAAATTAGCAATAACAGTTTTTCTTTTTCTTTTTCTTGATATTATATATATGTAGATATATTGAATGCAGCCAGTTTTTAAGAATTTAAACCTAATAACAAATAATGAAAATGAAGCAAACTTAAACCAAAACAGAAGAAATAGAAGTCTTGGATTAGCGATAACATAATAAAATGAGATACAGATCAGGACCAGAACCATCGTTGCATCAAGGAGAAAAATTCAACCAATTCAGCTAAATTTTTTGTCTGTCTTCTTTTTATCTGAATTTAGTTTCCCCACAAAACAAGCATAAATCATTTGTAACATAGACCCACTGCATAGACCACCAATTCTTGATACTCTTAAACAAATCCAACGGCATTGGCTTTCAAGATCTCTCAAGAAAATGCTTGAACCATTTGGTTGAATTATTAGCACATGTCTTTTTAGACCATCTGCATAGTCAACGTAGTACATACCAAATCTCACTGCATATGAAAACTACTACTCAAATTTTGGTTTCCTTTTGATTTTCTAAAAAAATTAGTTTTATAAATATCCCTATTTTAAACAGTCCACAACAATATTTAACAAAGGAAGAAAACGTACACGGTATGCAGAGCACTCTTGAAAAACAAATCAATATGTTGTTCGATTTTGACTGTATTTTTAAAATTGTTGACAACTAACTAATGATCAAACAATTTTATGAATTAAAATATATTTATTCCAAAACCTTAGATTCTCGTCCGACAACAGAAGAACTAGCGTTTCGTTGTCATGTATGGCGTCCCTATAGTACTCTATCAACTAGTATTTTTTTTCATTTTGGTTTCTTGGTTTGTTCGAATTCTACTTTTCTTCTATATTAAATCTTGTAAGGCCTCTGCTTTGACTGCACATGCATCCATTTATATATTATTGCATAAAAATGTAAAACCGGTCAGCAATTTTTTTTAAATACATTTTTAGAAATGAACCCTTTTATTCACTCATTCTTTTTATAACTAATCAGAATTTGCCACTTAATAACAATAAACAAAATATTTTTTTTTTAATATTATCTATATAAAAAAGTTAAATCATTAAAATAAATCATATAACAATATACCATTGGTATTAGAGTTTATATGTTGGTTTGGGTTTATAAGAGAAATATTAAGATTTAATGTTACAATTATAAACAAAGTTATATATTGATTTGAGTTTATAAGGGAAGGTTAGAGTTTAAGTTTTACAATAAAACGAGGTTAACTGTCGGTTTAGATTTATAAAAAAGAGTTTAAGTTTAAATTTTACAATTAAACGAGGTTATATGTCAGTTGGGTTTATAAAAAACAGTTAGGAGTTTATATTTTACAATTAAAAGAGAATATATGTCGCTTTGGATTTATAAAAAGGAGTAGGGTTTAGATTTTACAATTAAACAAGATTATATGTCGGTTTGGGTTTACTAAAAAAATGGTCAGAGTTTCAATTGTACAATTAAATGTGGTTACATGATTGTTTCGGTTTTATAAAAGAATGATTAGGGATTGATTATACAATTAAATGCGTTTAATTTTTTTATTAGATAGCAAATTTTGATTAGGTATAAAAAGAAAGAGTGAATAAAAAAGTTCACTCCTAAGAATAAACCCAAAAATTGTTGAAAAGAAAACTTGTTTTTTTTTTTTATATTCTTCATACCATATTAATAATATTTCCCTTATGGGTAAGACGATAACTCTCGGAAAAGCAAAAATCGAAAAATGATGATCTTTAATCATTTATTCATACAAGAATTATGTCAAAAGAAAGAAATTAGAAAACTTTACAGTATACAAATTTATATATGGTATATTTCAATATGAACAAACTTTTATCCCATAAGTTTACCAACAACTAGATGAAGAATTAAGGCATCCAAAGAATTAATCAGTTACTTTTCATAATTAAATTTTGATCTTCTTTGAACGAGCCTAAATCATCTGTAATCCATACCACCATCTCTTGACACTTTTAAACAGTTCCATCGGCATTGGTTTTCCGGATCTCTGAAGAAAATGCTTGAACCATATGGCTGAGTTTTTAGCATGTCGTTTTAGACCATTTTTATAGTCAACGTAGTACAGACCAAATCTCACTGCATATCCATGTTCCCACTCAAAATTATCCAACAACGACCATGTGAAATAGCCTTTCACGTTACACCCATCCTCACTACATATTTGTATAGATAGAATTAATTACTTACTTTTCCTCGAATTTAATACTATTAATTAATCAGTTTGTATATATGTATAGTGAAATTCTCTTACATGATCGCTTTGTGGAGTTGTTGAAGATGTTTTTGGTGGTATTCTATTCTCTTTGTGTCTTCTATTATCTCTTCACGTGTCACTGTTCCATCTTCGTAGTCATCAAAACCTATACATTTTCAGGTGGGTATGAAGATTAAACAAAGTAGATATAGAATTATTGATGATTAGTAAGATATTATCGAACTATTTTTTTTAATGTTCTTACCGTTTTCTGTTATGTAAATAGTTGGATTATTGTATTTATTTTTAATGTAATTAAGAATCTTTCGTAACCCTTCCGGATATGACCAGAGAATTTTGGTCCCATCCTGAAATTTAAGGAAAAAAAGAAATGAAAACGATGATTATTGTTAAGCATTAATTGTTAAACATACTAAAACTCAAAATAAAGTTGCAGAAATCATTTGTGCGACACTATAAAGTTCATACCGATTCTAATGAGATGGTGTCGCCGCTACGATTTGTCACTAAAAAAAGTGATAAATGTAATGTCATTAGTTGTAGATTCATTAGTATTTTCTTGATAAGAAAATTTGAAAGCCAAATAAAGTTACATTTGTATTGGAGGTGTTGGTCGGTTGTGAAGCGAGGCCGTGAAATATCAACATGAAGATCATGAGCGACAAACCGTGCAGTGTAGTAATTTACACCGATAAAATCAAATGAATTTTTAACCATCATAGATTGCTCTTTTGTGAAAGATGGCAGTCTATTTCCAGCGCTTGTTTTAATCGTCTCAGGATAGTCTCCAAAAACCAGAGGGCTTAAATGCCTAGACAAAAATGTAAGATAAACAAGATTAGAAAATCAGTTGCTTTTGTTTTCTTGCCTTTAGATCAAGAAATAAATGAAACTTACCAACCAATATTGAAAGTAAGGGCTCTTTCAACTGCTTCTTTATCAGCATTAGAAGCAATGTCATATGGCTCGAACCAATAAGGAGACAACACTATGCCTATCTTGGCATCTTGTGAAATCTGTTTCACAAATACAATTAATTAAAATGTCATTTCTTTTGCATTTTTTTCTTAGATTAAGTGATATGAACCAATCAATCCATTTTGAGTTAGAAATTCATAAAATTTGAAAACAACTATTTTAGAAAGACATAGTTACGCTTTAGTACCTTGTCACATTTCCTAAACTCTTCCACAGCAGCAGCGTGAGCAAGAAGGAGGTGGTGCGAGACTAAATAAGGCTCCGTGCCCGAATCACCGGCTATACACAAACTGTTTACCCACTTGGAACATCGACCCATTGCCTTATTTCCCGCATCATAACCCGAAACGCTATAAACATATGGCTCATTGAACGTTGTCCACATACTAACCTTGTCTCCAAACTCTTGGAAACAAAACCTGGCGTAGTTTCGAAAATCATCTCTGTATGAAATAACAAAAATGTCAGTAGAATATATAAACATATGATGGATGAATCTAAGCTTCTGACTTACATGATTCGAGGACTTAAAAAGCTTCCATACTCATCATCAAGAGCTTGAGGGATATCCCAATGATAAATAGTTACAAAAGGTTTTATACCTGCATGTATGTTTAAGTATATATATAGGGTGATGAGAAACTTTAATTCCAAACACAAAACTTAAGAGTTGATGTGTAAACTAATTAAGCATATGATTCTGACCGTTCTCGATAAGTTCATCAATAAGATTCTTGTAGAATTGAACACCTTCTTTATTGACCCCATCACTTAATTTTCCACCTGAAAATTAAAAATTCTAAAAGGTAAATTAAAAATTCTTATAAAATTATTAGTCCAATTTTTTAAAAAGTAGGAGATCTAAGAATATTAGTCCATTCTAAAAGGTTGACATAAATATAAATTGTACTTACTTGGTAATATTCTTGACCAGGATAGGGAAAATCTGAAACTATCCATATTCATTTCCTTTATTAGTTTGATGTCTTCCTGCTCATTTCGTCCATTCATATTAATATAAGTTGTTGCATTAAGAAAATAATAAAAAGAAATATTGACGTAAAGCTTGATTATTCAGATATGCCCCACACATTATATTTCTTAAGAAGATATCTCACAATTAAGCATGCACGAACCTTATAGCGATGGTAAAAATCAACGGCAACATCTCCATTGTCCATGTTCGTCCTTTCTGCAAAAATTTACTTACTATCTTTAATTTATCTCGTGTATATATATATATATATATAACTTTCGAACAGAAAAATTAAAAGAAATTATAACAAGATGGATGAAGTAGAAAGTGAACCTGGAAATGCATGTGTGAAATTGTCCCATATGCTTAGACTCCTCCCTCCTTCTTCTACTGCACCTTCATACTACATTCCATTTACGTACATAAATATAATTAGATAAGATTTTAACTATTTCTAAACTATGTAATTTATGATGCAAAAAACGAAAAATGTAATCTATATACATAATACTAGTTTTAAAATTGATTAAATTAATTAAAAAGGGTTATTGAGACCAAAAACAAAAAAAGTTTATCGAGACATGACCCTTAGACCAGTCCGAAATATAGTTGCACTTGTGAAAAACCCGATGTTACAAGTAGCAATATTTGTACATTCATAAAAGATAACTAACGAACCTGATAAGCGGAAGAGGCAACACCAAAATCAAAATGAGGAGGAAAGCTATATCGATTTAGAGGAGTTGTAGAAAATCTTAAAGATCTTCCTTCTCCAGTATCCCATGATGCTACACATAGTGTGATTACTAGTGCAATTAGCTTAATTGCCATATTTGTGGATGTTAATACTTTATAAGAAATTCTTAGTTTTTGCTTTTATTTGAGACTGAAGATGTTTAGAGGATTGTGAGAAATGTTAATGCATCCATTTCCTCTTATATAGAGAGAGGTAGCTAGGGCACACGCGTACCATATATAGAATCTTACGAATAGTTTTTTTTGTTAATTATAAACTAATCATATTTTGACCGAACCGGTTGCCTTTTAACGACTAAACGAACTCCGAGTGGAATGATTCAAACTGTTCATCTTGTTTTGGTGCTTTTTAAGAAAACACTAAAACAAGTAGTTTGAAATATTTTATACAACATACACACAACATTATTAAGAGGAAAAGGTTATATTAAAAGACTTGCCAATCTAGTGAGTTTCCATATGTCTCGGTCCCATATTAGTACACGTGTAGGAAATTTGTCAACAAAACAATGTTTTGAAGTTTAAAAAGTTAAAGAAAAGTAATAGAATGTAATTTAAATAATAACAAAAATAATATTTAGACTAAAATATTAATAAAATAGAAAAACTAATAATATCATATAAATATTTCACTTGTTAAGAGATCAAAATAATGAATCATTAATAGACTTTCTTTTCAAAGTCACTGGTCAAAATATTAATTGAAAATAATAAAACATGTGATGAAGTGTTATTTGTTCTATTTACCACTAACAGAAATATCACCTAATCTTTTTTATTTAAATGAAGTTACATGTTATGTGGGTATTTTGAAAAAGATATCGTTTTATTCTATGGTTACTTACTATACTAACATATTATGTAAATCATTAAAATATATAGCATTCAATTTTTTAATTTCTAGAAGGACATATTTTCACTCAAGACACATAACAATTTTTTGGTTATTTCGTGTTCGATCGGTTTAAAAAAGCCCAAAATATGTACAAACCTCAAAAGATAAATATGTTGTTCAGTAAGAATCGTGGAAACAAATCAATTTATATGAAACTATCAAAACCAAAATATTTAATTGGAGTTGACAAATAAAGATTTTTTTTAATTGGCAACAAGTTCGGGATAACGTAATGAAAAACGTTTTAAACATAGAGAAAAAACAAAAAGAAAAGAGAAATAAAATGTAAAGATGATGTGTGAAATTAAAGAAGACGTCATCCTTATGTCTATTATACTAATTTTCCTGTGACCATAGTCGTTGGGTCAATTGTAGTTTTTATGTGATTAAATGAGAATTTGGTAAATTTCTGTACGTAAGTGGCAAATAGCTTCTTTTTTTTCTCAACAAATGGCAAATAGCTAAAAAAAAGGGGATGAAATTAAAGACGCGATTTTATTTTAGAAAATCTTATCATTTGATATACATGGATAATAAATATATATAACACTTGATATGCTAAATAATAAAGTGGAATTAACATGGACTTGAGTTAGTGATCACATCCAGATAAGTAAAAAACGTAGATACTTAAAAGAATACGAATTTTTACATTGTGAAGAATAGTTTATTAAACATTGGTTTCAGGATTGGGAGATGTATGGATAAAGAGACTCAAAACTCTTAACTCAATTATATAAAAATATATCAATAATAACAGTAATAAAATATTAAAATAGATCATATAGATAATAAATACGTTCAAGTGATATTTTGAATTTTTTGAACATTTGAATTTATTTGTCGTCGAGAAATTTCGTTTGCTGTATTTAACCAGCATGCACATGGTGAATTCGACGACTCGTATGCTGGTGAACGAACATTTGCTTCGTTTGGGTGGATCTTCTGTTTTTGTACTTTTAGATATGCAGACCTTAAGCTTCCACTAATTAATATGGTCAAGCAGACTTTTTAGGTCAAGTTGATCTGCTGGATCAATCCATCTAAGTTTAGTCCAGTCACTGCTATCATGTATAAGAGAGAACGAACCACACGTATGGTTCGTAGTGATTGACATAGCATGTAATAGCGTGTTTATGCTAACACTCGAATACATAGAGAACACTCAAGTGTTTGTTATCATGCAGGGTTGGTGGAGGATCTGCTTAGATGATTTATCGGATGTGTAAATCGCGATTGGTGATGTGCTTACCTGGAAGGTAAAGAACCCTACTTTGGTCGTGTATTTGAGTCGATTTTCTCAATATCCACATGGTTCATTTTTATTGGCAGTCTCCAAATTACTCGTAATAAAATTGAAAAGTTTATTTGATGAAAGTAAAAAATTATTTAATAAAATAGATGATATTATACAAAATTTATTATTTTGGAAATATTTACATGCCTCGTAGTGTTTAAATCATATCGACAAAACTGTCCAAATATTTATTTTTATTTATAATTATAAAAAGTTCCAATCTTTTCTTAGTCGCCTCTAAAAAATATAAATATAACAATCATATGTTTTACATTTATTAGCAGCGGTAATATTGGTGCATATACAGTATACACGGTCGTCAAATAAAATACAATAAACAGTCAATAATAAGTAATCATAGTGGATTTGGATAATTGTGGGCACAACCGCACAACTCTCCCACTTTCCACGCAAGGTCGTCGAATAGAATAGTCAATATTATGATGGGTTACATTTTAAGTTTTTAATACTAGTAGAGTTGAAATATTTTATTTAAACCCACAAACTAATGTTTTTTTTTTTTTTTTTTCATTTTTCCAATAGAAATATAAATTTTAGATCATGTGTCTTGAAACAGAGCCTGCAGGATCAGAAGCTCGTCCAAAAACATAAACTCTTGAGATAGAAAAGAATATTGTTTCTTAAGATATTTCTTTGTTACGTAAAAAACAAAAAGGAAGATCACTAAAAAGTAAAAACGTTTAGAAAGTAATTAGTGTATTATATATTTTTAACACAAAGGTGATTTATTAGATTAATATATTAAAAATTAACAAGACAATATCTAAAAAATGTTATAAAGTCTATCACCTAAAATTTGTCATGTTATATAAAGTAAAATAATATCCAACACTCTAAGCATAAACATATCACCAACTTTTGCTTCAATTCAATAATTTTTTGTGAATTTTTTTGCAAAGTAAACTATTTTATGTGTTTTGAATAATAGTGAATCATTTTCAAAATCATAACTTAACATCGGTAGAATGTTCTTATTCATTATTGTTTTAGAAGATATGTAGTATAATAAATTTCTAGAATTGTTAGTTATATAAAAACTTTGTCAAAATTAAAAATTTAATTATTACCAATAAATTGTTTTGATATGTAAACCTAGATATTTTTGATTAACTTTTATCAAGTTTAAGTAAGGTTATTTAGTAATTTTATATATTTAAAAATATTTTTTTAAAGAAAAATAAAGAAAGAGTATTTTTTAAAAGTGTAAACAAAAAGACGCTATTTTCCAAATTTGAATTACGGTTCACACTGACATTTTACTTGGACTTAGGTTTTCTTTGGTCCATCTCAAAGTAGTTTTATTGACCCTTTCTCGGTCTAAGCATTTTTCAAACACTTTATATTATCATAGTGTTATTTGCATCAATTGATACGTTTTATCTACAATAATGAACTTATATAACCAAACAGAAGCTTACATCTTCCATCTTTAAAGTACGATTAAAACACAAATAGATTTGCCTATACTTTATGATTAGGAATTTTCATAACTTTTACACTTTACGAAAAGCAGGTGAATGACCCTCGAGTTATGAACTTTCACATTTTAATAATATGTGATTTTAACTAAAATTATTTGTTTATGGTGCAGTTTGTATAGAAGCTTATATTCACCTTATTTGCGGGTAGCAAAACTTATATAGCAATCAAATCATACTAAAGTTTATAAATATATTTCAATACGGTACAATATGTTTGACCGCTAGAGTTCTAGACATTTGACCTATAATCTTCATCAATATCTGGAACCAGTACTCTTTAGTCTATTTCGATTTAAAAAATATCTTTCTGTCCCAAAAGGGGATTTAACTGAGACACAATAAAACCAACTCCCGTGCACTACCACTAAACCACCACCCCTTTGATAGACAAAATATGTAAGAGCAACCCCAACGTTCAAAATCCTTATCAGTTTCTTAAAAACAATATTTTAATTATTTTAATATAATTAATTTTTTTTTTTTATATTTTTGATTATAAATAACAAAATTAGCAAATTATATAATGCCATCTGTCACTTGAGTTTCTCGACCTATTTCTAAAAATCCTTGTTTTAGAACTTTATCTCTTTCTCTTTCATCCATATCTATTACTTTTTATTATTTAAAATCAGAGAAGCCCACTAAAATACCCCCGTTGGGGTTGCTCTTAACACTCTTAGAAAAGCAAGAATCAGATAATATGCCTCTCAAACTAAAACTTAGAGTTAAAAAGAATTGGTGATAATATTTGCGGGTAAAAAACTCAGTAATTAAATCAAACTAAAATTTATACATTATTTCAGATATGAGCACCATATGTTTTTTTTTATCGCAGAAGTTTCGGGCCTTTGACCTATAATCTTTCACGGTATCCAGACTCAACTTTTAGTCTATTCCGATAGGAATACGTACCACTCCGTCACAAATAGTAATTAACCCAATGCACAAAGAAAAACGAACTCCTTTGTAATATTACCATTTACCACTAGGCCTCCACTAGACACATTATGTTACACTCTCGGAAAAGCAAGAATCAGATAATCTGCCTAATGACTTAACCCATAAGTTAGAATTAAAAGGAATTAATGATATTTATATTCATGCATAGAACAAACTATATATAGATAATGCAAAATATTTTGACCCATATATATATAATACAAGAATTAGGTAAAAAGAACTAAGAAAAAGGAAACTTAACAATATACAAATGGTTTTTCTAAATATCAACATATTATTAATCTTCGCCCTATAAATTTATCAAATTAAAAATAAATAATGAATCAGTTACTTCTCATAATTGAATTCAATTTCCCCACCAAACGAGCTTAAATCATCTGTAATGTAGACCACCAATTCTTGACACTCGTAAACAGATCCGTCGACATTGGTTTTCCAGATCTCTGAAGAAAATGTTTGAACCACTTGGCTGAGTTTTTAGCATGTCGTTTTAGACCATCTGAATAATCAACGTAGTATAGACCAAACCTCACAACATATCCATGTTCCCATTCAAAATTATCCAACAACGACCATGTGAAATAGCCTTTCACGTTACACCCATCCTCACTGCATGTTTGCACACATAGACTTAATTAATTTTCCTCGAATTTTATTAATTAATCATATACTTTTAAGTTTTTTATTAATGTATAGTGAAATTCTCTTACATGATCGCTTTCTGGAGTTGTTGAAGATGTTTTTCGTGGTACTTTATTCTCTTTGTGTCTTCTATTATCTCATCACGTGTCACTGTTCCATCTTCGTAGTCATCGAAACCTATACATTTTTACGTGGTATTTTGTTTATTAAACAAAGAAATAGATATAGAATTATTGATGATTAGTTAGACATTATCGAACTGTTTTTAATGTTCTTACCGTTTTCAGTTATGTAAATAGTTGGATTATTGTATTTGTTTTTGATATAATTAAGAATCTTTCGTAACCCTTCCGGATATGACCATAGAATTTTGGTCCCATCCTGAAATTTAAGCAAAAAATGAAAAGAAAGGATGGTTATGATTAAGCATTAATTGTTATATACATACTAGAACTCAGAATAAACTCAGACTATAAAGTTCGTACCGATTCCAATGAGATGGTGTCGCCGCTACGATTTGTCACTAAAACAAAAGTGATAAATGTAATGTCATTAGTTGTAGATTCATTAGTCTTTTCTTGATAAGAAAATTTGAAAGCCAAATAAAGTTACATTTGTATTGGAGGTGTTGGTCGGTTGTGAAGCGAGGCCGTGAAATATCGACGTGAAGATCATGAGCGACAAACCGTGCAGTGTAGTAATTTACCCCAATAAAATCAAATGAATTTTTAACCATCATAGATTGCTCTTTGGTGAAAGAAGGCAATCTATTTCCAGCGCTTGCCTTTATCGTCTCTGGATAGTCTCCGAAAACCAGAGGGCTAAGATGCCTAGACGAAATTGCAAGATTAAAAAGATTAGATAATCATTTTCTTTTGTTTTTGTTTTTTTTGTTAAAAGGCCTTCTTCTTTTGTTTTTGTTTTGCCTTTAGATATTGAATTAATAACAGAATGAGTTAAATAGATGACAACTTACCAACCAATATTGAAAGCAAGAGCTCTTTCAACAGCTTCTTTATCAGCATTAGAAGCAATGTCATATGGCTCGAACCAATAAGGGGACAACACTATGCCTATCTTGGAATCTTGTGATATCTGTTTCACAAATACACAATTAATTAAAATTTCCTCTCTTTTGCATTTAAATACTTTTTCTTAGATTAAATATGAACCAATCAATTAAAATTTCCTCTCTTTTTTTTTTTTTTAATTTTTATGAATTTTCAACTAGTATTTTAGAAAGACATAGTTACGTTTTAGTACCTTGTCACATTTCCTGAACTCTTCAACGGCAGCAGCGTGAGCAAGAAGAAGGTTGTGAGAGACTAAATAAGGCTCCGTCCCCGAATCACCGGCTATACACAAACTGTTTACCCATTTGGAACATCGACCCATTGCCTTATTTCCCGCATCATAACCCGAAACGCTATAAACATATGGCTCGTTGAACGTTGTCCACATACTGATCTTGTCCCCAAACTCTTGGAAACAAAATCTGGCGTAGTTTCGAAAATCATCTCTGTATAAAAACACACAACAAACATGTCAATAGAACATCTTTTTAAACGTATACATGGTATACATATCACGGATTAATCTAAGCACATGTATACATATCATGGATGAATCTAAGCTTCTAACTTACATGATTCGAGGACTTAAAAAGCTACCATACTCATCATCAAGAGCTTGAGGGATATCCCAATGATAAATTGTTACAAAAGGTTTTATACCTGCATGTATGTTTAAGTATATAGTGTGATGAGAAACATTTCAAACACAAAACTTAAGAGTTGATGTGTATACTAATTAAGCATATGATTCTGACCGTTCTCGATAAGTTCATCAATAAGATTCTTGTAGAATTGAACACCTTCTTGATTGACCCCATCACTTACTTTTCCACCTGAAAATTAAAAATTCGAAAAGGTAAATTATAAATTCTTATAAAATTATTAGTCCATTTTAAAAGGTTGACAGAAATATAAAATTGTACTTACTCGGTAATATTCTTGACCAGGACAGGGAAAATCTGAAACTATCCATATTCATTTCCTTTATTAGTTTGATGTCTTCCTGCTCATTTCGTCCATTTACATTAATATAAGTTGTTGCATTAATTAGAAAATAATAAAAACAAACGTAAAGCTTGATTATTCAGATATGCCCCACACATTATATTTCTGAAGAAGATATTTCACAATTAAATCACGTTACAAAGCCCTACCAAAAAAAAAATCACGTTACAAATACCAAAAATGCTAAAAAGTATGCAATTTTTTTTTCGCACTTATATAAGCATGCACGAACCTTATAACGATGGTAAAAATCAACGGCAACATCTCCATTGTCCATGTTCGTCCTTTCTGCAAAAATATTACTTACTATTTTTAATCGATCTCGTATATATATAAAACTTTTGAAGAGAAAAAATTAAAAGAAAAATTTAACAACATCAGGAAGTAATAGAGAGTAAACCTGGAAATTCATGTGTGAAATTGTCCCATATGCTTAGACTCCTCCCTCCTTCTTCTACTGCCCCTTCATACTGCATTCCATTTACGTACATAAATATAATTAGATTAGATTTTAAATATTTCTAAACTATGTAATTTATGATGCAAAAAGAAAAAGAAAAATGTAATCTATAAACATAATACTAAATTTATTATTAATAAAATAATTAAAAAGGCTAAGTGAGACGAAAAACAAAAAAAGTTTATCTGAGACATGACCCTAATTAAGACCAGTCCGAAATATAGTTGACCTTGTGTAACCTGATAATGTGTTACAAGAAGCAATATTTGTACATTACATAAAATATAACTAACGAACCTGATAAGCGGAAGAGGCAACACCAAAATCAAAGTGAGGAGGAAAGCTATAACGATTTAGAGGAGTTGTAGAAAATCTTAAAGATCTTCCTTCTGCAGTATCCCATGATGCTACACATAGTGTGATTACTAGTGCAATTAGCTTAATTGCCATTTCCTTGGATGTTAATTAGTTATAACAAATTCTTAGTTTTTTGCTTTTATTTGAGACTGAAGATATGTAGAAGTTTGTGAGAAATGTTAATGCATCCATTTCCTCTTATATAGAGAGAGGTAGCTAGGGCACATGCGTACCATTGAATCTTTAAAATAGATTATATTTTTAAAAAAAATTTTAAAATTTTTTTTTTTTGGCGTTAGCTATTAAATAAGCATTTCTTGACTGAACCGGTTGCCTTTTAACGACTAAATGAAGTTCAAGTGGAATGATTCAAACGGTTATTTCCATTTTGTGTTGGTGCTTTTTGAGAAAACACTATTGCAACATATCGCGCCAAGTACGTAAACACAGAACAATTATTTTATTACACAACATCAATAAGAGGAAAATCTTATTTTAGAAGACTTACCAAGGTAGTGTGTTTCAAAATGTCTCGGTCGCCCATATTAGAAAACGTGTACGAGATTTGTCAACAAAACAATATTCTTGAAGTTTTATACTAGTTGAAAAAGTTAAAAGAAAATTAAAGTAATAATAGAATGAAAATTAAATAATAACATAAGATCAGAAACTAAAATATTGTATAAAAACACTAATAATATTATATAAATAGTTTACTTGTTAAGAGATCAAAATAATGAATCATAAATAGAGTTAATTAAGTTCCAAAGTCACTGGTCAAAACATTCATTAAAAATATATTTGCAATCTTAACTGAGAACACATCCATTCAATATAAACATATGATGGAATGTTATTTGGTCTAACTACCACTAACAAAAAATATCATGTATTCTTTATCATTTAAATAAAATGTTATGTGGGTTATAAGTTGAAAAAGATATTATTAGTGTTTCTTAATAAGACTAACATGTTATACATGTTATAGTTAAAATACATACCATTCATTTTTTTAAAAAATTTATAAATAGAAGGACCCATTCTCACTCAAAATCACCCAAAATTATTTTGTGTTCGTTTTAATAAGTAAAACAAAATATATTCAAAAAGATAAACCAAAATATATGTAATATGCAAAAATATAAATATGTTATATATATAGTAGAATCGTGGAATTAATTCAATTTATATGAAAAGATCAAAGCTAAAATATTTTATTTGACGTTCAAGATAAAATAAAGGAAAAACGTTTTAAACATAGAGGGAAAACGAAAAAAGAAAAGAGAAAGAAAACGTAAAGATGATGTGTAAAAGAGGACGTCAGTCTTAAGTCTATTATACTAATTTTCCTGTGACCATCTATGCACTACATGGTCACTGGGTCAATTGTAGTTTTTTTATGATTAAATGGGAATTTGGTAAGTTTTTTTTTTTTTTTTTTTTGTTAAAGGGAATTTGGTAAGTTTCTGTTAGCAAATGAAAGATAGCTAAAAAACAAAAAAGAAATAGGACTAAATTAAAGACGCGATTTTTTTCATATGCTAAATAGTAAAGTGGAAATAACATGGAATTGAGCGTTTCAATCATATTGATAAATTGTCCACATTATTTCATTTTAATTTATGATTGGTCACTAGCTAATTAAGAATATTTTTTCGAATTACCATATTTTAAATTTCTATTAATTAAATGATCTAGTATTTTCGAAGGACTTGGAGACTTAAATCTAAATTAAGCTAACTTTCTGTCATTTTTGTTTATCGTTTCCATTGGTAAATATCGATGCCAATCGATACATAAGAGTTCCATGTAAATCGTTTCTTAGGCGCCTCCAAAAAAATAAAATACAATGATATACGTTTTGCATTACTATATAGCAGCGTTAATATTGATGCATATACAGTATACACGGTCAAAAAAGAATAGTTAGTCAATATAATAAGTAATCATTTTGGATTTAGATAAATGTGGGCACAAGTCTCCCACTTTCCATGCAAGGTCGTCGAGTAGAATAGTCAATATATATTATTATGATGAGTTGACGGCACATTTTAAATTTTTAATACTGAAAATATTATTTAATCAACAAACTAACAATTTCTTACATTTGTCCCAAAAAAATTATTACATCGTCTGCCTTAGAACAGAGCCTCTGCAGGATCATTAAACATGTTTCACCCAATAGAAGACCACCGAAAAAGATGAAACTCTTGAGTGTTGACAAGGAAATTGCCTCATACGGACAAGGAAACTCACATGAGATAAGGATATGGTTTCGTAAGATATTTCTTTGCTGCTCAAAAAAAAGAAAGAGGAAGATATTTCTTTGACTGAAAAAGTAATTAGTGTATTACAATAAATGTTTTTTTTTTATTGAAGTACCACTCATCTCTTACCATTCTGATTCTCCAAATATGATTTTTTTTTTTAATCATTTTTCTTGGGTCAAAGATGTTTATCTCCCAAAAAAAAAAAACTTTTGATTAAAAATAAATCTATTTTCCTGTGGGCTCTAATGTTAAAATTTTCCAGTCTCTCCTTTTTTCTCCCTTTGAATGAATTACCCATTCACACCTAAATTTACTTGAACTTAGGTATATCAAAACTACCAAATATACATAGGTATTCTTGGTCCATTTTCAAATAAGTTTTCTTGACCGTTTCTCGGTCTTAGCAATTTTTCCAACATTTTGTATTATCATGGTGTTATTTGCATCAATAGACACGGTTAATTAACAGTAATTAACTTATAACACCTAACAAAAGTTTACATCTTCCATCTTTGATATATGATAAAAAAAAAAATAGAGGTGCTTATATATATACACTTTATAATTAGGGATTTATATAATTTTCACACCCTCGAACTGTTGCACCACTACACTATTCACTTAAAATTTATTTGCATGAAAATCATAACTTATGTACATGGATGGGACCACAATAGAAAATCACCCCAAAAAAATGAAACTCTCGGCCAGTGGGACGACCCGGACAAGAAAGAAGAAGCAACAAAGAAATTCTCTTCTACCGGACAAGGAAACTCATACAATTTCATCCCTTGTTAAATATATTTCATATGACAAAAAAACTACAAAAATATTTTTAGATCTCACCTGAAACAATCAAGTAAGTAAAATCCTCAAATAATAAACCATAATAAAGGCTATGGTGTTTTGTAATTGTTGTTCTAGTTTTGATAAGTGCAAGCCAAAATGTCCACTGGATAAATGCTAAGACAATTGCAAATGGAATCATGATCTTTTATTCATGAAAAGGACAAACTATATATAGATAATACAAAATTATTTTGACGAAAAAATACATATATAGATAAATACAAGAATATATTAGGTCAAAATAACCTTAAGAAAAAAAGGAAACTTAACAATACACGACTGTATATGGTATATCTAAATATTAACATATTCTTAATCTAATCCCAATAAATTTATCAAAAAAATAAATAACGAATCAGTTACTTCTCATAATTGAATTTAATTTCTCCACCAAATGAGCTTAAATCATTTGTAATGCAGACCACCAATTCTTGACACTTTTCAACAGATCCATCGGCATTGGTTTTCCGGATCTCTCAAGAAAATGTTTGAACCACTTGGCTGAGTTTTTAGCATGCCGTTTTAGACCATCTGAATAGTCAACGTAGTATAGACCAAATCTCACTGCATATCCATGTTCCCATTCAAAATTATCTAACAATGACCATGTGAAGTAGCCTTTCACGTCACACCCATCCTCACTGCATATTTATAAACAAAAATTAATTAGTTAATTATTCTCTAATTTTTATTAGTTAATCAAATACTAATCTGTTTTTATTCATGTATAATGAAGTTCTCATACATGATCGCTTTCTGGAGTTGTTGAAGATGTTTTTGGTGGTACTCTATTCTCTTCGTGTCTTCTATTATCTCTTCACGTGTCACTGTTCCATCTTCGTAGTCGTCGAAACCTATACATTTTACGTGGTTACTTTTATTAAACTAAGAGTATAGATAAATATTTATTGATGATTAGTTAGACAAGATTGAAATGTTGAAGATTATGTTTCTATAGTTCTTACCGTTTTCAGTTATGTAAATAGTTGGATTATTATATTTCTTTTTAATATAATTAAGAAGTTTTCGTAGGCCTTCCGGATATGACCATAGAATTTTGGTTCCATCCTGAAATCGAATGAAATTTTTTTGTTATGGATAAGCATTGTTTAACATACAAAAATTCAAAACAAAGTATGAGGAATAATTTGTGAGGAATTAAAGTTCATACCGATTCTGATGAGATGTGGTCGCCGCTACGATTTGTCACTAATAAAAAGGTGATAAATGTAATGTCATTAGCTGTAGGGTCATTAGTATTTTCTTAACAAGAAAACTAAACAGCCAAATAAAAGTTACATAACTCGGTTATGGGTACTTACATCTGTATTGAAGATGTTGGTCGGTTGTGAAGCGAGGCCGGGAAAGATCGACGTGAAGATCGTGAGCGACAAACCGTGCCGTGTAGTAATTTATTCCGATAAAATCAAATGAATTTTTTACCATCATAGATTGATCTTTAGTGAAAGAAGGCAATCTATTTCCAGCTATTGTCTTAATCGTCTCAGGGTAGTCTCCAAAGACTAAAGGGCTGAGATGCCTAGATATAGTTGTAAGATAAAGAAGATTAGATAATCATTTTTTTTTTCTGACTTTAGATACTGATTTAATAACACGAAATGGATCACATATATCACAACTTACCAACCAATATTGAAAACAAGAGCTCGTTCAACTGCTTCTTTATCAGATTCAGAATCAATGTCATAAGGCTCAAACCAATAAGGCGACAACACTATGCCTATCTTAGCATCTTGTGAGATCTATGTCAAAAATACCATAAATCAAAATGTTAATTTTTGCATTCAAATCCTTTTTAATAGATTAAATGATACGAACCAATCCATTTTTTTGTGTTGAAAACTCATGAAAATTAAAAGCAACTAATTTAGGAAAACATAGTTATATCTTATTTACCTTGTCACATTTCCTGAACTCTTCAACGGCAGCAGCGTGAGCAAGAAGAAGGTGGTGAGAGACTAAATAAGGCTCCGTGCCCGAATCACCAGCTATACACAAACTGTTTACCCATTTTGAACATCGACCAATTGCTTTATTGCCCGCGTCATAACCCGAAACACTATAAACATATGGCTCGTTGAACGTTGTCCACATACTGACCTTGTCTCCAAACTCTTGGAAACAAAATCTGGCGTAGTTTTGAAAATCATCTCTGTATGAAACCAAACAACAACAAAATGTCAAAAGAACAATTTTTTAAACTTATATACATATCATGTATCGATCTAAGCTTTTTACTTACATGATTCGAGGGCTTAAAAAGCTACCATACTCATCATCAAGAGCTTGAGGGATATCCCAATGATAAATTGTTACAAAAGGTTTTATACCTGCATGTATGTTTAAGTATATAGTGTTATGAGAAACTTTAATTCCAAACACAAAACTTAAGAGTTGATATGTAAACTAATTAAGCATATGATTCTGACCGTTCTCGATAAGTTCATCAATAAGATTCTTGTAGAATTGAACACCTTCTTTATTGACCCCATCACTTAGTTTTCCACCTGAAAATTAAAAAAATTTGAAAGATAGAAAGACTTTCTAATTAGAAAAGGTTAAAAAAAAGTATTAGTTCAATCTATAAAATGAAAAAATCTAAAATTGTATACTTACTTGGTAGTATTCTTGACCATGACAGGGAAAATCTGAAACTATCCATATTCATTTCCTTTATTAGTTTGATGTCATCCTGTCATTTCGTCCATTTAAATTAAATAAGTTGTTGCATTAAGAAAATAAGATAAAAATTACTTAAAGCATTGATTATTCAGATATGTCCATCCATTTCTTAAGATAATATTTCACAATTAAGTCACGTTTTAGATGACCAAAAATGCTGAAAAGTAGGCACTTCTTTATTTCAACTAATACACAGTCACTTACAAAGCAAAAATATAAATAAAAGAAGTCATGCACAAACCTTATAACGGTGATAAAAGTCTACAGCAACATCTCCATTGTCCATGCTTGTCCTTTCTGAAAAAATATTTAAAATGTTACGTACAAATATAGAAAACGATTAGGATATATATTAATAAAAATAATAGTAATTAACAACGTGGATGAATAAAAAGTGTACCTGGAAATGCATGTGTGAAATTGTCCCATATGCTTGGACTCCTCCCTCCTTCTTCTACTGCACCTTCATACTGCATTTCGTATACGTACGTAAATATCTCAATACGGTTTTAAGTTTTAACTAAAGCTTTTAACCCTAAAACCAGTCCGACATTAGGGTTACACTTGTGAAACATGTTATAATTAGTACGTAACATTAGTACATTACAAACAAACCTGATAAGCAGAAGAAGCAACTCCAAAATTGAAATGAGGAGGAAAGCTATAACGATTTAGAGGTGTCGTAGAAAATCTTAAAGCTCTTCCTTCTGTAGCATCCCATGATGCTACACATAATGTGATTACTAGTGCAATTAGCTTAATTGCCATTTTTTGGACGTTAATTAGTTAAGACAAATTTTAAGATTGTACTTTGATTTGAGACTGAAGATGTTTAGAGTATTGTGAGAAATTTTAATGCATCCATTTCCTCTTATATAGAGATTAGAGAGAAAGATAGCTAGGGCACACGCGTCCATTTATGGAATCTTACGAATAGTTTTTGTTAATTATTAAATAATCCTAATTTTGACTGAACCGGTTGCCTTTTGATGACTTTTTTTTAATTAATTGGATGATCGTCGTGAGTCTCATGACTAAACAAACTTAGACTGGAATTATTCAAACGGTTATTCCCATCGCGTTATAAAATAAGACCAATTACAACAGATCGCGTTTAAGTCCGTAATTAAACACAAAACAAGTGTTTTGAAATATGTTTTTTTAACATACACACATAACTTCAATCAATAACTATTATTTTTATTCTTCCATGGTTTCTAAACTATCAAAATGAAAACAATAAAAAAAGAATTCTTATGTACATTATTTTAAAAACATGAATAAGTACTGTATTTTCAAAAATTAAACCAAAATATCCTTTTTAAAAATAAATTTCTCTCTATATTATCCACAACGCATAAATTTTGCTGTCCGTCACATAAATTTATACGACATAAGACATATTCCACTCTATATTATCCACAACGCATAAATTTTGCTGTCCGTCACATATCAAGGTCATAAAACCACTAACCTTAACATGTCTTATGTCTTATAATCGTGGTTTTGCGAGTTGAAAAGTTCTTTAAACTTTTTTTTCTGTTTAGTTCTTTAAAAAAGTAAAATATTTTTCAAATTTATTTAATATAATAGTTTCTATCGAGTCAGTTTTTAAAGTAGTCAATATTATATACTTAGTTAATTGGATATAAAAATTCAAAACATTTATATTTAAAACTAAAAATAAATATTTTTAATTAAATACCATATTCGCGGATCAGCTTACTATTTGCACCGATTTAACTTTTTTGAAACCGCTATATACAGAACTCAGTAAACTAATAATCAAAACCTCTCTTTTTTTGCATCTAAAATAAAAATCGAAATCCTAACACGTTATGGTGAAACAGTTTATGCCTAATCTTGGACTCTTGATCCTAACTAACGCACCACCTATTTAAAACCGTATACAATCATATAAAAAACATCACTCTTAAAAAATAAATCAAAACGATTAGGCCAGGGCATAATACCCGAACCCGAAGAACCGAACCGAACCCGACCTGAAAAACCCGACCCGAACCCGAACCCGAAGTTTTAAAATACCCGAACGGGTTCTAAACTTCACAACCCGAAAACCCGAACCCGAACCCGACCCGAACTCGAACCCGAACAAGTACCCGAACATATCCGAAATATAAATACATAGCTATAATATATTAGTAATATTTATACTTGTAATAGTCTAAGTGTCTAAATTATTCGGAGGTTAAGATATTTTCGGGTGTTTTAGCTACTTTTGGTTAGATTAGGGTATAAAATACTTAAAATTTATAGATTTTCTGAGTATTTTCAATACTTTTCATAGAATCGGATACAAATTTTTAAATATTTGGATACTTCGGGTAAACCCGAATCCGAACCCGAAATACCTGATCCGAACCCGATCCGAACCCGAAGTTTTAAAATACCCGAACGGGTCTTAGTTTTCTAAACCCGAAAAACCCGAACCCGAAAAACCCGACCCGAACCCGACCCGAATATCCGAACGTCCAGGCCTAAAAACGATGTTCAATTTTGACTGTATTTTTTAAGGATTGGTGATTAGTAATGATTTAAATACTTTCTGAAAACCTAAATAGGATTCCTCAATTATTTCTTATGAACCCCTAGATTCCCGCCCGACAACATAAGATGTAGCATGTTCTTGACTTAGTTATGTTTTTGTTAAATATATTACCTCAATTATTGCCAAAACATAGATTATTCAACCTTTTTGATTCGTTTAATCATTTAATAGTTTCAAATTTTTACTGCGGGTTTTGGGAAAATTTATTTGTGTTCTTATATTAGTGCTAGTACATAAATATTTAAATTATTTTTGTTCATTATGTTAAACAAGATGAACAATTTAAACATGAAAGTGGAGAGAACATGTTGTAATTGTTTTGAAAAACATGAAACTTGTTAAAAAAACTTAATCATAAAGGGGAAATGGTAAACATGAGAAAAACTATATTAAGATCAATGAAAAGTTATTGAATGTGAGGTGGAAATTAGAAGAAATTTTTTCAATATATTCATTTCTCTCCAATTTGGTAGATGAACGTTATCTTTTTATCTCTTTTTTTAGCATAATTATTTTCTTTTTCGACAAGTTATACTTTAAAATAGTAAAACTTTCAGCCGGATCTTTTATTCAACATGTTGTATTTCTCTAAAAACGCAACCAGTTGATCGCGTTGGCGCACTATAAATCTTATATACTAAACAAGAAGAGAAAAGAAAATATTATTAATTTCATCCAGTCAGATGTGCCATAATGTAATTGTAATTTGGTATATTTTTTAATTACAGTATATTACAATTAATTACTTGCAATTTATTATATATCTATCTAACTATCTTTCTTTATTTATACTAAATAGAAGTGATGATATAGAGAAGTTATTGTATATAGTTTTTAATCAGCTTGATTAATTAGCATCTCTGTTACCATATATATCATCTTCTAAGGGGGGTTTTACTGATAAAAGAATTTTAATGGATTTAGAAATCCTTGTTGATTTGAGAATTCAACGACTATATATATATATCTACTGATAAAAATATTAACGTTAAGCAAAAGTTGTTAAGAAAAAACCAGGTTGGAAGTTGCGTTCCGCAATAAACTTCCCGAGGTTTAATAACAATCACCATTTGTTCTCTTAAATTTGCTCTACCATATCCTAAGCTAATATCTTTTTACTGGTTTCAAAACTCTTGAAATCTCTTTTGTCTTGCCTAAAGCATTTTAGCTTTTGTTCTAAATGATCTTTTCTTGAAATGTGCGTAGATCCGAAAGTCGCTCTTTAGCAAGGTTGGTGCAGCTTGATCAATGACTCCAACTTCACAACAATTTCTAGTTACGTCTGTACCTCAGATTAAGATCCACTACTAAACTTTGAGAATCTCTTTTATTTAAACGCTAAATTGTTATGTTCTTATTGTAGATGCGTTTTGTTTCTTATCTGGACCAGAGTATGAATGTTTAGAAAGGTGGATATGCCCTTTTGTTTGAGATTTTTGGTTATTGTTCTGCGAAACACCAATTTTATTTTGAGTATGCTAAGTTATTTGGAATCTGTGGTTATTGTTCTTTGCGAAACACCAATTTTATTCTCATAGCTTATTAAAGCTTTGTTCAGTGCAAGATACTAAAGGAAAGGAACCCTAAAGGAACTCATTGATTTAGCTCATTGATTGTTTGCTGAACCAAAGGGTGATATGCAACCAAATGCTCCCTGATGTGAATAGCATACGGCAAAGTCATGATAGGTTCATTAGCGAATAGACCCATGGATGTATTTAGAGTGTTTGTTATCTCATCCACAAATGTGACGCATGAGCAATTTGAGCCATATCATCAATAGTTGATACCTTGCTACCTTTCTGATATAAAAACGTACAAAAACATGAGATTATTAACTTTGTTCGATCATTGAACGTAGTGTTTTTTTTTGTTTGTTAAAATCATTAATCTTCATTTTTTTTTATTCTGGTATAGGATTAGATATTTTTTTTTTACAAATCAATTAAAATTTTTTTTGAAGAAAAGATTATTAAGTGAAATGAATGAGACCGTAAGAGAGCCACATTTATATGTTTATACTGTAATTACGAATGCAATATGCAAATAATATATTTACGTTATATCTATATAAATTTGTGGAAAAATTAACTTTTTCAAAAGATTTGGAAATTTTAATTTTATAGTAGTAATATAGTGATTACTTTTTAAATCCGCTCGAAATCCGAGGGAAAATAAGCACATCCCTTCTATCCAAAGCCACCATGTATGGAGCTTACCTTGTTTTCAAAGAACAAGAAATGGGATCCTTTGGTTTTGAGTCTCTGCCTTTGGAGGTGAGCTTTCGTTCTACAAGAACTCCGGTTTATAATGATAGAAGAGTGTTTCTTAAGCAAGGAACGCAATGGTGTAGAGAAGATGGGTGCTTGGAGATTGAACTTGGTGAATATTATGTTGGTTCCGATGATGAGGAGCTTAAAATGAGCGTCTTGGAGACAAGAGAAGGCGGTTGGAAAGGCGGAATCATCGTGCAAAGGATCGAGATTAGGCCAAAAGAAGTGTTGTGATTAGGTAACTCCTTTCCCAAGTGATTTCTAGTTTTTTGTGTAATATAGAAAATAGGAATTAAGTCTATGCAATGTATGGACATCTGCATTCGCTTTCTCATATCATTGTAACAATCATGCATAGATGATGCATGATATTGGAATGTGTATATTGTTGCCTAGAGTGTTGATCTTGAACTTTTATTTGACCATTTGTATTTTCCAAAGTGTTTTCTTATTGGTTCAATAATTTTAGTTAACATACACTATTTTAATATAAAAAGATAGAAAAAATGATAGTTTAAATAGTTTTTTCATTGGTGCGCCTAAATCTTAAAACATTAATTAAAGTGAAATTGAATTATTTATATGAAAAGATGCAAATGAAAAACAGATCTCTATCAATGCATCCGCATGTGTCTGAATAGAAATTGATGAATTATGTTCACTAAGGGCATATTTATCGGGGCAACTGATGTAGTGATCTTAGGTATTAAAAAATTGAAAAAAATTAAAACAGTAGAAGAACAAGCTGAATTGTGGTCTTCATCAAGATCTGTTCTAATACTAGTTCTAGGGTCATTTGTTGGTTAATGATTAATTTTTGTTGGAAAAAAGAAAAAAGAACATTATTTTAATAATTTTTATATTCTAAGATCTATCATATAAGTTATTGCGTTGCATATGGTCTAATGCATCCAAGAAAATGTACATACGTGAAGTAAAAGAAAGAGTAATGATCCCAAGAATCTGTGTGTGTACAATCAATAAACAAGTCACATCAGCTGCATAAACCTCATATTTGTGTACGAGGTGTCACACCAGTCAACACACAATTATTTTCTGTAACAAAAAAAAAAGCATAATTATTAAATTTTGAATAGGTGAAGTGACCGTCAATCTGTTTATAATGGAAAGAGATTTTCAACAACTGATAGACATTATAATGTTATGGTCTTATGGAGTATCTAATTTTATTTTTACCCAAATACAACAATGTCGATAAATATATGTTCTTCGTGAATTCAATAAGGTTACAAATAACCAGGCAGAGTCACCCCAACAGCAAGCTTCTCACTCACGCGACGACGGTTCACGGGTGAATTACTTTTTTTTTTTTTCGGTCGGTCAAAGAAATTATACTTGTTGTACTCTTATTGAATGTGACTGATATATAATTCTATATCGCTACGATACGAAGTAATTAACTAGAAAAACGATTACAAAAACAAACTATTCTTCTTCATACGAAAATAAATAAATTATTTTAAGCCTTTATGCAATGTTACCTTCAGCTACTTTATATTGTTTTTAATCATTTAATTACCGTTAATTATTTTTTCTGTCTATTAAAAATTATGGATTGTTTTATGTTATCAGTCAGAATCCATTATATGTAATGAATAGGTTATAAGAAAACAATCACGGTTGAATTATAATCGATGTACTAATATTTCATGTATAATTTAATTTATACAAACAAAATGAAATAAAAGCAAAATAATTTTCGTCGCACCAAAGGAAAACGTATTTATTTTTGGAGTTCGTCACAGTAATCTTCCCTTGTTTCTATTCTACGTCTGTTGTATCATTTGTTTTTAAATAAACTGTCATGTGTTATTCGGTCCCCTTTACATCATGTCGGTTTCCTTTTTCACAAGATACAAAACCCCAAAATTATTTTCAGTAATCAATGTAATAAAAAAAAGCTCTTTTATCAGAAAACTAATTGCAATAATACCCCTTTTCATGAAAAACAAAATGGGGCATCTTTAGTTTAGGGTCCCTCCAAGAAACTATTTATTTTTTATTCAGTTAATCTCTCAATACACTGTTCTTTTTAATTACCTTTTTCATATGATGCCGGATAATATCAATTATCTAACAAAAGAAAAATAAACCAAAATGACTGAAAATATACAAAACTACAAAAAGAAATGAAATATCCATATTTTTGTTTTATTTTTTAACGTCCGGAAATGATTTATTAATTATGTGTTATACGCCCATTGAATATATCTTCATACTTATCCACAATGTTTTATCTATATCATGAATGATATATGAATTTTTGAACTCTCTTATATTATATTAATTTTGAACGAAATAAATTTTTATGCTTTCGTGTTCCAATGATTACTGTAGGAAAAAAACATCAATAAAATCAACTCGAAAAAAATAGAAAAATTCCAATTTAATAAGATTTATTACAGTCAAGACGAAGAAAATTCGAAAATCACTTCGTCTATTCAAAAAATACTCAGAAATTTAAGAGAAAAGCGGCGTAATTTGGAGCGCGAGATGATGAGTTATCGTTGCGAGGAAGAGAAGAGTCAGCTCGGCCGCTAGTAGGAGCTCGGACACTTCGACGGCGACTTGTTGGTGGTGGAGGGAGGAGTGTGGCGGTGATGCGTGTAAGCGCCGCCGTGTATTCTTCAAGCAACTCAGCGGCGATGGCTACTGTTATCATGACGATTTGAAGATTGCTCTAATGATGATTTTGCCTTGACGTTTGTTAGAAAATCTCTATATGATCTTAATTTGCTTGCAAGACAGGACAATGTGGTTACCTTTTATGAGACGGCATTGTATTTATAGAGCCCGGGCTCTTGAAGCTAGTGGCCATAAATTTTGGTAGGTTCTGGTCATAAATTATTCTAGCCGTCAGATCTACCGACTTTATTAAAATTAATTTTATTTCTAGTACTTTTTATGTAGTTTTTTGGATCTCGGATTCTTTTCGCCATAAAAAGATCATACAAGTTTTTTTTTTCTTTCTTCATTTAGCATTGGTCGTTCCAAATTATAACCGACAATTATATCTATTTAAATTCTAATTGGTATGAACATATATTAGTCAATTTTAATTGTAAACTAAATAAAAGAAATGGATGAATAAGATATTTTCCAAAAATGATAAGACGATCAGTCTCACAGATAACAAATGCTAGTTATAATATACTCCTTATGTTTCAGTTTAGGTTTTCAATGTAGACGTTTGGTAAAAAATTCCAGTTTTATCATTTTTGTTTTAATGTTTTGGCTAATGAAAAAAATAATAAAATATATTAATAAAGAGTAAAACAAAAAATTTAATAGTTTTCTTAATTTGTGTGAGAAACCTTAGATAACATATCATTTGAAACGGAAGGAATATTAAACTATATATAGTGTTGTTCATTAAATAGGTGACAAAGAGGGTGGGATGGGCAAGATTGTGAATGGTGATTTTATTAGAGCTGAATGGGCAAGAAGCAGGGGAGACTAACTCCAGAAGAGTCTGACTGCGACGCGTTGATTTTGGCAATGCAATCAATGTGGATACAGAGCTACATGATGATGACTAAGAACATTTGAAGTTGCCCATTTACATCACGGCAATCAGATTAAGGAGCTTGTGCCGTTTACATTTCTACCAACCAAGGGAAGGTAATTGTTGTGCTGATTGCATGGCAAAATATCTACTAGTTGATTATGTTTTATAGAATCTGAAGTGGTAAAAATGATGAAATAGTTGCGTATATCTTGCGATATTAATCGTTACCGGTAAACAAATAATTGAAAATAGTCTATTTGAATAAATATTTGCCAATAATTAGTCCAACGACTTGTATGATTGTAGTGTAGACCCTAGAAAATAAAGACATCCTGCGTGATGTTCAAGTATTATATAACTTAATGCTCATGATGTTATTTGTTTTGAAGGAAAATAACAAATGTTCTTTGTTTTATTGTTTTTTACTTCTTTTGGTAAAAGTAAAACGTGTACCATCAATATTCAAACTCTCAACTAAAATAACAATAATAAAATGATAAAGAGTCAAGTTTTGTCAAATTCTTTAACAAAAAAAAAAAAGTTGTTGTCAAATTTAGCAAACAGAGACTCGTTGTTTAGTTTTAATTGTTGGCGAAGAAGCCGATTAGCACAGGCAACATCTACATATTATTGACCCAAACACGGTTGGTCCAAACAATTAAAAACATTGTTGTTACAGTGCTATTAAATTTAAAAATAGAATCCTGTAAACTATATCCTGAAGACGTATGATTTATGTTTGTTGATCCGTCATAAATATTATCAAAAAGCTAGTTCCAAACTTAGAAAGATTTTTGATCAAAAGGACAAAATTTCCAGTTATTAAAGAAAAAACTCCACACTTTTTTTTTGGACCAAAAAAAAAAACTCCACAGTCCACACCATCCCTTAATTTATCTATCAATTATTCAATTCCCAAAATTTATCCAAAAGGCTTGGTATATGCTTACATTATATTTTTTGTCGGCTTATTCGCTTACATTTATTCGTTGAGAATTGTTATCATCGAATTTTTTTGTGTGTGAGTGATTTCTTTTTGTTTTTTTTTTTCTTTTCTTTTCTGACAACTATTTCTTTTAGTTTGAATGATGGGTTTCTAAGTAGTTGGGAGACCATGAACGTAGTATTTTTGTTCAAATTGATATATTTTAAGACATTTGATAATCTTACTTATATTTTTATTTTTTTCAATGTTTGTGTTGGTGGATAGATAAGGGTGTTTCTATATGAAAAATCCTTTTTCACAATCCGTCAGGTTCAAATTATAGCATTATAACCCTTAAACCAAAAAAAATATAAAAAATTATAGCCTTACAAAAATTTGGCTAAAAAATTGTGATAACAAAACCGATAATAAATAGTGTAATTTAAACTAATAGTTCGATATCATATATAAATAGAGTGTTACAAAAATCAATATAATATTATTTAAAAGTTGTGTGAAATCGATTTTAGAAAACATATGTGATAAAAAAAAAAACCAATTGAGTTACGATATTACTAACCGTAGTTTTTACCAATAAAAATATTAAAATTTGGCTATTTAATACATATTCTTTAAATTGTAGTACTCTCAAGTTGAAAAGGAGTTGACAAAAAAAAGTTGGAAAGGAATCTTAGATGATAGTAGTATTTTAGCCAATTTAAAATTTAATCTAAATTATGTAGAGCTTTAAATATGGTATGGGGAAAATCTATCGTAAATTAGTTTCTTTTGGACCAAGTAATATCACTAGTTTAATAAATAAAAAAAGTATTAAAAGTAATTAAATAATCTTATATATAAAAGCTTAGACTTTATGTTATAACAAGAATACATGGAAGGTTTGGGGAGTTATTATCACACACAGCTGTAACACATTTAATATGTTCCTAAAATAATCACATTCATAATACATCTCCCATTTCTATGTTTTCATCCCCCAACTGAAATAAAACTACCGATTAAATGCATGAAGAAGCGGGTAAGTAGCATATTTTCATGGGAGATTTGCATATTAAGGCACTTCTAGAGAAAGATGTTACACTTGAGGCACTTTCCAAACTTGAGGCACTTTATCAAACTTCTGGAGAAAAAGATGACGCTTCTGCCCCTCCGTAAAACCAACTCGATTTGTCGTTATTCCGGTTCGGCCTCTTGGTTTAGTATTGCGACGTGGCGGACGAGGGAAAGATGATGCAAAAAGAACGGTCACGATTCGGGTTTTAATTGTCGTCGTATAGCGAAATCTGGGCCGTCGAGATTGATTAAGCGGACGGCGGAGATTGTGGCGCAGGTTACAGAGTACCAACTTTTACGTACGGTCCGACGAAAATTTCTAATGGATTCCGAATATGTATTGGCTGAAAATTGTTGAGTTTTGGATAACAATTGCTGTCTAAGAGAAGTTAGAGATGGAGGTAAGATTATCGTTTTACCCATCCACCAAATTTACATTTTAATTCATGTACTGCTCGACGAAACTAACACAATTTTTTTGGTTTATATGTCTAGGGTTCTCTGGACGACTTCTGTATCGTAATTTGTGGAGAGTGGATTTGTTCTTCAAATGGTGAATGGAAGTTGGAGATTAGCAACAAACATTTCTCGAGGGTTGTTCCTATTCATGAGGGAATCAAACTGGAACAGTTTAACCAAGCCATTGTGGAAGAGTTTGGTGTGAAAGCGGTCAAACCTTTGCTGAGTTACTCTCTACCCAATAGAAGTATGTTCTCAACAAAGGAAAAGACTCCTCCTGTTCTAGTTACTAGTGAGGTAGGCTTGCTGTACTATATAAAGGCTCTTAGGGAAAACAGGGGTCTTAACTTGTTTGTTAAGTTTGAAGAAACTACTGATAGATATAAACTTGGGGAAGATAGAGAGGATCGAAGAAAAAGTTGTGAAACTCTTGGAGGAAGTTGTAAAAGAAAGAGTGATTGTAGTTATGATACTGGAAGTAGTTCAAAAAATGGTGAGGCAATTGCTGGGGAAATATCTTCTGCGGGTTCAAAAACTCCTATCATTATGTTGACTCCTGGAGATGATGATTTCTTTGATGAATTACTAGAAGTAGAAGCAAAAATAGGCTGTCCTAGTGGTTTTAAATCGGCCGCAGTTGATAAAGACGAAGAAGAAGAATTCATTGATGTTGAAGATGAGTTCTTTAAGGAAACAGAAACAGAGGAAAAAGAAGAAAAAAGTGATATGGTTGATGAGAGTATGCCCTGTGGCGGATATGATAAAGACTTTTGGAGTAATTTCCTTAAAGATGTCTATGCTGGGTCAAATGCTGAAGAGTTAATGACTACAGGAGGTGTAGATGTCAGGTATCGGTCAAATCATATGGAAGCAGGAAATCTGACATCAGAAGGTGCTTTTAATGGATCTAAGACACCAGAAGTTGTTATGTGTACTGGTAGTGGTGTATTTGACCACGCTGTACTTGTGAATGGGGGTGGAACAGGGGTAAAACCTGAATTTAGTCAGAAATCAGAACATATTGAGAATGATGGAGGCTCTCAGAGAAAGGGGAAGCCAGTAAGGAAGCTAGAGGAAGTTGATGATGAGGAATTCGATATCCCACCTTTGTTTGAGGACATTGAGTATGAAGTAGATAACATCCCTGATTTGGATATTGATGATGATGGAAAAGGGTTATACAAGGGGAAAGTGTATGCAAGCAGAGAAGATGCACAAATAGGGATGGCAATCTATGCGATAAAGAATATGTTTCATTTCAAGCAAACCAGAACCAAGTATAACTATTTTGTTCTTAGTTGCTCAGATGAGAAATGTGATTGGAGGATATTGTCTACCGTCATCAGAGGAACAGGGTACTATGAAATTAAGAAATTATGTCTTCAACACACATGTTCAGTAGAAACTAGAGGGCAGTACATGAAGAAGGCAACATCAAGAGTGATAGCTTCTGTATATAAGGCAAAGTTCAGTGATCCTACCAATGGTCCTGTCCCAATGGATCTTCAACAACTTATTCTAGAAGATCTGAGAGTCGATGCGTCATACCATAAGTGTTGGAGAGTTAGGGAAACAGCTATGGCAGATATGAGCGGCACTGACGAAGACTCTTATTCCAGTTTGGCTGAATATTTGCATCTTTTGAAGGTAACTAATCCAGGAAGTATAACACATATAGAAACTGAAGATGAAGATGAAGGGAAAGAGAGGTTTTTATATATGTTTTTAGCATTTGGGGCTTCAATAGCTGGCTTTAAGCATCTCAGAAAAATATTGGTTGTAGATGGTAC